ATATATATTAATAGCATATTAAATATCTTATGAATACAGTATACAATTTACTAATATGCTATAAATATATTAGTATATTGAGATATATATATATATAGCATTAATTGTTATTTATCCTAATTAGTTATTTTTTTATAATTATTTTTGAAAATCAGATAATTTACCATACATATTCATAATATTTTTTGATAACGTGAATTAATAACATTTATAAATTTTATAAAATTTTAGTTTACAATTTATAAAAATTGAGATTATTATGTTTAATTTACAGTCTGAAATTTAAATACGCAATTTAGTGAAATGTTTATCTAAAATAGTGATTAATAAAAATTTCAACTGAACTATATTTCTAAGAATTTTAATTGATATTAGTTTTATATTTCCAATTGTAAGCCTATTTAATCTGATAAGTTCAATCAAAGTAACCCTAAAAATAGTGTAAATTGATAAAAATTTATTTTTAAAAGTCTAAATTGAAAAATTGTTTTAAAAAAAAATTTTAGAACTAAAATCTTGCATGACGCTTTTATTAATTAAAAAAAACTTAATAATTAATTTTATAATCAATCTATGAATTTTTGATAAACTTAATTTTGACACTAAGACACTAAAAGAAATGTAAACTAATTATATTTATTATTTGTAATAAATTATTATTTTAAATAAAATAAAAACTTAGATAAAATTTATTAGAAAATATATTATTTTTATCAGATAATTTAATTTTTATATATTTATTATATCTTTGTTTGCAAATTTTAGTAAAAGAAAAATATTTCTATATTTTATTTTGTGTAAAAAGATTTATTTTTGATTAAATTTCATTTATTATTTAGCCTTATTTTAATTTATTAATAATATCATTATTAAAAATTTAAATAGTTATTTGCTTTGTTTCAAACTTTTGCATTTTAAAAACTCCCTAACTATCCAATTTTAAAAATAATAATAAATAATTAATGTAACAATATGAATCTACGATGAGTAACAATCAACTTAAATTAATTATACTATAAATTAATTATCAAATACTTGAATCAAAAGTAATAAAAGCGAAATAATAAAAGCGCAAATTCCGAAGTAAGCATCTAATGAGTAATAAATTAAAAATTATAAAATTTAAATTTACTTTATTTTAAGCTTTTTAGATATTGGGGTAATTGTTAATAATAATATCTTATTAGACTAACATATCAAATCTTAATTTATAATAATTATTTAATGGAAAAAACTCTTTAAAGATATAAATTCTAAATTACTTTCTCATAAAAAGAAGATATAAATATTCTAAGAATATTAATAATATTTTATATCTAACAATTTCTTTAATTTTTTTAATAATTCTTTTTTATCTTCAATATATGTGAATTGGTTTTTACTTAAAATTAAAAATATTTTTTTAAAGTATCAAGCTAATTATTTATTTATTTTTATATAATAATAAATATAAATTATTATTCTATATTATTATTAAATTAATTTTATTTATTTTTTGAAAGAAGAAAATAAAATTTATAAAATGTCTAACATAAATCTAAAATATATTTTTATAAGAAATAAAATTATTTAAGTGCTATTGAATAAATAAAAGCCTTATGATGTTAACTTAAATTAAGATAGCAAGAAAAAAGACTAAAATAATTTGAAATTTAATTTATAAGATTTTATTATCCTTAAGTTTTTTTTTAAAAGCAAAAAAGTGAACTCTATTCATATACTAAAATATCAAAGATCAGGAATTAAATATTAGTTTCACTTAATTACTATTTTAAAATATTTAGTATTATTGAAATTCATTAAAAGACTAAATATTTTCACTATTAATTTTCATGAATGAGTAAAATTTTAAGATTTACTTATTCTTACTTTATGATCATCCTCTTATTTAAAAGGTCGTGAATGAAAAAATGTTAGCTAAATATTTTATAATTATTAAATTTTAATGTTTTTTTCTTTTATAAAGTATTAATTAAATTGTCTATATTAACTAATATATATAAATTGAGGTGAAAATAGTATTATTAAATATTTCAGGTAAGGAATATTTATCTCTCAAATTAATTATTAATTTTCACCTGAATTTTTAAAGATTTTAATTAGTTTTATATAAGGAAAGAAAAATTTTCTAATGCATACCTTCTTATATTTATTTCAAAAATTAAATTTAAATGAATTAGATCATTTTTTTTAACTTAATTTTATGAGATATAAGTTATAATCGAAATAGAAGTGGGGATTGGATAAGCATTTATTTATTTAATAAGCCAATTTATTCTATTTTTTAAAATATTGTATTATTGGTTTGCCCTAAAAAATGCATTTTTTGATTGCTCCCCTTTATATATTTAGTGGTAAATATTACCATAAATAATAAATCAAAATGTTAGCTCTATCAAAAAAGCTATCTAAAATTTTTTTTCAAAAAAATATATGAAATATTTATTTAAAAAGAAAAAAATTTAAATAATAAAAAAGTTTACATTCAACATGTTGTATTTGTCATTAGATAATAAAAGAAATATGATTTTAAACAAATTTGCAATCATAGTGTTTGCTTTTATCACTTTAATAATCAAAATAACCTTCTGTTAACCAGTTCAAAGAAATCCAGGAGCTGGTGGAGTTTCCTTATTTTTTAGTTTACCATTAACAATAAGCATTCCACCAAGTACTCCTTATATGACATTTGTGTTTGATAATACGCTTGGATTAAGTTTTACTAGTATTTAATCAGTAGGATTTGGTGCAATTGGTTCTCAAGGCGTATGTTAGTCTACAAATAGCGCAATTATTTCTACAGCTACGCTTGCTTAAAATAAAATTTCAATTTAATACCCATTCACCTTACTGAGTGCTTCAAGCTAGATATAATGCAATGGCGTTTCTTATAACCCGAAATGGATGAATGTCCAATTAATTGGTACTTTTGAATATGGAGGAACAATTAACATAAATGCATATTATGATACTTAAAGAAACGGAATATCTAATCAATTTGGAAGTGCAGCACAACTAGATGTATTGCCTGACTAAATTACAGGTAAATAAATTTTTAATTATACTTAAATAAAATCTTAATTTATTAACAATTTAAATCTAAATCAAGAAATGAAATTGATGAAAATTCGTATTTTTAATTTTTTTAAATTCTTAAAACTAACAAGATTTATTTATTAATAAATAGATTCAAGTATTAATTTTAGTCTCTCAGCTACTCCTTCATAGGTTATATCTTAACTTGGATAATATACTTTGTTAATCACAACACCTCTTCTCGCTGCTTAAATAAATTAAATCGTTTTACTTCTTCCTATGTATTGGTATCCTGATACTGCTCTACCTTCAGGTTGTTAATAAACTTCAACACCAGTATCTACAAGTTTCTCATCTACGTTGTTATAAAATTTATCAGCGTCAGTCACTACAAATATTGCAACTAGTTTGTATAGTGTAACATTAAGTTTCTAATAGATTAGCCTTGGGGGTTAAGCTGTTGATTTAACTTTTTAAATGACCAATCCTTTTACCAGTGCAAATATTGTGCTTGAAGGCTAATTCTTGTAAGTTTAAGCCTCTTTTAACTATTACACTGCTTCTTCAACACCACTTACAGCATTTCAAACAAGTTTTACAAGTACTAATATTAATGCCTAACCCACACAATTTTCAAATTGTAATAACAATGGAGCAGCTTAAATATTGTGCTCTTCTACAAGCTCTGGAACTTATACTAATTCAGCTTGCTTATCTGGATAAACAATGTTTGTAAAAATCATAATTTATCCAGTATTTTTTCAAGATATATACTCCTCTGTATAGTTTACGTTATCTAATATTCCGCCAAATCAATCACCAATTACTGGCATAACTATGTAAATAATAAATTCATCTCCTTCAACTACTGATGTTGGACTAACAATAACCTCATCAGTAAGTATCAATAACTAAATAATACTATTTCCTCAATACTTAACTGGAGCTTACACATATCTCAGTTATCCTTTTATTTGCATGGCTAACCCATATACATAGTATTTATCAGTAACAATACCTAACTTTTAACTTCCTTACGACATAGATGGACTTTTAATGTCTGCATAATTCTATGTTCAACCTTTTTTGCCTGCATAATCGTATAGTTAAGCATATTAAAGGGACACATCAGTAAAATATTTAATCAACATATACAAAACTAACATTTAAAAAAAATAAATTTATAGTCTGCAAGTATCTTGAATGCTTCATGTGGTAACACTCAATTGTAAATAAACAAAAATTTTTTTAGCTCTGCTCAAGTGATAACTGCAAACCCTAGTGACTTGCAAGTAGGTGCTACATAAGCAACACATATAGTTAAAATAATTAGCAAATATACATTTGTTTCTTCCGTAGGAAAAATTTAGCTTACCCTTCCACCAACTTTATCAATAAACCCATCTGGAAGTATATTACTTTTTATTTTATTAAATTAATAAATAAATAATATTATAATTTAACAAGCTTTTTCCTGCACTGCCAAGCTACTTCTTCCTGATTAATCACTTGTTTCTATTACTGTAACTTCCTGTACTTACACAGGTTCTCCTGTTATTATCACTTTATCTTATTCATATGGAGGAACATTATAAGCAACTGGCTTTGTTTTTACTTTTAATTAGGTCATCAACCCTACATAAATACAGTATTCAGGAAACTTTCAAGCCTCTACTTTTCTGAGAAACGGATCTGTTTCAGACGCTAATGATCCTTCTTAAACTAATTTTGGATTTTACACTCAGCCTGCTCCTTTTTCAACAGCAAATTTAGTTAATAATGGTATTGGAACAAAGTTGGTTTACACATTTTCACCATATACACTTACACTTGCTTCTCCAGTAACTATGTTGGCTGGAGATTAAATTCTTGTAAACTTCCCAAGCTATATTTCTGAAATAAATAGTATTTCAATTACAACACCTTCATCTAGTTTAAGTGCTACTTCTTCAAATAATTAAGTCCCACTGGTATTGTCTGTTTCTTAAAATATCCCAGCAAGCACCTCTATTATAATTTAGTTTACAATAAGGAATCCACCAGTTTCTAACTTAGATTATACTTTTACTGTAATCAAAAATTAACTTTTAAATAATATTATAATCCTTTATATATAATAACTAAAATTTTAATTATTAGATTGTTGCTTAGAAGGCTACTCCCACTATTTATTTGTAGAGCAATATTAATTATGGTAGCGCTGACTCTATCACTCCAACAGGTTTCTCTTCATTCATCGTATCTTCAAGTAGTCCATAAAATTTGGCAAATGCTGTTTATTCAGTTTCTTTTACTCCAAATGTGCTGCTTTAAAACCCTTCTACTATGATTTTAACTTTTATTGCTCCAACTACTACTCATAATTTTCTGACAACAGGATCAACTACTTGCTCAGCTGTAACAAACTCGCTTATCATAAGTTGTACTCCTAACTCACCATCAACTAACTAATTAGTATATCAATATTTAATTCTATATGCAATAAATAATATTTTGTTTTATAAATCGGAAAGACAATCACCTTAAATAGTATGATTTCTCCAGCAGCAAGCTACCAGTTTACCATTCAAAATGTTTTAAATTATATGAGTTTAGCTCCATTTATAATTAAAGGAGATATTGGATATTCTTAGAACTAGGTAGGAAATGAGTCAACTTCAACTATTTCCAATACACAAATATTAAGTCTTTCAGCAGTAACATTATCAATTTAAAACTATATTCTTGGTATTTAAAGCTAATATCAATTCTCTATCAATAATGTGTCTCCTTTTCCTGCATTAGGAAATATGATTATAACTACAACTAATTTAGTGGCATTTATCGTACCTTCTACTGTTAGCGTAAATTTATCTGCATGCCCAGGAACTTCTACAGCATCTCAATTAAATTTATCTTGCTACCCTAATTAAGACTCCTCTACTATAACGATTTAAGCTGTAAACAATCCTACCTAATTAATTTAATAATCAACTACTCCATTCGTTATAACTCTCAACGAAATAGTAGGTGGAAATTCTTATGCAATTAAGTCATATACTTCCAGTAACCTTGTTTATACAAATTAATGCAATATATCCTCCTTTTGTAAAACTTGCTAGAATAGTAACTAATCAATATGTTAAAGCTGCTATTCAACAAATAGCATAACTTATTAATCCTCAACAGTTTATGTTTAAGAAACAATTTTGAATCAAGCAACTTCATTTTAAAGTTGTGTAGCATCTTGCCCGTAGCAATCTTATCAAACATCATAAGCTGGATAAGCAGTTTGTTTATAATGTGATTTGTAAATTTACAAATATTTCTTATTTAATTAATTAATAAATAAAAAAATTCTTTATAATTTATTAGATCATGTGCTACATGTATAAATTCATCTACTAATTGCACCTCCTGCTCAGGTAACCTTTATTTAGACACAACTACTAATACTTGTAACACAACATGTCCTGCTAAATATTTCAGTAAAATAAAAATAAAATATTAATTATCGTTTAAATTTAATTTATATTTTTAGTATTATTTAATCAAGTTAAAATATATTTCTTATTTAAAAATTTCCAAACAATATTTTATAATTTTAGAATCATCAAATAATCAGTGCTAACTATGTTCGTCTGTAGGAAATTGCTTAACTTGTACTTCTGCTAATGTGTGCACATCTTGTGATATTACACTGTACTTGTAGAATACTCAGTGTGTAACTTAATGTGACAGTTAGTAATACTTAATATTTATAATTTTTATTAACCACCAATTTCATTAAAAAATTAGATATTATGTAGGAAATGGAGGGAGATAATGTATGCCTTGTCCTACTGGATGCAATACTTGTACTTCTGCCTTAAATTGTACCTCGTGTTCTGTAGGATACATTTAATTTTAAACCACTTGTGTTTAAAGTTGTCCTTAAGGATATTCAAAGCTTATTTAAAATGGAGTATATGTTTGTGGAGTTTGTGACCCTAAATGTAAAACTTGTGATACTCTAAGCACAACTTGCACATCATGTTATGACTATACTTATTTGTATAACTAAACTTGTGTTACATAATCTTAAATTCCTGAAGGTTATTATGGAGATAATACAACATGGACAGTTTAACCTTGTATGACTTATTGTATTTCATGCTCTTTTAAAGCACTATGCAATACATGTGCATCTCAAGCTGTTATCTATTAAGTAAATTTAATTCTATAAATAATATTTTATTATTTAATTTTAATCATGTAAGGGTATTTGCTATGCTAGTTGTCCTAGTAATGTTCCTGTACCAGATGGAGCAGGTGGCTGTAAAGAGGCAATCATACCTACTGCTATTTCTGATAATAACACTAAGATTGTTCCCTTTCCTATGCTTTTATCTTGCATAGCATTCTGTATATCTGTATATTTCTCTAAATATGAAAAACCACAAACATTCGTACCAGGTTGTATTGTAGGATTTTGTGCACTATTTGAATGGATTTCTTGGATAATTCTGATAGGGATTAGCTTTTCTAATGATGGAGCTACCTCAATAACTACAATTACTGCTGTAATAGGATTTGTACTAATTTATCTGATTAACTTTGTCTATTTCATGCTTTACAAAAAAAATATATCTCCAGATCCTTCATTTATGGAATGGTAACTATAGCATAAGAATAGAATATGCAAAAATGTTTCTATTTTTTTCTCTTGCGTTATTTCCTTCAAAATATAAAAGATTATATTCTGTAAGTATTTTAACTAAATTTTCTTCAAGGTAAATTTTATTTTATTCCCAAAACAAAAAACGCTAAAATAAATTATTTATTTGAATTTAGGCCAAGCTTAAAGATATTGATCTGCTTACTCCTTTCAACAAAATGTCTATTTTTAGTATTATATTTAATAGTTTCTTGATTATTTTTAGTGCTTCGGTATTTAGTTATAGGCATTAAAACTCTACTTAAATTTACATTTTAAGTTTAGATACACTTTTAGTGACAATTTTTATGATTATTTTCATGATTTGGGAAGCCTTAAAAAACGAAGCATTCTTTGATGAAAATTATAATTTAAAATTTGATTAAATGAGCTACTTTACTCAAAGATTTTTTCCCTTTGACTAATCTTACATGGAAAGGGCTAAGTAGAGATCTGTTTATGGGCATCTAAAAAATTCTGAGTCTAACTCAAGCTTGATAGACTTTGGTAAGGAAAATAAAGTAACTAAAGTAGAATAATTGTAGCAGCCTTAAAGTTAGATAATGGATCCAAATGATATTTCAACAAATGCTGCTTTAGATAGAAATGTTATAAACAATTCAAATTATGGAGCTCCTTACCTCATTCAAGATGAAATTTCTGAGTCATCTAAACCAGGAAAAAAGAGATAATTTGAAAAAAGACACATTGCTCCTGTATTCGATAATAAAAGTAAATTAATAATTTAAAAAAACAATTAAAATACAAATTTTTAATTTAGATTTTCCACCTATCCAAGAAAATTCTTTAGAAGATGAAGATGAAGATTTTTATGAAGAAGATATTTAGAATTAATCTATGAAAAAAATGGTTGGGGTCTAAAATAGTAGGTAAGGTTTAGTAAATCCAAATGGTTTTGCCAGAAATAAATTTATTTCACTTGATGATTAGTAAGATTTAGAGAATTAAAGAAATAATCATTTAAATAATTCAACTGGATTGAGAAATAATTAAACTAATTCTTTTAATAAAAACAATTGTAACGAAGAAATCACTTCATAGTATAATTAAGCTGATAAAATATACTAAAACCCATAATAACAATAAGGATAAAAGATTAATAAAGGAAGTACTGGAGTTCACTTGTAAGAAGATGAAATTTATTATGAAGAGCAAGAAAATTAGAAATAATTTTCTAAGTAATAAAATGTTGAAAAATTATAAGAAAAAACTGCTATGATTGCAGTTTCTTCAATGATTTGTGGAGCAGCAACATCAAAGGATACTAAAGTTGATGTTGATAAAAATGAAAATATAACAAAGTAAGTAAATTTATAAAAAAATCTTAACCATAAAGTGGAAATAAGTTAAAAACAGGTTCACTTATAATCAAATATTGATAATCTTAAAGAAGATAATTCTTAAATTCCTGAAATTTCTCAAGCTAAAGGAGTAGTAACAGAGACTGGTATTACTGAAAATGAAAAAATTAAAAATGAAAAGTAAAAGAGTAATTAAAATGAGAACAATATTGATAAATAAAGCAATATAAGTAAAAGAAATCTAAATATTATTAAAAATGAGAATGAAAGTAATATTTGTCAAGAAATTAATAAAATTAATGAAATGGGAAATAAGTAAGATAGTATAAATAATTAAGATAAAAATATAAATGATAAGGAACATAATTTAACTGATAGAAATTCTATCGTTAAAGAGGAAGAAAATAAGTTTAATTTAAGTAAAAATGTTATCAATCCTAGTAATAAAAAGGTAAATAAATAAATTATTTAATTTTTCTTCAAAACATTCTTTTTACTATTTTGATAATAAAAAAAGGCTGATGGAAATGAAAATTTATTTTATTTTAATAATCCTCTGAACAGTTAAAATGAAAAAAACTAAAATAGCTCAAAATTAAATAAAGAAAAAAATAAAAATATAAAAATGAATTAATAAAGAGATGCCTTTGATGAAAATTTATCAAAAAAGAATAAATAGGGTAAAAACAGTAAAATGATTACTCCTATTTAAAGCTAGCTAGAAAAGAATAACAACTAAGAAATCTAAAAAGCAAATCAGAATGGTATTTCAGATTTTAATGGAGCAAATTAGAATTAAAAAACAACTGAATCAAAGTCTAAGTAAGCAAATGATGTAAAATAATTAAAAAAATAATGTTTATTTAAAGTAAATTAATCCTTTTTTTGTTTATTTATTTCAAAGATTTAAAATGCTGAAGAAAATAAGGTTGAGAGAATAATGCCAATAGTAGAGGATCTTGATGAAGATTTGTCTAAACAGGATAAAAACCTTAATGAAATTGAGAAAAAATAGAAAATAATTACTTCTCACTATAACTTGGATGGGAATACTTTGAAAAAATAAGCTCCATAAAAGAACAATTTATTAGGTATTTCTGATAGTGATGAAAAATTTAATTAAAATTTAAATAATATAAATGAACAAGCTCAATAGAAAAATAATGTAAATATTATTTTATATATTTCTATCTAACAAGTTTATTTATTTTCATAGATCTATGATTCTGATGAAAGTTTGCACTCAGTAAGCGAAGCTGATGCCAATTTTAATGAAATTAGTCCCTCGGACTTTAATATTCTTAATTAAAGGTACGAAGAAGATTTTAATTTACGAGGTCCTTAACTAGCATCATAGGTACAGTTAAACTAATAAAGCCTTAGATATCTGAATAGAAATATTACAAGCAATCAAAGCGAAGATATAGAAAATACTAAAATTATTTCTAGTATAACATAAAATGAATAAGGATTACATGCATTACAGCAAAGCAATCGAAATACTTCTTTAAATATCTTAAGTGCCTAAAATTTTCAAAATGAATTTAAAATGCCATAAAATGAGTAAAAATAGGGTAGAATTGTTAATGGTTCTCTCTTTTAAGATGCAAACTCTGTCTCTATTAATATAAAACAAAACAGGTAGCCTCATCAATAAGGAAAATTAAATAATTAAAATTTAACTAATGAGAATAAAAACGAAAATAGTAATTCTATATTGCCTAACCCTAATATGAATAGTAATAAAGTAGATTAAATGTTGGTTGAAAATCTTGATAATTTCAACAAAACATTCAACTCGGCTACCACGCCTTAAGCATAATATTAGAGAAATTTTAATTTAAGCTTTAATAACTAAGATCCTCAAATGAGTTAAACATAAATGTATAGAGGAAATATGAGCAGTAGATCTAAAGGTAATTATTCACCTTCTAGTCAGAATATAACTTATAAAGTTCCAGCTACTGATCTTTAAAAACTTAAAAGCTTAGAATAAATATATCTTCAAAGAATAGAAGCTAATTCAAAAACTAGTTAAGCCTCTAGAAAAAATATATTGAAAAATAAAAAGAAAAAAATTTAGAGAGAAATTTCTTAAGATCCTAATTTTAAACAAGATTCAATAAAATAAATGAAATCTCCAAATAGAGTGTCTGAAATTTATTTTGGTGAGAGAGTTTAGAATATAGAACCTTATGTATTTAATCAAAATGGTGAAGATGGAATGGACTTTGAAGAAGATTTTGAGCCAGAAAATTTAAATTTTGAATCAAACTTTTGATTTCCTTTTTATAATTAAAAATATATATAAAATAAGCTTTTTAATTTTTTTTTTATTTTGGTAAAAAGAAATATTCACCACAAATCAAAAAATTATTATTTGTGTTTTCTTGTTTCTCAATTGAATTTTACGAATAAAATAATTAGGATTTACTTTGGCACTTTTTGAATAAGCTATATAAATTTATTTTGAATTGAATACAAATTTTCTTTTTTGAAATTTATAATTAAAAATTTAAATTTTATTTTATAAAAATACAAATACATTATAATAAAATTATTGTTTTTTATATTAAAATTATCTAATATCATTGTTAAAATGTTATTAACTTTTTTGGTGTAGTTATCTTATGTTTATTAATATTGTTTCTATTTGCTAATTCTATTGAATTTAATTCTTCTAAATTCAAATTTTCAGAAAAATTACTTTATTCTTCTAACATCGGATTTATATTCTATAAAACGTTATTACTATTTTGCTAGTTTTAGTACACAGACAAGTTGTTTTCACTAATTTATTTTGAATAAAAATTTAGGTTATGCTACTAACTAGCATTCCTAATTTAATGGTTTTATATTTGGCGATTTTAAATAATAAATTCTTCCTCCTACTGGTATTTAAATAAATTTAAAAGTTAAGGATCCAAATAATTTAATATTTTTTTATCTAAAACCGATTAGCCATTTCTACTTGTTATATTTTAGTATGATTGATATGCATCTTAAACTTTTTATATTTCTGACCTTTAGTCTTAATACAAAATGTTAAATTTTTCTTACTATTCGTTTTATTAATTAATTTGATTTTCAAAGACTTAATCTTCGTATATGACTGGTTTTGATATATATTCGAAAAGCTATATCTAATCTTTATCCATAATTAATTATTTTAGTTTATCAACTTCTAAAAGTTTTTTAACTAATTAAATTACATCCAAGTGATAATACAGTTTCTAAATACTGTAATCTATTATTTCCTTCTTTCTTTTAATATTTCCAAAGGGCCAAAAGAAATATTTTAAATAATCAACAAAGGTAAATTCCATACTATTAGTTTCATCATATAGAAGCTTTTTAAATTATTAATTGCTTATTTCAATTTTATCTTAACTTGCTTAATTTTATGATTTTAAAGTTTTTTTAATGGAATTCTTTTAACTTAGTTATGATATTGTTTCATTTTATGCATTATTCTCTCCTCCAAAATTATTTGATTTTTTCTTAATAATTGAACTCAAAGTTACAAAACTTTTTTACTCATTAAAACGATTCACTTATTTATCTTATTTTCGCAGTTGTCTAATACTTTCTTGGTTTTAGAAATTAGTTGTGCTAATATCGTATTTTATTTCACTTTTATCATTTATATTTACTATATTTTTTTCTGTTTTTTTGGAATCAATTTGGTCTTCTTTGCATTTAAATTTAAAATTATCAGTGTTACTATTCGATTTTTTAATTTATTCTTAATTATTTATATGCATTTGAATGGTATTTTATTAATTATCTTTATCAATATTATTTTGATTATCTTTTGATTTCTTAAAATAAAATTAATCATTAATTATTGATTTACTCAGCATAAAATCAGAAAATGATGTACATATAATAAAACCAATAGCTAACATTGATTAAGTAAACCCTCCTATTTCAGATATTATATTTGTCAGGTTTTTGTATTTTCTTTAGTAAACATTTTCTTTTTGTTTTTCGAATCTTAAAACAAGTTAAACAAAGTAATCAACATCTGATGTAAACTTTTTGTTAAAAAAAGAAATAATTATATTTCGATATATATATAGAAGTATTAATCTACTTCGAACTATATCTAAAAAAAATTATTTGCTATTTAAAAAAGGATAGCTATATTTATCTTGCTATCAATTAATCTCTAATTTTATCTAGTTTTATGTGAGGATAAAATTAAAAAATTGTTCTATAAAATGTAAATAAATACTGAAACATCTTGGTTACTGTAGCTTATTTGCCTAGCAGTTTAAATGTCTGATGTTACCCATCCATAATCACTTTCTATATAGTTGTTTCTGAAATACATAGTTATCTCTCTTGGTGAAGATGTTGACGTTATCCAAAATAAATCTCTATTATAGAATTTGAAAGGCTCATCTTTTATATCTGGACTTACTATAACATCCTAAAAATAAATCGCAAAAAAACCTTTTCCTAGAGTTGATGTATTCCTGCATCCTTAGCCACTGCATGGATAAATTTAAATCATAAAATGCTAAAATTCTTGCTAGGAATAATCACCTTCCATTACCTCTTATTATTCAGGATGAATGCAATATAAATTTAGGTATGGCAAATTTAAAAAATTATTTTTAGTGTTAGGATTTTAGAAGTTATCTTATGAGCATGCTTATACAGTTACGTTAGTCTACCTAAGTTCAACTTAAGGTTAACCAGATTCTCCATAAGTTGTATATTTCGTTACTTAGTAAGCCACTACTTTGTAAATGGAAGGATCTATATAATGATTTTAAGTAACTCCGTCTTACATACCAAAAGCAAAAGGCAGTGTATAGTTATTCATTATAAATTTTTCAGGAGAATCTACTTATCTCTCTTTTTATAACACAGTAGGATTAACTCTTGTATATACTTCGTTGAATAGAATTGCGAATCTAAGAACCACAACACATACTATTGCTATTGTAAAAAAGAATCCTAGAGAAGTAGTATATGACTTTTGACCTTAAAATCTAAACTGTATTTAACTTCCAAATATATCAAACTTCTTCATTTTTATATATCGATAGTGTTTACTCTTATTTAATTAGTTTTTTTTCTTTCAAAATTTTTTTTGAGATAAAAAGAAGGCAGGCAAACAAATAAACAAACAAACAAAGAAATTAATTAATTATTTACAAAAATGAATTAAAAATTATTACTAATCAAAAAAATGCAATAGTTGTTTTTTCACTCTAACTTATATAGTTTATCAAAAAATATTCCAAACAGGACAAGTATTTTTAATTAAAATAATTCAATTATTTTTGTTCATGAAATTTGCATTTTATATTTTTAAATCCAAATTTTCTTGTTATCTTTTAGGCTATATTAATTTGCCATATATTTTATTTTAAAGATATTTTGTCATTTAAAAAAAGGGGGTAAATAATGAAAAATATATATTTACAAAATAGATTTCAATCATCATTTCGTTTTATGGTTTCAATTGAAGGTAGTTAAAAAAAACATTTTTAGTTCATTTTTGTTTATTTAAAAGTGAGAAGTTTACTTTTAAAAATAAAAATTAGTAAATTATAAACATTTTAATTCTAGAAATAAAATTTTTGAAATAATTAAAACATAATAAAATTTTAAGTGATATTACTAATTGATTAAACATTTGATTTATGTTAATTATTTTACAAAATTACATAAAAATAATTTTATTCAAGCTTACTTCTCTACTGAATTCTATTTAATATTAAATCTACTCTAACAAATTGCCATTTCATATTATTTTATATTATAATTATTTTTATAATTGTTATTAATACTACTTACCTCAATAGGAATTTATTCATCTTCGTTTATTTCCTCAAAGAAATTACTATTACTTAAAGAGCTCGGACTATTAATTTAAATATTAAATTTGCTGCTGTTATTCTACTATGAAAAAGTATTATTTTAGCTGAATTATTTTTAGACATCATTCAATTTTTACTACTAGTTAATCTTGTCTTATTTAATGGTTTCTGCTTAATAATTTTCAATCTGTTTATTTTAATTAGAAGTTTCTTATTCTTAATAATTAAACAAATTTAGTAACAGTGGATCCACATGATTAAGAATTTTTTAATCCAAATTTGAGAGGTGATTACTGTTTATAATATTCTGATATGATTGATATGCATCTTAAATTTTTTATATTTCCGATCTTTGATCTTAATATAGAATATTATATTTTTCAGGCTATTAATTTTATTAATTTTCTACATTTTAGGTCTAAAAAATATTATCTTCATTAACTGTTGGCTTCGAAATATACTCGAATAGCTAAATCTAATCTTTATCCATAATTATTTGTTTCAATTTATCTACTTCTAAAAGCTTCTTAACAATGTAGATTACATCTAAATGATAATATAGCTTTTGAATACTATAATCTATAACTTCCTTCTTTCTTTTAACCTCACCAAACGGCCAAAAGAAGTATTTTATATAGTCTAGAATACTAAATTCCATACTGTTATTTTCCTAATTTAGAATTTTCAAAAACTCTTCATTATCAATTTAATTTATTCCGTTATTTTTCTTTTTTTAGTAAGATTTATCCATTTTTTCTTGAAATAATTCCTTATTTTAAATTTTATTTGAATTCCAAATTTTTTATTAACCTTCAATAATACTTGATTTACTCTTTAATACTTAGCTTAAAAGAGCAAAGCTTTTTAGCTTATTTGTCTGATTATCATTTTTCTAAAATAAAAAAGGTGTTTGTGAATTCTAAGGTGTATTTTTTTGACTATTTTAAAAAACCATATTATTTATTTTATTTTAAAAATTTTTCATCTTTTCTCTCTCATCTATCACACTATTCTATCGTTTTAAATTATCATTTTTTTGACTGTCATTTTAATACTTAAACTAAGTACATATTTTAGGATTTTGTTAGATATTTTTTTGTGTTGGAGTTTTTTGATTAAGTTAGTTAACAACGCTAGTAGTTTCTTTAATATTAAAAGCTTCTTTCATAATTGATTTATTCAGCATAAAATCGGAAAATTTTGTGCATATAATAAAACCAATAGCAAGCATTGACTGAGTAAATCCTCCTATTTCAGATATTACGTTTGTGAGATTTTTATATTTTCTTTAGTAAACATTTTCTTTTTATTTTTCAAATCTTAATACAAGCTAAAGAAAGTAATCAACTTCTTATGTAAACTTTTTAATAAAATAGGTAATAAAATTAATTTTCATAAATTTTTATTCAAAAAAAATATTAAAAAGTATTTTAATTTAATTTCAAATTAAAAACTCTTTCGACTAATTTATGATTTTTCTGTTTTTAGTTAAAGACTTATAATAAATTGTAATAAAAAAATATTAATTACAGAAACATCTTGATTACTATAGCTAATATATCTTACAGTTTAAATATCTGAGGTTACCCATCCGTAATCACTTTCGATGTAGTTATTTCTGAAATACATAGTAATTTCTCTTGGAGAAGATGTTGAAGTAATCCAATATAAATCTCTATTGTAAAATTTGAATGGCTCATCTTTGATATCTGGATTAATTATAACATCCTAAAAGTAAATAGCAAAAAAACCTTTACCAAGAGTTTTTGTATTACCACAACCTTAACCAGTGCAAGGATAAACTTAAATTACAAAATACTAAAAATCTGGCTCAGAATAATCACCTTCAATTACTTCTTAAAACTCAGGATGAATACAGTATAAATTTTAGTAAGGCATATTCAAAAATGCGCTTTTTGTATCCTAGTTTTAAAAATTATCTGACGAACATTGTTACACAGTTGCATTGGTCCGTTTAAATTAAACCTAATTACCGTCTGTAAATTTAGTCAGTTCGAAAGCAACTATGTTATAAATTGAAGGATCTATATAATGATTTTGAGTAATTCCGTCTTGCATTCCAAAGGCAAAAGGCAATGTTTTATTATTCATTATAAATTTTTCAGGCGAATTGACCTATCTTTCTTTCTATAAAACAATTGGATTAACTCTTGTATAAATTTCGTTGAGCAGAATAACTAATCTTAGAATAACGATACATGCTATTGCAACAGTAAAAAACAATCCTAATGAAGTAGTATATGATTTTTAACCTTAAAATCTAAATTATATTTAACTTCCAAAAAGATCGAATTTATTCATTTATAATAAGTTTAATACTTCTTTCTAATTCGCTTAATTTGATAAATAGTTGATTTGTTTTACTTTCTTTTTAAGTAAACTAATTTTTTTTATTTTTAAAAAAAAATTATCATCTTTCTAATTTTCAACACACATTTAAGATCTTACCATTCTAGCCTTTAATTAAATTCTAGTAAGTTAAATATAGATATGTTTAAAATATTTGAGATTTACTGTAAACTATAAATAAATAATATAATATAATATAATTTTTAATTTATTATTTCGATTTTAAAAGCTAATTGATGATTTTCTAAAAAAATATAAAAATAAATATTACAAAAATAATTTTGATTTATGTTAAAAATTTTATGGTTTTTCTAAAATTTAAATATGTTACAAGATTTTGGTTTATTTATCTATTCAAAAAGGAAATGTTTAAGAATATATTATTTACTAATTGTAAACAAATTTCAAAAAAAATCAAAGAATTTACTTTTAATGATTGATATATTAAATTAATATACAAAATTTAAGAAATAAAAAAATAATTCTATCTCTAAATATGTAATTTATGGTGATTAATTATTTGAGTTGTAAAAAAAATAAAAAATTTATCAAAAATAAAATTTAAAATAAAAATAAAAAAAATTTTTTAATATTAAAATAGCTTATTAATATATTTTAAATGTAAATTAATAATTAATGAGAAAATAATTTAAAATTTGCTTTAAATATGAACAAAATCAAATTTATAAAAATCTGTTTTAAATTTTTTTTAATTACAAATTATATTATTTGAGAAAAAATATTTTTATGATTTTTTAAAATTTTATTATGATTAATTATTTTACTATTTCAATGAAAATTAAAGACAGATGAAAATAATAACATTAAATTTTAAAAAATCATAAAAAATGAGCTCAATTTTAAAGCTAATTATTTTTATTTTTTACTTATTTATTTTTGGTTTAATAAAATCTTAAAACCAAAAACTCTATATATTTATACCTTAAAATAAATTAAAAGGTATAAATAATTTTATTTGATGGTTAAATAGATTAGAAATCCTGCAAAAATAATTTATTTTCTTGCATTTAGGTTTGGCTTTAGAATTACCTTTTTTTATAATACTTACAATTAAAATAGAAGATTTGATGGTTGAAATCAAAAACAAATTAATGATATTAGTAAATACTTTAAAGTTAAAAAGTGTAAAAGAAAAAAAAGAATTAAAAAAATACACTATATTAGTGAGTGTTCTGACCCAAAATTAGATTTAAATAAAATCTAAAAAATATAGATAATAGTATAGTGATAGTGTACAAGTGATTATTTATTTTTAGTCTGAAAAAATATTACATCATAATATACAATGAATCAAATAATAAATGATAATACAAAGCATGAGAAATTATAAAATTAAAGTAAATATAACATATCAATCCAAAAAATAACTTTGAATGGTGATGAAACTGGTAAAACAACTCTGTTTAGTTATAATAATTAAAAAACTGCTAATACAATTAGTATATCGTCTTATAACTAGGGCTCTAAGAGTAGCCTCGAAGGTAAGAGCTCTATAGCGAATTAATCAATAACACCTAAAGACTATTCAAATGATAATATAAAATGCATTAGCAACTAAGCTACATTTTCTTAAGCTATTGCTAACTAATCTAAGTAAGGCTCCTGTTTTGAAATTTAGCAGATGTAAAAAAAGTCTAATTCTTACATAGATGAGTTAGATTAATTAGAAAGCGATTCTGTGTAGGAGAGAGACTATAATAATAGCTAAACTGATGATTTAGAAAGTAGCTAAGATAGTTTCATTCATAATGTTTGGTAGAATGCTGATGATGACTTAATTTTACGTGGAGTAGACGTTGAAAGTTGGAGAGATAAACAAGGAAATCCTTTTAATATTTTTAATTTATATAAAGCAAGAAGTGGTTAGTTTAAAACTAATAGATAAAATTTATCAAACCAGCTTGTATGCAAGAGCATTTAAAGGCTCTATAATTCTTACAGCAAAGAGAGGTGCTTGTAAGAATAGTTTTAGGGTATCAATAAATCAGACAAATTAAATAGCTCATCTAACTCTCCTAGTAAACGAAAAAATGTAATTACTTTCTCAGAATTCCTCTAAATAAACCCTTTTAAGGATATGAATGATTACACATAAAGCGGATACAATAACATAGTATTTGATAGGTTTAAAGAATATTACTAAAAGTATAGAGCAACTCAAATGAAGAAATACAATTATTCTCCAGAAAGGTTAGAAAAGTAGAAATCTGTTTCATAAAATATGATTTCTGCAAATGATTTAGAAGCTAATAAAACCATATTTGGTGGCAAATTTGTTAGGTCTAAGACTAAAAAGCGTACTGTTGATGTATTTAATTCTCCAGAGTCAAAACCTACACAAGTTTTTCCTTAAAATTAAAATAAATTTTAATTGAATAATACATAAAAAACAAAATTCCATAGCTCAAATGATTTAGATTTGAAGTGCGAATTTGATAATGAAAAAGATAAGAAATAAATCAATACTACAACAATAAAAAATCAAAGCTAATTAATTTAGAAATAGTCAATCTAATATTCGTAAAATAATATTCTACCTATTTAATAGTTAGCTGCATAACAAAATCAAAATTTGATTAACAAAATTTTTAAAGAGTATTCAGAATAGCAAGTTTCTAACGAAGACAAGTTGAGTAACACTCAGCAAAAATTTCCAGAGATATAAAATTAAACACATGTTGATTATTTAGATGGATTACCTTTGAACACTTTAAAACATAAAATTGAAACTATGCAAAAATTAGTTGATTAGCAAAAATAAAAATTACTGCAGCAAAAATAGTAAGAATATTATAGATAAAATTAAATTTATGAGGAGATACTTGCACCGTTAAAAGAAGAAAGAGGTATTGAATAATTACAAGTTACTCAAAAATAAATAAGTATTGCTTAACGCAATTCCTTTAATAAATCTAAATCTTAGGAAGAATTGTAGTAAACACCACTAATTAATTTAGAGATTGATAGTAATAACAAATATTAAAAATCCAGATAATTTAATTAATCTAAAAGCTATTTAAATGAAAATTTATGCGTTTCTCCTTAGAGAAAATCCTCAGGAAGGCTTTCTAATAAGTCTCCAATAAACTATAAGGTCTAGATTAAGCAATTTACATCTAATACTAAGTAATAGGCTGAAGCAACAAAGGTCTTTTAAAAAGAGGAAATCAATTATAATGAATCTTAAAAAAGTCAAAATTTTGAAAGTCCTTTGAAGAAATAAGCTTAAGAAAAAGGATTATCACCTTTATATGATAAATTTATAAATTCTCAATAGATTAATAAAACTTAAAATTTGAAGTAGCAGTAAGAAAAAGAATAACAAATACACCAGGAAGGAAATCAGTTTTTTAAACAGTAGTAAAGTAGCTAGCTTTTAGATAGAAAGTAGAATTTAAAAAACTAATTATTACAAACTTTTAATACACAAAGATCATCGCAAGAATTTATAACTGATAAAGCCTTTCAAAATCAAAGATAACCTACTAACTTAATCTAAACATAATAATTTTTGTTAAAGTAAAGCTTGAAGCCTTAAATTATAAATTACAATTTCTAAAATTAATAACTTTAACCTAATTCTGGCAAATAAATAGAAGATGTTAGTACAAAAAATGTTTAAGAAGGTCTGTAAAATGCTAGTAATTTAAATTAATAAAACAACTAATAGCAGGATTTTAGTAAATATTATAATAGTTACATTCATAGAGATAGCAAATAATATCAATAACTTAATAGTAATAAAGTTTTGAATGTTAGCATTGACACTACTCCTCCTGCTAACATTTCAACTTAAGATTAATCTCCCCTTTTCTTCTTAAATAAAAATAAGTAATAAATGTCTTTAAATAAAAATTAAACTTAAAGGATTATTCAAAAGATTTATAATAATAATAATCTTAGCTAAAATATTTAAAATTCTTTAACTTAAATTACGTAAGAGCAACCTAAAGCTAAATAAAATGAAAATTAATTATCACAAGGTAATCTGCAAAACAAAGAAAGTAAAATACAGACAATAAACAATTACTACATCCCTCTATAAACTGATTAAAGCAGGCTCTATAAAGATAATTCAAATTTTAGTATATCTACTACAAATATAAGCAACACTAATTAAACATAAAGCAACAGAGAAAGATAAATAAACGAATAAAAATAGCTAAAAAATAATATCTCTAAAAGCTACTTCAAAAATACAATTTAAAAATTTAATTTTAGTTATGACTTTAACACTCCAAAAATTAAAACAAATGATATTTCATAGCTAGAAAATGCAAATTAAAGCTTAAATAGTGTTGAATAATTATCTCCTTTAAAGAAAAGAATGATAAAAGAAGATATGCTCTTAAATAAGCAGTCTTCTAATTTAGTAGTTAATTAGATAGACAACAATAATAGTAACCAAAAAATAAATTAACGAAGTGAATTGAGAATATTGGAGCCGAACAATAATTTAGCAGAAATAAAAGAGTAATAAAACGATCCATAATAATTTTTGTTAAAGTAAATACCAAGCATTATAAGTAAAACAAATAGATAATAAAGCTAATTCTAAATTGAAAAAAAATAATTAGCCTAAGATTTCAAAAATACTTAAAGTAACAATAGTTTGTTAATTAAAAGTGGATTTCAATCAACAAGTGCAAATAACTTTTTGTAAGAAAAAAGAGATCATTTTTAAAAAACACTTCAAGCTATATATAATAACAAAACCTTTAATAAATGAAAAGAAGCTTAATTCAAAGCGATGAAAAACTAACTAACTAACTTTACTAACACCAAAATAATAAATGTCTTAATAAAAAAATACATATATAAAAATACTAAACATTTTTAAACAAAATAATAACTTTTGACAAATTATTTATTATTATTATTATTAAAATAAATTTATATTTTGAGTTTATTAGCTTTATTAATATGTTAAATATTATCTTTTAATTTAATATAAATCAATTTATTCTTCTAAAAATTCTAATGAACGATTACCAAAAAAACATTTTTAAATAATTTATAAAATAGCCATTTACCTAAAATAATAATTAAAAAATTAAAATTTATATCTTATTAAATTAGTAAAAGTTGTTTTATGTTAAATTTAAATTTAATTTTTTTAATAGATATAAATTTGTAATCTGATTAGTATTGGAGATTAGGTATTTAAGATAATTTTCAGACTGATCTTAAAATGTTGAAAAATAATTTTTAATTAATTTTAATTCACAAAAAAAAATTAGACTTTGAAATACTTTAGCTTTATTAATAAATAATATTTTTATTTAGTTATTTATTATATTTATTTTTTTTTTGAGATCTTTAAAAACAAAAAGTACAATTTAAAATATATATTTTAAAACGAACAATCTAAAAGTAATAAATGAACATTAATTATTTTAATTTCAGTAATTTAATAAATAAATAATATAAAATAATAAACTTTATAAATATTTTATTGTAATTTATTCAATACATTTTATTATTATTAGCTCTGCTTTTAGGTTAAAGATTTGATGGTAATTAGTGTGAATTTGCAATTTTATTTTCATATTTTTTAGGATAATTATATCGAGGTTAATCTTTTTATCTAATTATTTTATTTTCTTTTATTTAGACGGACTCTGTTCCATATCTGAATGTCTAAAAAATATTAATATTTTGTAAAATAAGCAAAAAAAAATTAATTTATAAAAATTACTTTCGGCTAAGAAGAGGGAGATCCAAGAGTATTAGATTTTGATGTGAGTAAAGGTAAATTGCCTGAATTACTAGATAATGCCTTGGATGTTTAAATAGCTAAAGATTAGTTTTTCAAATGAATACTAGATGAATTTCCATTAATTTCAATTAACTAAGGTTTATTTTAGTTATGGTAATTTTTTTAATTTTAATATGTAGTTTTACTCGATTAATTATTTTATAACTACTAAACCTTTAATATTGATTAATTTGTGGTAGCATGCATACTTGACCTTCCTTGTAATTGAGATCTATTCTAGTCAAAAATCCTCTATCTGTTTGCCTTTTTAATTATATTTATTAAAAAAACAGTTATTTATTTTTTAAAGATAAATTAAAATTCTAGTTTTTTTAATAGTCAATTGAGGTAAATTTTATTGGCTACTAAAATTATATTTCTAATTTATAATGAAACAATTACATTTGAAGATTAATTTTTGTAAAGATTATAATCGACTAGCTTGGAAAGACTTTTAAACTATTTATCCCTATTTGTTAACAAAAATTATATTAATATTAGAGAAGCGCCTATTTATTTTTCATTATTTTTAGCTATAATCATTTAATTTTTCATTGAGAATTACTATTCTTTATCTTGAGGAGCTAGATTATTTTAAATCATCCTAACTTGCTCTTTTGCTGAGGACTTTCTTTATGTTTATGATTTATTCATTCCATACAAAACGTTTTTTTGTGAAGAATTATTGACTGATTAACGAGATTAAGAGGAGTTAAGTTTCCTTATTGATTAGTTAAGCTTATCTTTCTAACTTGGGGTGTATACTATTTTTAAATAACTTTATTAAAGTCAATAGGCAAGTATTAATTTTGATAGTTTACCATCTCTGATTAATTTTTATCTACTTTCAGATCTGAAAGAATCATTATTAGTTAATTTCTTTTCTGATTGCATTCTAATTACCCTAGCAAAGCTCTATTTATCATCCTTTTTAATAACAAGAGAGCTACTACTAGTTGTATTTGTTTATGGCATCGTTATCAACTTTCCTTAAATGTAATCTACTCCATTTTAATTTCTGTATTTTCTTTTAATCATTTTATTTTAGTATTAAAATAACTTTTTAGTGTATTATAAATTTATTTAGCAGACTATTTGATAATAAATAAATATTAATATTTTAAGACTAAAGTAGCTTCTAAAATTAAGTAACGAATTCTAACAGCTTAATAATAAAATTAATTTTTATTTTAAAAAGCTAATATAAAATTATTTATATTTTTTTATGTTTTATTGAAAATAGTGATTAATTAAATTTTTTAAAAATATTTTTTTTAAATAATTTGAATCTATTTATTTTTCTATTACCATTAGTATTTAAATATATTAAAAAGTCCTATTTGTCAATAAAATTCTTTTTTTGTTCGATTAATTAATTAATTATCATGTTAAAAAACAATAAAAAAAAATATTTTACATAATAAAATAGAAAAAAATAAATAGATTAATTAATTAAATTATTAAAAGTAATTTTATTTATTTATTTTCTCAATAATATGAATCTAAAGAGTTATTGTTAATCATTTATAAATAATACTTTTAATTAAAAAAAAGATAAGTTTAATAATATTAGATTATATGGAATATGATTACTATAATTATAGTCATCCATATAAAGACAATAGGGATGAAAATACATCATAATATTTTATATCAACTGCAGACACAAGCAAAAATACAATAAATGCTCCATAATTTTCATAATCATATTAGAATAATTAGTAGTACTATAAAATTGATGATTTCTAAGAAACATTTTCACATATGAATGCATATGAAGCTACAAATAATTTTTTTTTATAAGAAACAAATAGCAATGAATTTGCGAAAATAATTTAAATCTAAGAAGAAGAAGATTAAGAAGAAGAAGAATATATCTAAAAAAAGTGGAGTTCTGATAGCTACGAAGCTAATGATTTTGACTAATGTGATTTATTTGTATAAAATGGACGTTGCTCTTTGATTAAATATAATAATTATAAGTTCTTGGATAAATCATTTAGAGGATTAAAAAACCTTGTTTGTAAGTATGCCTCATAAAACAATCTATATATTTAAAATTATAGATGCTCATATGATTAAAATAAAAGAATTTTTGTCATTTATGATGAATTGAACTCTAAATTTTGCTTTTTTGATATTGAAAAAGAGACGATACATGAGATAGAACTTAATCTTAAAGATAATTAACTTTTTTCTTTGGACTTTTAAAAATAGATTATTTATATATCGAGATAGCAAGAATAAAAAACTTTTATAGACTCTTTTTGCTATTAAGTTGAATAGTAAAAAATGATCTTAAAATAAGTAGAAAAAGCTTTTGAAATAGAAGAACCGAATATTGACTATTTCATAGTAAACGATTAAAATATTTAATATTTATACAAATAATTTGAATAAAGTGAGGAGGAAGGAAAGTATATATAATAAGTACATTAAAATGATTAGGATTAATCATTTAAATGCATTTTATACGATATAAATAACAACAGTTTTGCAATTTGTAATGAAACCTTGTACTATAATTTTGAATATATATACAATAAATAATATGATTAAGAAATATAAGATGTGATTGAGTAATATGATGAAAATGATATGTGCTACTTCTAATCTAAAAGAAAATATAGTTACTAACAGCTCAAAATAAAATTTTTTAATAATCAAACAATTAAAAATTAAATAAGAATTAAATATTTTAATGATTGAAAGAATTCTCATTTTAAATAAAATACTTCTTTTTATACTCATTTCTTTTTAAAAATATTTGTCATCTCATTCATGAAAGAGAAGTTAAAAAATCCTTACAAAAAAAAATTTAATTAACAATTTTCCCTTTAATAAAATAAAAGTGTTTTATTCTTTCCCTTGATAATAGCTTTTAGGATAAAAGACTTTTATTTCCTAAATTAATTGCCATATTCGATCTATTTTTTCCTGGTAAGCAATAATAAGAAGTAAATTTTTAAAAAAATTTATACTTTTATCAAAAAATATGAAAATATAAATACTTAGTTATATATAATGTGGATAAAAAATACTTACTTTTATATATAAATATATGTTACTAAAATAATTGTTTTATCTAATCAAATTATTAAAATTAAAATTATTTATTTATTTTAAAGTTTTCACTTTATATTTGTATTTTATTTATACTTAATTTTCTTATTTAAATTATTATTATTATCATCATTATCTAACTCAGCCACCAGATTATTCTTACCTTTAACTATTCTCTTCATAATCAAAATTATATGGTATCCATTTTGTTGCTTTTTATTTATGCAAATTATCATCAGTCTAATTATATTTCATTTTAAATTTACTAAAATACATTTATAACAAATAAACCTTATTAAACCTGATCATTCTTACCTAAGATATATTTTTGATGAGCAAAATAGATTATTCTTACCTTTAACTATTCTCTTCATAATCAAAATTATATGATATCCATTTTGTTGCTTTTTATTTATTCAAATTATCATCAGTCTAATTATATTTCATTTTAAATTTACTAAAATACATTTATAACAAATAAACCTTATTAAACCTGATCATTCTTACCTAAGATATATTTTTGATGAGCAAAATTATATGGAATCCCTATCATATTTCTAAGAAAATTTAATATCACAAATTATTTTATTTATTTTTGATATTTCTTTTTGATTTAAAATATTTTAGATTTAATAAAATAAAATTGATTTGTTTTTAGTATTTAACTTTCATAAATAATAGATTTTGATTTTATTTTATTTTGATTAATAATTTATCTTCAAGTTTCAACAAAAAATATTTTAGAATTTAAAACTTAAAGCACTTTACAATTCATTATTCTAGCAAGATATATATTTTTGTTATTTAAATTGAAAACGAATATGAAAATCTAGTTGATAATTAATTTTTGATTAAATAAATCAATATCTTATTTTATAATGTTTATTAAGTTTATTTTATTTGAAAAGATTCCTTTTATTCTGCTAAATCATTATTCAACTTACTTATTATGAGTGAACAAACTAGTAATACTTAAACAAAGAAATCAGTTAAGATACTATTTATACTTATTGATGGTATAGCAGATTTAGGGCTTAAGGAACGCTAAAACAAAACTCCTTTGTAAATTGCAAGTCTTCCCACATTTAATGCTCTCGCTAAGTCTGGTAAGAATATTTCGTATTCTTTCTTTTTATATATTTTACATCATTAAGATGCGTATAAATTTTCCACAAAAAAAATAAATTATTTTTTAATTTAAATAGGTGTTTGTGGATTAATGGATCCTGTTGAAACAGGTCTTGCTTGTGGGAGTGATACAGCCCATATGAATATTTTTGGTTATATTCCATTTACTCTATACAGAGGAAGAGGGGCCTTTGAGAGTATGGGAGCTGGCTTACATATGGATTGTTCAGATATAGCTTTCAAATGCAACTTTGCACATATGGAGGCAGAAACTAGAATAGTAAAAATGAGAAGAGTTGATAGAGATTTTGATAAATGGGGTTTACCTCTAATTGATTATGTAAATGGAATGAAGGTTCCTGAATACCCTGAGCATTATATTAAAGTATAGCATGCCACTGAACATAGATGTGGAGTTATACTTTCTGGCCCTAATTTGACAGATAGAATTACTGGAACTGATCCTCTTAAGGATAATTTGGCTTTAAGAAAAGTTCTTGCCAAAGATCCTTAAGATCCTCATTCAGTAGAAAGTGCAAATATTGTAAATTATTTAAATTTGTTTTTGGAAAAGATGAAAAATCTTTTTAAGATAAACTAAAATAAACATAAAATATAATCTATTTGATCAGAATATAAAGTAAATTGATACTATAATTATAAATTAACAAGGTCAATAAGCTTAGTGATGCAATACATGAAAAACTAACTTAACATGAATTAAATGTCAAAAGAAAAGCTTAGAATCTTCCTACAGCAAATATAATACTACTGAGAGGTGCAGGGATGAGATTATGTATCTTAGTTATTTCAAATTAATTATTTATAAATATAAATTTTAATACAGAGGTAGATGAATTCGAGAAAAAGCATGGTTTAAAAGGATTTATGATTGCTCCAACTGCCATTATTAATGGATTAGGCTAAACAATTGGAATGGATGTGATAAAAGCACCTGGTGCAACTGGAGATTATCATTCAAACTATTCTAGCAAAATTTAAACTGCTCATTAGACTTTTAGATAAAATCCATGTAATTTTAAATTAAATAAAATTTGCAAGCATTCTTTATGTTTACAAATTATAATTTAAGCTTAGACTTACTAAAAGTTATTAAAATTTATTTAAAATAAAATCAATTACAGAATATAATTTTGCTTTTGTGCACATTAAGGCAGTTGATGATGCTGGCCACGATAAAAGTGAAGCAAGGAAAATAGAGTATCTATAGAAAGTTGATGATATGCTTAAAGAATTTACAAATATTATCAAGGATGAAACTGATAGTGAATATATTATTTGCTTAACTGGAGATCATACAACACCAGTAAGAAATGGAGACCACACTTTTGAACCTGTCCCTGTTGGTATAACATTATCAAGCAACCTGCTAAATGAACTTAATACAAAAAAATAAACCAATGATGAGCTAGCTCATTATAAAGATAACGTTGAGAAATTTGATGAACTAAGTGCTGCTGAAGGTGTGCTTGGTAGATTTGTTGGCAGCTAATTATTATCAATCTTAAAGAACTTTAAGAATCAAATAGAAAAAATTTGAAATATTAAATTAATATTAATTATTTAAAAGTAGTTTTTTTGAAAATAATTTACTTATTATTTAGTCTTCTACTAATATTTTAATTTTGAAATTTTAGCATAAGTAAATTTAAAAGATAATTAATATATTTGAATTAATTATCTTTCTAATAATTTGAAAATTAATTTTATTTCACTGAAAAATACTCTAATAATTTGCTCTTTTTTTTTATTTTTATTTAATTTATTAACACACTTTTTATTCTTTTAAATAAAAATAAAAATTTTTTATAAAAAATTTAAAAACTATTTTCAAAGAAAACAGTAATGAATTAATATCATAAGCAAGAACAATCACTAAAGCTTGTTAAAATTAGGAAACCAATTACTAACTTTAATGAAAAAAATAATTAAAAGAATAACTCTTTTTAGAAGATAGATAGAGATACATTCTACAATCCTAAAAATTGCTAAGATATAGATGAAATTGATCTTATTACAAGGGAAGAAGAAAACATAGATAAACTAACAAGATAGATGAAAAGTAAAAAATTATTGAAGCTGAATATCAAGCAAAAAAATAGTTAGACAGATTTGATGGAAATAGAAGAACTTCCCTTAGATAAGTAAATGGATGAAATTGAAGAGGAAGATGAAGAAGAAGATTTTGAAGATGATGAAGACAACTAACAATCAAACAATAAAAAAAAATATGATGTCTAAGATCTTTAATAAGCAGATAAAGATTAATACTAAATATGCAAAATTATCAATCATTTACTTTTGAAAAATGTAATTTTACAATTATTTTAATTTAAATTAACATTTTTTTAAAAAAGAAAATATCTTAAAAAAACGCTTTTGATATCAAAATCCCTAATTTGTTAGAAATTCAAAAAGTTGATTACTCTCAACATTCTTCATGGAAATTTCTCTCTTCAGGTCTTGGTGCAGGAGCAAGGGTATATGGGTAATTATTTTAATTATTATCGTTAAAATGGAATTGTTTTTATTTTTTCAAATTATCTATTTTAAAATTAATTTTATTTGAGATAAAAATCGATATTAATAAAATATTTTTTAAATTGTTATTCAAAATTTTTTAATTTAGTTATAAAGTTGATAATACATATGGAGATACTATGAAAGTAATAAGCAAGCTTGTAAGGATTGATGCTTTTGATGAAGAAGAAATTAATAACATTAATAACAAATAATAAATTCTCAATAAAAATAAAAAATTTACATTTGATATGGACAGTGCCATTAAAAACTCTGAAAAAGCTGGACTAAAAACTTTAGAATTAAGTAAATTATTTTCTCAAAAATTTTGATTTTGATTTTTTTAAAATTTTTATTTGTAGATTTAGACAGCCTTAATGCAGTTTTGTATGACTTAGAATTTGATAAAGACCCTACTTTCTGGAGAACAAGTCTTAGTTTTGATATTAAATCTGCTGAGACTATGCTTCTGAATAAATTACCTGTAAAGTTTTATATTTTAAATACAAATTAAGTGAATATTTTTAATAATAAAAAGATGGATGCTGATTTTGGATATGTTGTGGATTGTGAAGATAAAATTATTTTGATTGTAGATAAGTAGTAAAAAGAAATAGAAAAAAGGTAAGAAAACACATAAAATAATGAGTATTAATAGCTTAGTAAAATTAAACCATGGGTTATTAGAAAATAAGGATAAAGTGTACCAGTTATTATTTCAATGTATGAAGTCTTAATGAGTTAAATTGACGAATAAACTATATAAGAGAGGTAATAAGAAATTTGTGATTTAAATGTAAAGATAGATGAAGGTGAAATTGGAAGAATAACATTAAATCAAGAAGAAGATAGAAAATTTATTTCAGAAAAACCAAATGTTGTTGTTGATTATAAAACTCTCTTGGAATAAGAAGGTGGTTTAGGGGATTAACTTTAAAGCTTTGAAGCATACATCAGGTCGAAGAAAGAACCTATTTACTCCACAAATAAAAAAAGGTGGTAATGGGAAAATAAATTTTTCGATTTTGTTAAAGAATAAGAAGAAATTAATCATTAGTTACTAATTAATCAAGAATAATAATAATAATAAGATAATTTAGAAAAAATTATGGAAGAATAAGAATAAAAAGAAGTTGATGAACAAAATATATAACAAAATTTAACTTTTGAGACAAAAGAAGAGCCTTTATTAGAGGAATGCTAAAATTATGTAAATCCAAATAATATTTTTAAAGATAAGTCTCAAGAATCTGGTCCAAAAGATTAAAACCAAGAGCCTTTGATTTAATAATAAGAAAATAACTCATTTGAAATAAGGAATGCTAATTAGTCAGACGAAATATAAATTGAGTTAGATTCTATTCCTTAAATAGAATCAAGAAATAAATTAAGCTTAAGCAATAATAAAAGCTTATAATAATAGAATGTATAATCATAAGAAAATATATAATAATCCAGCCAAAAGTACTCAAAATCATTGAGTAGATAAGGCAGTTAGGTTCAAGGAAGTTCAAGTTTTAATGGACCTACTTTATTTAATAAAGAAGATTCTAATTAGGCTTTTATGTAGTTGTTAGCTTTTTAAAAGAATGAATCAAAAAAGGAACAACTTAAAAAATAAAATGAATTATAAAATGAGTTGAAAATATAACTTTAAACAAATTAAATATAATCTCAATTAGAACAATAGCAGTTTTAGCTTGAAGAAGATATTTATATCTCTTTAGGAAATGAGGAATGGAACAGATAGGAATAGTATAAAGAGTAATTATAATAATCATCATAGCAATAAGAGGAATCTAAAGTTCTATCTTAGCAAGATATTTAACAAGGATAAAGCTAACAAAATATTCAATAAGTAACTCATTCAAAATAAACTTAAAAAGAAAGTAAAAGTAAAACAAAAAAAAATAAAGATTCATATGAATGTGTAATACCTCCACCAATAGTATTCAATAAAGAAAAAAATTCTAAATACAATTATCATTATGATTAACAGTACGATTAAAGGTAAGAAGATGTACAATAATAAAATTAGCAAAAATCTACTGATTAAAAAAATAAATTAAAATAATAAATAGAAAACTAATAAAATTCTATTGATAAAAACGAAGAATATCATTATAGGAAACCTTTTTAAGAATTAAATTAATAAAAAATTAGTTAAGAATTCCATGAAAAAGATTCAATCAATTTTAATATTTATGAAGATAAAATTAAAAATGACTCTGTAGATGACTAAGAAATTTACAAAAAAAAGTAATTTAATGTGAAAAAAATTTAATTAGAAAATCTTCAAACTTTTTAAGAAAAAAATGATTATGATTAAACAAAACATGCTAAAAATTACTAGAAATATATTTCAAATGATGAATTTTAATATCATTCACAAGTATTAGCTGAATTTTTTGGCAATGATTTAGAAGAAAATGACAAAAACTAAGAATAAATTGAAATATACATGTCTGATGAAGAGGATGATAATGACTAAAGTAAATTTAAGCATCAATAGCAAAAATTTAAAAATTCTAAATCTTATAAAGAAGATGCAAACAATATGGAATGCAATTCAGATTAAGAAGTTTAAATTATTAAACATAAAAAAATAAGCTAAGGATTATAAAACATAAATACAATTTAATTAAATTACCTAAACAATATTCTATAGACATAAAAATTAAGAATAATTGAAAATGATAATGATGACCTAGTAATAAAAATAGATGAAGATGAAGATAATTACTTAAACTTGAATGATTTAGATTCAGCCAATCCGTTTAAAAAAGGCAGATTTGAATAAAATTTTAGCAGTGATTCTATCTCCTAATAAAGCTTTGCTAGCTACGATAACATTTGTGAATAGTTTCTTGGTTAAGACTATAAGAACAAAAAGAAAATGTAATAGCAAGAAGAATATTTAAAAAATTATCAGAAAAAATTTGAATAAAGAATTGAAAAGCTATAAAATGAAAGAAAAATGAAAGAAGCATCTAAAAAGGATATCCAAAAAACTTTAAATCATGCTATTAATGCAGTAGAGTAAAATCTTTAGAATAAGAAAAATAATAATATTTAAAATTAAAATGAATAAGAAGATAAATCTTATGAATTGTAGATTTAGTAAAAATAAATTTTAGATTAAGAAAATTTAGAAAAGCAATAAAAGGAATATTAAATAACACCATAATACAATTAAAATTAGTCAATCAATGACCAACAAATAATTTAGAATAAATAGAATTAGTTAAATTTATAGTAGATGGAGGTAGAAGAAGATGATAATTATGTTAATTATAATGATGATAATTCAGAAGTTGACATATTTGAGAATTACCTTTTATTTTTTGAAAAAAAGAAAAAAGGAATATTCAACTAAATTAAATAAAAAGAAGACTAAATTGAAGAAGAATTTAATAAATTACTTTATTCTGATCAAGAGAGTGAAGAAAATAATAACGAATTTTTATTAAAATAAGTTGGTTATTAGAATAGTTAACATTAATAGAATAATGCTATCCCTGATTCTCATAAAGGAATCGACTTTAAAATGGATCAAGTTTATCTTGTTGATCTTAACCTGAATGTTGAGCAAAATCACCCTCTGTATTCAGTAAAAAGATATTTAGGTGATCTATTTTATTAAAAAGAAGAAGATTTATTAACAGAGAGAGAACTGAAAGATAAAAAGTACACTTGGGGATATTATTCAATACCTAAGGCTGATGATACTTTAGATAACTTTATAGATTCAAAAAAGTTTGATATGAAGGTATTCAATATAGGAAAAGGAACTCACAAGATAGACATGAGTATTTATTTTTTCATTTTAACTTGTTATATATTCTAAGTTTTTATTAAAATTAGGAACATGCTAAAAAGGTTAATCAGAATACTTTAAAATTAAAATAAATGACGAAGAGTAAGAAGAACTTTAATTGATATAAACTTCTAAGCTTACAGCAGCTCCTAAAACAAAAGAAGATTGGGAGAAGAAAAAAGCTAGAGCTATTGGAAAGAGAAAAGACTTAAATGAGATAGACTTTAACATTGAGGAAGAGTTAGAGAATTATTATTAAGTTGTTTAACCAAGATATAGAAATTTATAAGAACTAATTCATGAGCAGAAAAGAAGGAGAAGGAATTCTAAAAAATATAATTTTGATAATTTAACTAATCACAAAAAGATTGAAATGAATCTTATCAAAAAAAGAGACATTCTTTATCTTTTATAGAACGATATCTCATATAAAAATTACTATGACCTACATGTTAGATGTTCTGATTACATTCATTATTTAGAATTACCTTCTCTAAAGCATTTCGTAGCATCTAAAAATTTGTATGAGTATTTTAAAAGCTAAGACGAAGCTGTAATTGATATAAATATTGATGAAATTGAAATAGACTTAAACTCTGATTAAGATTAATAAGACTTTGATAAAGATGATTTTTTGAAAGCATAATTTTAAATGGATGGTAAAGAAATTGATTTTAATCTGTTTGAATGCGGTCTTTATGATGCATTAGAAATTGATAGGCCTTGCTTTTAAGATATTTTAGACAACACAAATATTCCTTAAATTAGCAGTTTGTAAATTTAATAGCTTAATGAATAGGAAAATAAAAAACAGAATGAAAATAATTACTCGGCTATCTAATAAAAAGAAATTTAGGCATCTTTAGAACAATAAATCCATTAAACATAAAGTGAAGCAATTGTTGAAGAAGAAAAAGATTAAGAAGATGAACATAAATAATTAACTCATGCAAATTAAAGAACTTAATAATTAGATAATTTATACTCAGAAACAGAATCAAACATTAATTTATCAATTATGAAGCATTCCAAAAAAATAAAAAAGTAAAATAAATAATTATTAAAAACACCAAATGATAAATTAAACAGAAGAAAATTTTCAATTGATTTAGAAGAATATTCTAATTAGATGTTTATAGATGATCTTTATGAATAAAGAAGTGATTCATTAGATATTGATAATTTTAACTAAAAAAGTGGTAAAAAAGATAAACTTTACAACAACAATTTAAATGATTAATTTAATTAAGAAGAGATATCATCATTTCCTATCGATTTAGACGACTATTCTGTGATGGAATATAATTAAGAAAGCAACAATCATAACAGTTAATAAGCTTCCATTAATGGAGAAAATTTAAATTTAAATATGGAGTCCGATTAGAGTCTTCAAAATTTAGAAAGCGATTCATCCTATACACAAAGAAATTTACAAAAAATATGCAACCCAATTAGATCATTATGGCTATCTAAGAAACTAAAATCATATGAAAAGGAAGTCAAGCTAAGATTTAAAAAATCTGAAATAGAATAAGAAGCAATAAAGAGCAATATTATTAATGAAAAAAGTATTAGTTAAAGTAAATTTGATATAATTTAAGAGAATGTTGTATAGGAAGAGGGAGAAATAGATTCTTATAATAGCCTAGAAGAATAATACAATCATAAAGAATATAAACATTTACGTCCAATCAACTTAGATGAATATGAATTAAATAGAGTTTACAATCCGGAAGTAAAAATGGAATGGGAAGTCAAGCTAGAATAGACTTACTAAGAAATTAAACAAAAGAACCCCTATGAAGACTTTGTGTATCTCACTCCGAACGATATTCTTTTAGATACTTTGAATGAAAATAATTAATACTTGAGAAGTATTCCATACCTTAATAACTTAAACAATTTATAAAGATTCAAATCTGACTAATTTTAACTATAAAATCTTCTAATAAAACAATCTTAAATTTAAGATAAAAAGTAAAAGCAAAACAAATAAAAAAACAAATATTTTTAACCTTAAATTTGTTCTGATTTCATGGGTATGAATAAAAAAACAACTATGAAAGAACTCATTATCAAAATATGGCTATTCATCAAGCAACACATCAAAGTAAATATTTTTTAATTATTTATTCATTAATTTTAATAATTTATTTTTTAATAATAAAGTAACAAGATTAAATATAATTGAATGAAGTACCTTTTTCATTCTATGATATTTTATTGATGTTGCCTTAGATTATTGGGAGCTAAGAAGATGCAGAAAAAATATCAACTTAAAATATTTTTTCAATTTTACTTCATTTATCAAATCTTAAGAATTTCAGACTTGTTTCAAACAATGAAGGATAAAATTTTTATATCTTTAAAGATTGATTGACTAAAAAGTGTATCTGTATATATATGTATATAGTTTTTGTTTTTAAAAAAATAAAAATAACTAACTATTTCTAAATAAATAAATATTTTTAAAAAATAATTTTTGTTTTAAATCCTTACTTTAAAAATGTACTTTTATTTTAAATATACTAAACTCTTCACAGTTTATAAATATATTTTAAGGAAACATCTCATGTTTAAATAAATTAAAAAGTAGGATTGTTATAAATAAATAAATTATTAAATATATGAAACATAAAATTAAAAATATTTTTCTTACTACATTACCAGAGATTATTATAAAATTATTAAAATTTACAACAAACTCAATTCAAAAGTGAAAAAATAATAATAAAATTATTACGTCACCGAAGTATTATAATTTCAAAAAGTATTTAAAAAAATATCGTAAACGATATTTTAATGAGTATATCAAAAACCCTTAACATCACTCAATATTTATATTTTTTTTTAATAAAAATAATAAATATTTTATAATGCAAAAAGTTTTCATATATATGAAATTATATTTTATAATTTACTTCTTTTGATGTAATTTTTTTAAATAAACAAAAATTGAATTATATATTTGATTTGAAAATTTTTAAATTTTGCATTATGAAAAAAACTTTGTACAAAATTTAAAAAAATTGACTAAATAAAAAATAATTTATTAATATATTTAATATAAATAAGTTATAATTATTTTTAGTTAAATTTAGTAAAAGATAAAGAATATCTAAAAGATTTAAATCTTTAAAAGTAAATATTTGCCAATATGCTTCAATAATTTAAATTTATCTAATAGTTCTAAGAAAGGTAAATGGTTGAGATAAGTATGAATAAAATATCTTTTATTTAAATTAATTGAGATTGATTTGTCGTCATTTTTCAATTAAATTCAATTAATTTGATATTTCATAATTTACCACAAAATTAAATAGGTATCTAAAATAAGAAAGAAAGAAAAATATTAGAAAAATTACACTTTATAAAAAGCGAATAAAACCAAATAGTGATAAAATTTTGGTAAAAAAAAGTAACCAATTGTGATTATTTTAAAATAAAAATGAACTAAAAAAGACAAGCTCCATTTCAAGGAAGCTTAAAAGCATCACATTTACCTATAGCTGTGATGATTATTGCTACAATTGGTATTGCTTTTAGCTATATAGCTGCTTAAATTTAAGGCTCTGAGCCTCCTTTCCCTCATGCTTCTATAACCTCAAATTCTAATCACTATCCTCAGTATATTGTTTTCCGTATTACAGAAGAAGGTTCTGCTTTATTCATCATCTTCATCTGGTTGATAGAATATGTATGGATAAGGTAAAAAGCTCAAGAAACTGGAGTTACCTTAATCTTCCCACAATTGCAAGCTATCCTAGGAGCCATTTCAGGAATTTTGTTTATTTTTAGCACTGCTACTATTGATACTGGCAAAATGAACTCGAGTTTACATGGCCATTGTGCAACTTGGTTCTTTATAACTTTGATGGTTAATTTCTTACTAAATTTCTTATCATTTGTCTAATTTAAATGTAAAAACGAGATGATAATCAATGAAAATAGTTTCTACACTAAGCTATTAATCAACATGTGCGATGTCGTACTTCTTGTTCTGGAAAGTAAAGATATTCCTAATTATGATAATATCTAGGAATATCTTGGTGTATTATTTATGTGTATTTACATGGGAACTTTTGCCTTAGATTGGAAAGGATACTATATTGAATTTAATATTTAAAATCCTAAATTAATTAGCCTTGTAAGAGAAGAACCTTAATTAAGATAGGAATATGCTTTTGTTCAACAACCATAGATTTATTATGTTCCCTAGGTCTAATAGTAAATTCAATAATAAACCTAATTCTTATAAACTGTTCATGCCTAATCTCCTATGGGCTAAGCTTTGGCAGCTTCAATTCCTCAAGTACAAGCTCCTGTTTTGAATATTTAACCTCTTTACAGCCATTAATAACCTTCATATACTCTTTTCACTTAGAAATATTGAAATCCTTTAATTAATTAAAAAAGAAATATTAATTCTTTTATAATTAATTGATTTAAATTGATGATCAGAAAGCAAAAATAAATAAAATAAAAGGACTTCTAAGTGTAAGCTGAATAGAAAATATTCATTTTTAAATAAAAATATATTTTTAAAAATTTCTATATATTAATTAAATACATCCTCTGTGTGAATCTTTTTTACTTGAATATTATTTCTGAAATAGATAATGCCTTTCTTTTTCTTTATTTTTTCTTAATTTAAATAAAATTTTATTTAAATATAATAAAACAAATTTAAATTTTAACTTTATTTTTTATTTGTAAATGTAATTTAAAATTTTGAGCAGTATTTTATAATTTTTGGTTTGAGTTTTAATAAATTCCAAATTTTTTATATTCATGTGATAAAAAGGCTTATTTGAGAAGTAATAAATAAATAAATTATTTTTGCTTTGAGAGTTGATTTATATAATTTATGAAAGAAAGGAACTTAACAATTTTTATTTAAAGTTAAAAAACTGTATTTGATTTTGGATTTTTTACTATCATGGTACAAGCTAACTTATTTGATATATAAATTAATAATAATAAATTTTTATTATCTCAGAACCAATTTATTCTATTTATTGTTTTAGCAAATTTGTTTTAAATAAGAATGAACTAACTTAATATATCCAAATTTAAATTGATGTTTTATTTAAGATTATTATACTTTAATTATTTAAAAATATCAATTGATTGATTTATTTATTTATAAAAGTGAATTTTTGGTTATTTATTTTTAACTATCATAACAAAATATAAACTTATTTTACGATTTTAAAATACAAAATAAATATATTATATGAGTTATTTGACATTATTAATTAATTTATTTATTTATTAGTGAATTAATAAATTTTAAGTTTTTAGAATCTATCATCAATAGCATCTAAAACTTTGCTTTTATATAACTGGTTCCTTATAAAGTTAACTAGGAATTTATATGTACTTTTAATAAGTAAGCATAGAATTATCTAATTTAATGTTTATTCCATTTTTTATCAAGAAAGAATGAAGGGGATTAGTTAAATCCTAGTTGTAATCTAGTTCAATGTGAGTCATTCTTTTTGGAAGGATTAGTTGACATGGTCCTTTGCAATAATCTTTATTTTTGTTTTTTAGTAAAGAAAATAGTATATTTAAAATAATTTTTTTTTACCTAGAAGCTATTGACTTTGCTAATAAGGAATAAGTCTATCTTGCTATCCATGAACAATAAATGTAGGGCAAACTACTTTTTAAATATTTTCTATATTAACAAACCTTTCTTTAATTAGATGCTAAGCAAAAGAACCTGCTACGTGCTTAGCAACTCCTCTAATGGAAGTAAAAGGAGATATTAAAATAAGCCCACCAACTTTTTTGTTAGCTGCTAACCAAGTTGCGGGTCCAGTTCCTATAGATCTTCCCAAAATAATAATATTCTTGTAGCTATAATTTAACTTTTCTGTTAAAAAATTATAAACATATTGAGTATCATTGAGTATTTAATTTTCATCAGGTTCTCCTTCGTATATTCCATATCCTTGGTATTCTACTGCAAGTACATTTAACTTTTATTTTTAATATAAATATCATTTAATATTTAGAAACTGAATTTACCTTCAACGTATTCCTTAAATGATCTGTCAATTCATAAGATAAAGAGATATCTTCACCATTTCCATGAAAATAAATTAATACATAATTTGAAGGTGAATAACTTTTTAAAAATAAGCAGGGAATGTATTTTTATTACTCACTATGATTGATATTATATTAATAATCTAATTCACTATTTAACCTCTATTTTATAATCTAAGAAAACATATATTAATTCTCTTTTTAATCTTTAGGTAAATAATTTTAATTTTTGTTTTGAATATTTTTAGAAGCATAAATATTATTTAAGCTTCCAGAATCATTTCTCAATTGTTAAGTTTTGTTAAATATATGTTATGTTTTACTATTTTTATTGCAATCACCAAAAACTTATTTGGTGTTTAGCTTTTGTTCTTTAATTTACTATTATTGTAATGCAATTTATTATACAGAAAAAACTTAATTAGATTTTGTTGATGTTAATTATCTTGAACTCTGCGAATGATTAATTAACTTTCCATTTTCTTGAATTTCATAAAAAGGTTATCTTTGTTAAACAGAAGGAGCTCCTACAGCTTTTACTTAAGAGAAAGTAGATTTATTTGAATCATTCATCCATTAACTTTTCTAATTCAATTGATTATCTATTGAAATTTAATCATTAGTTTAACCTGAAATTGAAGTAGTATGGCTTGTAAAACATGATCCCTTAGATTTGTTAGAAAATATTTCACTATTTAAAAATATTTTAGAAACATAGTTTTAAACATTCTTTGGAGATTATAAATTAAATTCTTCCTAATTAACTTCATCAATACATTCATTTAGTAAACTGCAGCTTTAGAAAGATTAATTTGTTTATTCATTCATTTGAAATGGCAAATATATTTTATTTTATGTTTATTCATTTTATTATTCATGTGTGTTTTGTAAATTAAATGTTTTTTTATTACATATTTACTTAATATCACAAATTTACTGCTGCTGCCTAATTTAAGGCTTAGAATGAAACTTAATAGAAGATGTTTTTTAAATCTAACTTAGAATTTTTTCTTCTTAAGAAATATCTAAATTATATTCATCATTTCCCTCATTATGAATGATAAAAGTCTCTGCTTCAATATACGATTTATCCATGATATCATTTTATTTAATTGGGTTTCTAAAAAAATCAATTCTAGTATTTAATGTCTTATTAAATCCAGTTTGGTTAGCTGTAATACGATTGCTCTTACGAGGATAACCAATTGAATTCTATAATGAGAGGGAATTAGATGATTAGCATCTTTTATGCTTTATTTATTCATTTGTAGATGCTTTTTTATTTTCAATAATATTAACATTTTTAGGATTAACTTTGCAACTATCTAAATTTTCATAAATTAATTTTGGTATCCATATCAGCTCTCCCTATTTGAAATTTTATTTAAATTGATTTGTATATTTATGTAAAAATCTACTTGATGTTATTGGTGGGTGTATTTCTTTTTTGGTGCAGGAAAAAGAATAAAATTTAGATTCATAGAATTTTGTTTATTTGTATTTGCAGGTAGAAATACTCAAAATAATTAAAGCTTTTTTTCTTATCAAAAAATTTGTAAATTAAGAATTCGTTGAATTAAATATTTAAAATATAGGCAAGTATAAACATCCCAAATAATATTTACAAAATAACAGTAATATTTTAAATTTTATAACCAACAAAATCATACATCCCTTTTCTATTAATTTAATAAGATAAGCATTTTTAAATCATATTATTAATTATTAATATTATTTTTTTATCTAGTTTAAATAGGTTTCAAGTAAATATATTTTAATTTATAATTCGATTTATTCATTTAAAAAATATAAAAATAATACTATAATTTTAGCTTAAAAAGAAAAAAAATTTTTATATTAATTTATAATAATAATTTTCACAGCTTTATAATAAAAAATTTTAGTCATATATTGTTAATCCAACAGTTAAAATATGATGAATTGGATAACATAATATGTTCATGCTTGAATTAGCTTAATTTTTAAAAAATTTTGTAAAATAAATAAATGAAAAAATAATAAAATTTATAAATTTATTATAATGCATTTATTTTTTAACTGTAAATTATCACATAATTTCACAGCTCTCATACCAAATATTAAGTAACGTTTTGGATGTGTTTTTTATAGCACAATTTTAGGCTTAGGACAAATGGGGGAGGTATTAGTTAATAATTATTTAAAGTATATAAATGAATTTTTATTATCTATGAAAAGAGATTTGTAATTAAAAAAGTGTGGACCAAAATACTTTTTATTTCATTATGATAAAAATAAACCTCATTAGCAATCTGAAATGAGAGAATATCTCTAAAATAATGAGTTAATCCTTATCGAATAACAACTATTCAGTCCTGAATCAGTTTTTTGAAATTTTTTAGTTGTTCAAATTTATAGAGGAGGTTATATGATCATGAAAATTAGGATACCTTGTTCGATGAGATAGAATTAATCTCAAATTAAATAAACGAGTCTCAAATGTTTAAAACTTTTAATAACTTTATACTAAATATAGAATTATGTGAAAAAACTAACTTTGGCTATTTTTATCATATTTTATAATATTAATTTAAAAAATTTATTATCATTTCTTTGTTTAGGCATCGCTAATTATTTGTTTTTTTAAATAAGCTATTATTTCAAAAAAAAATTAATAAAAAAAATAAAAGGGTTTACATTTTTAATATGATCATAAAGATGTAAATAAATACTAAATTAAAAATTTAAATTTTCCAATATATACTTTTTTTATAATATACAGGATTTGTCTTTTAAATTTTTAAATTGCAAATGAAATGAATGAAAAAAAATGTTAATCAAAAATTAAATATTTGCTGATAAATTTAAAAATTTTTCAATGAAAAATAAAAAGTTTAATTAAACATTACAATTTTTTTTAAAAATTAGATTGAATTAACTGTTGAAATTATTTTATAGTTTATTTAAGGTGCTTATTTATGAAATAAACATAATTTAAATTGAATAAAATATAAGCATCAAATTTTTTTTAGGCAATTAGGTAATTAGAAATATTAAGCTATGAATGAACTCAATGTAAGTTTTTAGTATTTATAAAATAATTTTTTAACTAGTTTTTACCAAAAAATATTTTTAAAAATGTATTACCTTTAATAAACCCCTTAAATTATAAATCTGAATTAAATTTTATTTAAGGTATATAGGTATATTAAATGAGTACATCTCATAAAAATATGAATATATATATTCTATAGAAGCATTTTATCAAATTTTATAACAAATAAGTATTTTAATTTACTGTTTTTAAAAACAGTTATTATTATAAGGATGATCAATCAAAGATTAAATCAAAGTGAGATTACATAGGTTTATATACCAATTAAGGCTATACCAGCTTTTGATAAGCTACATACTGAAGGATTTAAGTATATTTTAAATGAATATACTTATTTGATATCACATAATTATATCTTATATGTTAAAACTCTGTCAAATAATTTGCTTCCAAAAAAACATATGGGTCTTCTTTTTGATCTTCTTCCATAAACATAAATAAATTTGTATTTTCATATATTATTAACTATTAAAGATATGGTTATTCTTAGAACAATTATTTTAATAATTTTGATTGTAGCTTATATATTTTAAAACTTAGAAAATAAAGTTCTTTACAACATTAAGAAATTTCTATGATTTTCTTGAACTCCATTATTTAAGATTTTATGGATAAGCTTTTTAAATAATTTGAACTTTTTAATTATATACCTTAAATTATTTTCATTATTAAAATGTGGTTTATCTAATATCCAACAAGATTAAAAGTGAGAGATTTCATTTTTGTAAATTTTTAATAGTCTTCTTATTTGAATTAATAATTATCAGTATATTCAATACTGAGTGAAGACATTTCAGAATTTTAATTAAGCATAATTTTATTATATAGAATGCACAAAAATATATTTTCTCTAGAGGTATATGAAATTTAAGGCTACATTTGATCCCATATACTATCTTAGTTATTATCTGTGACTTAAATATAATTACCTCCATATATTATTTAAAGAAATTTTAATTTTCTTAATTAGCAAATTGCTTCAGCAATTAAATTACTTTCTTCAGAATAAAATCTTTCATTTACTTCTAATTGCAGTGACTTGAGCTGATTTTCAAATCTTTAAAAAATTTGAACAATAGCTTAGCAAATTGATTTCTTTTCAGAATATTATTTTTATGTAGGAAATACCAAGTAAAGGGAATCCAAATTTGTTAGAGTTTGTATATTTTTCACAAGAAACCCCATATCTTCTTGGTTTATTTTACAATCAAATAAATCTAAATTCAGCTTTTCTAATTAAGGCAAGCAAGAAAATATGGAAAAGAACTTTCCTCCTGTATGTTAACTAAATGATATCCCTTGCAAATATAGCTCTTTTAAATTCTTAAATCTCTTCATTCCTTAAACAAATTTATCCATACACTAAGCATTTATCATTTATGAGTCTATATAAGCTAAGCTTTGTATGTTACATGATATTTTTGCAATTTATTAGATGAAGCTTAAAGTATTATTAACAGTTAAGCGATTTTTACTAATGTTCATACAAAGTTTTTTTAATTTACTCATTTTCTAAATAGCTTTGAATAATGCTTAAAAATATTACTAATCTAAACCCAAATTATTAAAATCAATTGAAATACCTTCTAAATTAGTCAAAACACCTAGTTAATTAGGTAATTTGAGAAGTTCTTCTACTAATTTTTAATTGTTTTTATCTAGTTCTATTTTAATGTCTAGTTACTTAAAACATACATTTGAACCATTTTTTTTATCAATTATTGATAAAAAGTCATATAAAGTTTGCAATTCCTAGCTACGTTTAGAATAGATCTTTAACTCAAATTAAATTATATCTAAATTGTTAAATCCCTATAAAAACTAAAGTAAATACTTTTAGGTTAAGTTTGCTGATTTTGTCTTTATTTAAAACATCTCAAATGCTATTTACTACACAGTATTTTTAAATTTTGGAAATGCTGTATTTAATAAGTACTAAAATACTTCATGCACTTCATCAGAATCAGAAATATTTATTTTCATTTATAATTCTGAAATATCATCTAATGCGTCTATAGTTTATTTAAATTTATCAAAATCTAATACGTCTCCATCACTAAGAACAATTATTAACTTATTTAAGCTCTGTAACTAATTCTATTCAAGTTTATAAGATGAAAGATTATCATATCTAATGAATCTAGCAGGAACTTTAGCTTAAAAAACATTTATCATTTTTAAAATAAATATCTTAATGTTAAATATTCTTATTTATTATTTATACAAATTTTGTAAATTTAGAATTTATTACTTTATCTTATCTAATTCTGATGTATTCTATGAAAAGAAATACCTTTTTAGAATACTATCAATATACAACAAAAATTTTAAGAGTTATTATAATTTCATTTCAGTTTTTAAAAATTCAACGATTTGGCTCCTCTTTTTTTATTAATTTAATTTTAATTTCAGTCTCTCATTTTTTTTTCTTTCTTATTAACTTAAATTAAATTCTACATTTATATAAATTAAATAATTTCATTCAATGAATTAACAATTTAAAAGGAGTGAAAACAAAGTATTAAAATAATATTTCCAAATAAAGGATATTCATAATAAAAATAATGGAGGATAAATAATTAATTATCTAGCTCTACATAATTCATTATATAAAAATTAATTTTTACTAAACAGAATACTAAATAAGTTATAAAAAATTTTCATAAAATATTATAATTTGCAATTTCAAAAAGATTTATTCATTAATTTTATAGAAATATTTATGAATTAAATTAAATTTAAAAAATGATGTTATAAAGGAATATATTTTAAAATTTTTAAAAGGAGGCAATTATGTAAAAAAATAAAATATATTTTGATGATTTTGTAATATGCTTTTGTTTCTACATAAAAATTATTTTTTATGATAGAGTATAAAATGGAGGGAATATAATAAATAATAATAGAAACATTTTAATTGAAAAATGTATTTATATTTATCAATTTAAAGATAGTTTGTTTGTTCCAAATATTTACTTTTAAATACCATCTTTAAAATAAATTAATAATATAAAAGTGTAAAATTAAATTTATTGAATAAGTAGAAATTAAGTTGATATTTTAACATAAAAATAGTTAATTAGTCTATCATAAGCATTTCCTTATAATATGTAAATATAAAATATTTAATTAATTTTTCTATATACTCCTATTTTATACTATTTGAAATTTTAATTTGAACTCTTTTATAGTATTTTTTTGGTTAAAATTGTATTAATTTTAAATCAAAGAACAAAAAAATGAGTTTATTTTATTTAATAAAATATTTTAATAATAAATATTGGGATAAATTATAAAATTAATATAATATGAAGATATGAATTTTTTATATACAATATTTTTTATTTAAAATAATTTAGTTAATTTGATATAGTTTCTAAATATATTTATTGATTGATTGATTAATAGATAGATAATCAGACTGAAGGATAAGATATTATTTTTATTTGTCTTAATAAATATTAATTTGGGTAATATGAAGATAGAATTAGAAGATGTAAATAAACTATTTTTCTTTTTTTTTTAGTTGACTTTACTTAGTGTTTTTATAAATAATAAAATAAATTATTCAATCAATCTTTTATGGCTCTTCGTTCTTTTTAACTAATATCTTTTTTTGAACACTCTCATATATTTTTAAGATGTCAGGATGATGGATTAACTGATCAAATTAATTAGATTACATAGTTTTAGGTCTTTAAATTGGTTATTCATCATTTATATTTGGAAGTATCCTATTTTATGCATTCGTTGGTAGAGTATTATATATATTATTAATAAATGGCGGTGGGGATTAAGTTGGAGCTCCATTTGACTTAGATCCTAACTCAAAATCTATTTAATCTGCACTTAGAGGTTAATCTTTGTCTTACATATTATCAATAGGACGTATACTGACATCATCAAATGCTTAAATAAGATTAGTCCACTCTTATATTTCATCTTAATTTTATTTTTTTTGTTAATCTGTACCAAATCCTGTTTTTGTACTTCTTTAAGTAGGTTAAGCTTTACTGATATTTTAGTTATTCTTAGATTGCCTACCATTATCTTTTCTATCAGTTTACATGTTAATATCCTCATTATCCTCAGTGATTCTGATGATATTATTTTAATTATATACTTGTTCGCTTTGTATTATATGAAGCACCTAAGATTGCTATCCTTGAGCTCCTACTTTTTATTATTGACTGATCTTTTTATTTTAAGCATTATTTTCATCAAGATTGTTTACTATATTATACTAGGTTGTTTGTTAAGCGCTTTAACTAGCTGTTTGATCTTTATGGATAGCTTAATTCATATCATTAGCTTTTTGATGGCTAATTACTGTCTTACTGTTGTTAACAAAATTGTTATCTATGGTTATTTTTTCTGCAGTCTTTTCTGATTTTTAATATTTTTATTCATTTGTATTGGATTCAGCTATATTTTTTTTTTAAGCAGTATGCAAATCATCCTTATCTAAAATGTTGATTGGGAGAATATTTTAGTCTTTATTTTATTACACGCTTACATTTTATTTTAGTTCATTTGTAGATCCATTCGGTATCTTTTACGTTGCTTAAAGGGAATTAGTCTCATATTTTAATATCAGCTCTTAGTGTTATTTTATTAATATATCAAGCTATTTTTCTTTTTCATTAAGCCTAGCTAAAGTTTTCTCAACTCTAGTATCAGGTTTTTTAGTTTGTGTGCATCCCATGCTTTTTATTTAAAGATATTGTATTATTATTTGTCAAAAACTCAAAATGTGCAATCAATCAGTGATAATAATAGTAATAAATATTTGCTTGAAAGTAATAAATTATTATGCGATTATTAAATTATAATTTTTTTTGCGAAATTTGATCTTAAATAATTTTTGTATTAAATATTACTAAATAAGTAGAATAGATAAAATTTTAAATCTTTAGACTCAGCAAATTACTAAAAAACTTAAATTTATTTTTATAAATACCTTATTTGTAGCATTTTTATATTCAATTGGAGAGAAAAAGTATAACAATATGTGAAATGATAGAATGTTTGTTGATAAATTAAGTACTAATTTTTAGCAAAAATAAGTTTTTTTTTTAATGAATTATTTTTTGTATACAAATACAATCAAATAAATACTCATTATATACTTATAATATAATTAACGACTAATAAATTAAGAAAATTTAGCTTTAAAAATAAATTTAAATGGCTATTTTCAAAAATAATTTGATAGTTAACCTACTAATATTTCTTTGATATTTATTTACATTTTTATATATTAAAAAGACTATGAGAAATCCATACATTTCTATTCATTTGGAGTATTTAGTTATTAATACAAAAAAAGAAAATATTTATTTAGATCACTTGAAATAGTAAATATAGATATGAATTGATAAAAGTATGGATTTAATAATACTTGGAATATCATATATATCGAGTTATTATATGTTGAACAACAAGATTTAATATATTGTAATCAATAATCTCTATTTCTACTTCCTGTATTTTAGTTATTTTAATTGCTATTTACAAAATCAGATACTGCTTAATCTAAAACATTTTGATTTTACTAATATGGTTGCTAGAACTGTTAATTATTTTATTATTATTTTCCTCTTTAGTTTATTCCTAGTGAAGTCATTAATACGTTAACGGAATATGCACCTATCACACATCCGCCAATTACACCTACAATTTAAACTACAGTGTTCATAATTTAATTAAATTTATTTTTATAGTGTTTTTAAAGTAATTGCTTAAAAAATTAATAATCATTAAATTTTATTTAGGTATTTTAAAAGGTTCATCAGATCTTTAAAAATAAAAAGAATCTAATAATAATAGATAGACAGACAGACAATACTTAGAATATTCCATATAAAATTGAATTTTCGAGATTTTAGAATACATTTTCTATTTTAGTTTCAATATTTTTCAGAAAAATAACTATTTTTGTTTTTTGAAATATGTGAATTATTTTTTATTATTAGATGACAATTGGCTTATTTTTTCGATTATCTTATGTAGAATATTTATATAATTTAAAAATCCTTCCTTTTACATTTTTTCAATTATATTATTAATTTATTGGTAGGAGTATTTATAATTTAAGAGGAATAATTTGCAAAAATTAATTATTTAATTTTTTACTAATAAATAAAGTATCCTAAAAAATTCTTAGATAAATGGCTAAAACGCAAAAAAAAAAATAGCAAAAAAAAGAAATCGTTATTGCGAACTAAGTTCCAATTGAGTTCCAAAAAAAGTCTGAAAAATTAGTAAAATTTATGAATGACTGTATGTGGTTTCCTAAGAATTATGAGTAGATTGATTTACAATAAAATATAATTCATCCATTCTAACTTATAAAAGATTTTCGTTTGATGATAAGGGCGAAATAGTGAATCTCACAATAAATACGTAAAATAAATTAGTAGCGCCATTAAAAAATAAATAAAATAATATTTTTTAAAGTCATAAAAACAAAGAGCCAAATGTACAATTTGAAGAGGTATTGAAGGAAATACATTCAAAATTTTCTTCTATATATAATTTATAGCTAAATATAGAGTAAGTATAGTTAATATTTAGATAAAAAAGATATGTTAACATAAATAAATAGAGAGCTGCTTGAAAAATAGTATATTGATCAAATTTAACCTTTATAAAACTTTGAAGAAACATTAGAGATTTTAAACTTAAATCTGAGGTATTTATTATATAAATATCATCTTATATATTTAAAATGTAATCAAACAGAAATTAAGGTTTGGATAAAAAGTATTTTGAAAAGGCTGTAAAATATTTTTGCTTAAATGGCTTAAAATAATTGACTCTGTACATTGAGTAAATAATTTAATCTTTTCTTTTCACCTTCAATCAATCAAACTTACAAATAAAACAGAAAAAATCCTATTAACTCAGGAATATGCACTTTATACACTTAAATGAGATAGATGGAAAATCTTGTTAAAGTCCATGTGGAAGCGAGATAAATATCATTTGATAAAAAGCAACTCAGTAATTTAACAAAATAAATATAATAATTGTCATAATTATCCAGCTTTCACCTTAACTTATCGTAAATTTATTATTTATTTTATTTAAAATAATTTTATGATAACACAATAAAAATTATTATTTTTTATTAGAATTTTTTACATAAATAATTTATTTTATTTTGTATTTAATTTTTATTTTCAGAAATATTTGATTTTATTCATAAAATTTGATTTTAAATAAATTATTTTTTTATAAGATCTATTTATTTATTTATTTGAAAATATTTATATAAAAATTTATCTGCTTTTTAGTTAGAAAGAATTATAAAATAATTAATTTATTCTATGATTAAAAAGAGATAATTCCCTCAAATCAGTGGAATAACTATTTGAAGGTTTTTCGAAAATGAGCAATCTTAAACACCTTGGCATAGATTTAAAGTAAATATTTTAAAAAATTGACCATTTTTAATTATATTTTATGTTTTAGGAAAAATGAAATAAATGAAAATGAGGTGGAGAAGATTTCTAAACATGTAGCTAAATACTAATTTCTAGACTCACTTTTTATAAATTTATCTTATAACAAAGTTTATATTAATGGCTGTGATTATTTAGGAGAAGCTTTATAAAATTTAAAGAATTTGATCAAGTTAGAATTGAGACTTGAGTAATATTGACTATTTGAAATTTGTAACTAAGTTAATTTTTTTTTAGTTGGGATAATGTATAGGATTTAGGGAGTAGTATATTAGGTTCTCATATTAGAAAGATGAGCGGATTAATAGATCTAGATATTAGACTAAAGTAGAATTTTAATAAAATTAAAAATAATATTGCCTGATAAAAATATGCTTATTTTTTATCAAAAAGCTACAATAAAATTTTTAGACAGGAATTCATATAAAACTAGTTGATAGGTATGGACAATTTGATAAGACTAAAAATTTAAATTTCAGATAAGTAAATTAAATTATTTCATTTTTAAAGAATTTTTGCTTTTAGATGTTAGTAATAATTATGATTTTTATCCATTTTTAATTTAAAAATAGGCAACCAACTAAGCACTTTGCATAATATTAAAAAATTATGAGAGCCAAAGAAGCTGAACAACTAAAAATTTTAGTTTTTTATAGAGATTTATCAAAGCTCTTATAATACAATTCCATATTTACTCTTTGGGATTTATATCTATGAGTAGAAAGAGTATTTTCTGATAGAAATGAATTAATTATATTAATAAATTTATGGTGCTTTGATTTAAATCTATAAATTGTTTTGAAGATGCCATGCCATTTTTATTTATAAATAGTTTGTTTTATATTTAGGGGAAGAAATATATTTGCTTTTCATATTTATCTAATGTTGTTTTAACCCATTTATACATCTATATGCACTTAAGTTTGGTCTAATTCTTATATCTAGATTTTAACATATAAATTTAATAAATTTTGAAATGAAATAAAGTAATGTGACTATTTGAGCATATTTAGATTAATTGTTTGTTAGTAATATCAAAAAGAATTTTTTATATTAAATATCCAAATTTATAGTTTAGAGGTTAAATTTCTGGAAAATTAAATTTAATCAAATTTTAGTTTATGATATTTATGTCTAGGGTAGTAGGAGATAAGAGAAATAATAGTAGATTTGCACAATAAAAAATTTATATTAAGATCTCATAGCTTAATAAATAATAAATATATATTAATATAGTATCGAACATATTATTAGGATATTAAAAAATGACATATGCTAAAGCCATTTAAAGAAAATGGAGCATTCTGAAAAAGAGATAAAATAAACATTAGATTGAAAGGGGTTGAGGTTGAATATATACGTTAAGGGCAAAATAATGAGGAGTGATTATCAATTTATATAGTATCTGGGGAGATACTAATTAATAAAAATATATTAACTAATTAAATATAATACAAAGAATTAAAAATTTATAAAAAAAAATACACATAATAAATAATCATATAGAATAAAATGTCCAAATAAGTTGTAAGAATTTTATTCATAATTTTTTAGCTATTATAAAACTAATTCACTTTATAAATCATTTTATTAATCTATTCTTTAATCATTATAGAAGAAGGGTCAAGTTGAAAAGAAGATTAAGGCTGAAGAAGAAAAGAAGAAGGTTGTCTAACAATCCTCCGATGATAGTGACGATTCTTCCAGCGAAGATGAAAAGCCTGTTGTCAATAACAAGAAGAACCAAAAGGTTTAAGAAAAGGCTGCTGAAAAGGTTACCAAGGCTAAGAAGCAAGTTTCTGAATCTTCTGATGACAGTGAATCTGAAGAAGAAAAGCCTGCCCCCAAGAAGGCTGTCGCTGCTAAGACTGCTCCTGTTGCCAAGAAGGCTGTTGCCAAGAAGGAATCCTCTGATTCTGATGACAGTGAATCTGAAGAAGAAAAGCCTGCCCCCAAGAAGGCTGTCGCTGCTAAGACTGCTCCTGTTGCCAAGAAGGCTGTTGCCAAGAAGGAATCCTCTGATTCTGATGACAGTGAATCTGAAGAAGAAAAGCCTGCCCCCAAGAAGGCTGTCGCTGCTAAGACTGCTCCTGCTGCCAAGAAGGCTGTTGCCAAGAAGGAATCCTCTGATTCTGATGACAGTGAATCTGAAGAACAAAAGCCTGCCCCCAAGAAGGCTGCCGTTAAACCCGCTGCCAAGAAGTAAGAATCTGAAGATGAAGACAGTGATGAATCAGAAGAATAAAAGCCTGCTACCAAGAAGGCTGAAAAGATGTAAGTCGAAGAAGAATCTTCTGAAGAATAAAAGCCTATTAAATAAGACCAACCTATCCAAAAGGCCTAAAACGGTAATGCCAACGGTAAATAAGGTGGTGACAAGTTCTCTAATGAAGTTATCGTTAAGGGTTTGAGCTTTGATGCTGATGAAAACGATATTGGTAACTTCTTAGACGAAAACTGCGGTTCCGTTGCTAGAGTTAACCTCTTAAAGAACGAATAAGGACGTTCTAAGGGTATTGCCTTCGTCAGCTTTGAAACTGAAGAAGGTTGCAACAAGGCTGTTGAAATGAGCAACTCTGAATTCATGGGTAGATATCTTATTATTGAAAAGACCAAGCCCAAGACTGAAAGACCTGCTCACTTACCTGTTGATGAAGACTCCAAGACTATCTTTGTTGGTAACCTCTCTTTCAGAACCGACAAGGAAACTCTTAAGAAGTTCTTCGCCTCTTGCGGTAAGGTTGCTGATGCTCGTATCGCTGAAGCTGATGGAAAGGTAACTAACCAATTTAAATTTATATCTAATATAATTTTTATCTGAAAATGTGATGGGGTATAGCTTGCTTATTATTTATTTTAGGGAAATATTTTATTTGAGATTAATTAAGGGATAAAAGTTATAATTAGGAACATACTATACTTATTAGAGAGTTAAGTAGGAGTTTACAATATTAAGATATAAAAATAATAAATTACAAATAAAAAAAAAATAAATTGATTAATAAATAAATAAATTAATCAATCAATTAATAATAGTATCTTCGTTCGTTAATAGACAAACACAATAAAAAATAAATAAAATTTCCCAAATTAATTAATTAATCAATTAGTAATGAATAAGTAACATTGATTATATTTCCCTAAATAAATCACTAAGATAATAAATTAATTAATTAATTACATGATAACTTTTAACTTTATTCAAATATTAAATATAATTTTTAAAAATTTAGAGCAGAGGTTTCGGTCACGTTGAATTCGAAGAAAGATCCGGTGTTGAAAATGCTTTAAAGAAGGTTGGTGAATAAATCGACGGAAGACCCATCAAGGTTGATGTCGCTGCTTCCAGAGGTAAACGTGAAGGTTTCAACAGATCCTAAGGAAACTTCAATAACAACAGAGGTGGTCCCCGTGGTGGTAACAACTCTTTTGCTAACGAAAGAAAGGGTGCCATTACTTAATTCTAAGGAAAAATCCAATCTCTCTGAAAAAATTGAATTAACAATAATTTTAAAATATATCTTAAAACTTAATTTAATTTATAAAATCACTAAATAAAATGAAAAAACTTAAAAGTTAATAAGTTTTTAAACTACTCTTCATGTTTAAATCTTTTATGTGTATTCATATCTTTTATCATCTTTTCTATCCAATTATTCCTCCCTCCTCTCCATTTAATAATTACATTTTTTATATTTATTGTTTTATCTTCAAAAAAGGACGGTTTCAACTGTCTTTGGATATATTTTATTGGAATTAGATTTATTTATGACGTCTAATCAACTAAAAACTCATTTATAGAATTTGAATAAACATATTCTTTCAAGTTCCAAACATTCAATCTACTTTTGTAGCAAATTTTAAGCTCTATTTAAAGAAGCTAAATAGCCCAAAAAAATTATAATAATCAAATAAATATTTAAATCTAATATTTTTCTAAGTTCATGATAAGTATTTTAATTTGGCTTTTATTTTAGCTAGATACATATCTAGGCAATATTACTCCTGATGAGACTGAATAAAACTTTAAATTTTCTAACGAAGTTATTGTTAAAGGTTTGAGCTTCGATGCTAATGAAAACGATATTAGTAACTACTTTGACCAAAAATGTGGTCAAGTTTCTAAAGTTAAACTCTTAATGAACTCATAAGGACGTTCGAAGGGTATTGCATTTGTCAGTTTTGAAACTGAAGAGGGGTATAATAAAGCTCTTGAAATGAATAACTCAGAATTTATGGGTAGATATCTTATCATTGAAAAGACTAAGTCTAAGGCTGAAAGGTTAACTCAGATGCATTCTTATGCTGATTAAGGTCCTAAAATTGTGATTGTTGATAATATCTCTTCAAAAATTAATAAGTTCGATAATGAAGTTATTGTTAAGGGTTTGAGCTTTGATGCAGATGAAAATGATATTGGTAACTACTTAAACGAAAACTGTGGTTCCGTTACTAGAGTTAACCTCTTAAAGAATGAATAAGGATGTTCTAAAGGTGTTGCCTTCGTCAGCTTTGAAACTGAAGAAGGTTGCAACAAGGCTGTTGAATTGAGCGACTCTGAATTCATGGGTAGATAAATTTTTATTGAAAAGACCAAGCCAAAAATTGAAAGACCTGCTCAATTACCTGCTGATCAAGACTCCAAGACTATCTTTGTTGGTAACCTCTCTTTCGTAACAAATAAGGAAACTCTTAAGAAGTTCTTCGCCTCTTGTGGCAAGGTTGTTAATGCTCGTATCGCTGAAGCTGAAGGAAAGGTATCTAACCAATTTAAATACATATTTATTAAAATTTTTTCTGAAAATTTGATGGGGTATAGCTTACTTATAATTTATTTTAGGGAAATATTTTATTTAAAATTAGTAAGTAGATAAAAGTTTTTATTATGAACATACTACACTTATTAGAATTAGTAGGAGTTTACAATATGATGATATAAATAATTAATTACAAATAAAAATATAAATTGATTAATAATAGTATTTTTGTTAATAGATAAAAATAACAAAAAATAAAATAAAACTTCCTAATTTAGTTAGAAATGAATAAGTAAAATTGCTAAGTTTCCCTGAATCACTAAGATAATAAATAAATAATTACATGATAACTTTTAATTTTATTCAAATTTTAAATATAATTTTTAAAAATGTAGAGCAGAGGTTTCGGTCACGTTGAATTCGAAGAAAGATCTGGTGTTGAAAATGCTTTAAAGATGGCTGGTGAATAAATCGACGGAAGACCCATCAGGGTTGATGTCGCTGCTTCCAGAGGTAAACTTGTAGGTTTCAACAGAATCTAATGAAAATTTTAATAACAACAGAGCCCATCAAAATAGATATTATAGCTAATAAAAAAAATGATTTCAGTAATTTAAGAAAAATAAAATTACTTTTAAAATTTGAATTAACAGTAATAATTATCATTAAATTTATATAACCACTAACCAAAATGATAAATTTTAAAATTATGCTTGTTTTAAAACTTTTATTTATTGTTTAAATATTTATTTGTATATTTAATATCCATTTTATACCTCCTTTTTTATCTAATCACTCCTTCTATTATTAAAAATATTTACATATTTTCTTCTAAAAAAAAGTTTTAACTACCCTTAAAAAAATCTTCAAAGAAATTTGAAAAATTTTGATAAAATTCGAATTATATTTTATTCTTTGCAATTTAACTAAAATTAATTTTTTTTTCAAAAATTATATTCTCTATTTGTTGACATCTATGATTTTCAGAAAATGGTTTTCATTAATTGTTTGAAATTTAATCTTTATAATTTCAAGAATATAAAGCTAGGAAAATTTAAACTTAAATCAATATTTCTTATTGAATGAAAAAAAGAAATAAATACATTTGCAGAGCTACATAAATTATTTTTTTTAATGAATTTAATATATTTTATATGGAAATTAAATCATTAATAATTTTATTTGTCATTGAATATTATTTATTTTTAGCTTGCTTGCTTTAAACTTTTTATATCTATCCAAAATATATAATTATAATGAATGAATGGTGATAATTTGCTTATTCTTAGAATTTTATATATGCACTAGCGAATAGAATGGAGAATGAAAAAAAAAAACAAAGTTTTAATGTCATTTATTTAATCTGTTAACATTTTAAAAATACTTAACAGTATTATCAAATTAGTTTATTTTGATTTGTATTTTAAAATCAATAAATTTATATAAATTGAAAAGGATATAGATAAGTTATTACTATTTGCATACAAAAAGAGATTTAATTCAATATTAATTCTGTATAAAAATTACTCTATCTAAAACTTAAAATAAGAATGGGAAACGAGTGTTCAAACTGTGTGAATGAAAGAGTGGATAAAAAGAAGTAATGGGATTATGATAATCAAGTAAATTTAATATTTTAAATAAATTTTTTGTAATAAAATGTTATGATTGTTCAAGTTTTAGGAAAACAATCAAAATTTTAGATAATAATATAATAACAGTGATACATATACTCCATATTAATAAAATGTTCATAATGTAAATTGATTTATTCATTCTAGTACTTACTTGCCTAAACTTATTTGTTTTTGCAGTAAATAGGAGATATTCAATATAATAATGGTAATTAAATTTTTAATAAGAGCTAGAATAATAGGCCATATGTTAATCCTCAGAATTAGAATATGCTTGAAAATGGTACTCCTTATAATAATCCAAATTAATCCTAGTAAAATATGAATCGGTATAGTTAAAATATTCAAAATTATTAGCATAATTAGTAAAAATTATTTAAACAACATCTGTTTTTAAAGTTTTTTAACTAAAAAATAGAAAAAGTGATTTTGAAAAAAATGGTTTCCAAGGAGCTTATAAATAAAATAGCGTTAATAGTACTATTGATATAAATAATGGCTATTTACATTCAAATATTTCTAATCAATAAATTAACAGCTCAACAAATATATCTAAGCCTACTAACTAATCATTTGGAGGATAATTAATTTAAGAAAAGTCTATTGAAAAAAGTTATGATTAATCAATACAACCTTTTGATTAACTGATAGAAAGAGAGCCTATCGAGTTAGAAAATGATGGTATTTATTAAGGTTAGTGGAGAGGAGATTTAAGAGAAGGATTTGGTAAATAAAAATGGTAAATTTAATTTAATTTATTAAAAAGTTAAAATCTTATAATACTTATAAAGGAAAAATGGAGCTTACTATGAAGGTATTGAAGTTTTAAAAGATTTCTAATTTGATATATCAAAACATTATTAGGATTCTGGAAATAAGATAATGCAGATGGGAAAGGAATATTTATACATCCTAATGGAGATAAATACGAAGGTTTGAAATATATTTATTTTAAAATAAGAATTTAATAAGATTTGCTTTTAATATTTTAATTAGGTGAATGGAAAGATAACAAGGCTAATGGAAAAGGTAAATATACTCATGTAGATGGTTCAATTTACGATGGTGAATGGAAAAATGATTATAAAGACGGATACGGAATAGAAACTTGGTAATATCTAATAAATTTATTTTGATAGTTTTCATATTAAGAAAGAAAATAGTAGAAGAATGAATTTTAACTTATCTTAATATTTTTTTTTAAAGGGCTAATAAATCTAGATATGAAGGCTATTATTCAAAAGGGAAAAAGCATGGTATAGGGAGATTCTATTGGTATAACGGTTCATCTTATGATGGAAACTGGTCCATGGATTAGCTAAACGGCTTTGTAATTTTTTAGAAATGTAAACAATATCAATAATTTTTAATTTTTCAAGGGAGTTTATACTTGGAAAGATGGGAGAATTTATAAAGGTAATAAATATAAAATTCAAGCATAAATAAACAGTATTATTAATAATTAAATTAGGTTATTGGAAAGATAATTTCATGCATGGAAGAGGTAAATACTCCTGGGCAGATGGTAGATATTATGATGGTGAATATCAAAATGATAAGAAGCATGGATTTGGAGTTTATGTTTGGATAGGTAAATAAATTAATTAGTGAGATAAAGATTTTGTAATAATGATTAATTAAAAGATCAAAAAAGATATGAGGGGTTTTGGTATAAAGGTAAATAACATGGTAAAGGAAAATTCGTATATCCTTCTGGTTAAATTAAGTATGTTTTATACAATCATGGCAAACAAAAGCAATTAACAATAGAAGAATATAATTAGATTAGTGATGATATTTCAGAAGGTGAATTGTAGTTTTATTTTAACTAGCAAGATGGAGAAAAAAGTAATCACGATGTTTCAATAAACTAGGCAGAAAGTATGTAAGTTAGTACTTAATTTAAATAGAGTGATTGGGAAACAAGAAGACCAGAATTAGTTTAAGTTTCTGAAAATGCTAGTTAAAATAATTACTTTAAGAATAATGGAAAAATGATATAAAACTAGTAAGAAAAAGTATTATAGCATAACTAAAGTTAAAATGAATTAAACTAAAGAAAAGATCCTATTTAATAAGAGAAATAGATAAATTAAAGTAATAGTCAAAGATAGCTTGATTTATAGAGCTATTAGTAAAATGGCTTAAAATAAAATTTTTCAACTCAAAATTTAAACAACATACAATAAATTCAGTAAATTGAATTTAGCAACGAACAAAAACGTTAATCTTATCAAGTAGAGCAGCAATAAGAGTAATTAATAGCAAAAAATGCTGTAAATTAGAATTAATAAATATAAAATTAATATAACTAGCATAATTAATAATAAAATGCTTTTACTTATGAAAATGGACTTTCAAAAAATTAATCAACTTAAGATAATTAAGACAGTTCTCTAAAGGTGCCTGTCATAAAAAATGTAGAATCCTAAATGCAAATGGCAACTGAATCTAGTTAGCAATTAGGAATGTATTAAGATTATTAGTAAAACAACCCATAAATATTGAGATCTTCATATAGAAGCTAATCTTAAAAAAAGAAAAATAATAATGACCCCTTAATTGCTTCAGGTAAAGTTATTTTACCTGCTAGCTAGCAGCAGCAACTTTAAAGCAAGATTTAAGGATCTAACAAATCTCCAGAAAGAATTTATGAATAAAGGTAACAATATTGATTGCTTGTTTAAAACAATTAATATAGATTTTTTGAAATTACAATATAAAATTACTATATTTAATATAATTTATGAAAGAAAAATATTATTGTTGTAAATATTTATGTATTCAAACAAGACTTATTATAATTTTATAGAAATTTGTATAATTTATAAAACTTTAGCTCTTATTTTATAAATAATTTTAAAATAAGTTAATTGTTAGAAAAACATAATTTATATTTATATATTTAATAATAGTATAGCTTTAAATTGATTCTTAGACAAATATCATTTAAATAATTCTAAAAACTTCAATAAAAGTTTATTTATAGTTTAGATTTATTCTTTTTTTAATTAAAAAAATTATATATTATTTAATAGCATACAACATAATTTGAAAAGAATTAAGATCTATTAAAATAAATAAATAACTTAGAGATAAATCAATTGTTAAAAGTTAAAAAATAATTTAAATTTATATTTAATGGTTTTATAATTTCAAAATAATTAATAGACAACTATTTACTGAAATTAATTCTTACAGCTTGAATGGAATTTTATTTGTTGGTTTGGTTTATTCTTTTTAGATTACTTAAGTTCTCAAAATAAAAAATATATCTTTATTTGATTAAAAATCTAATAAAATAAATGAAATATAAAAATAATATAAATTTATACACTGATTCTCAAGTATTTTATCATAGAAAGAAATTTGATAAAATTTTAAATTTTAAACAGACATATGCATGAGTTGTTATTTTGTAATTAATTTATTAATTTACAGATAAGGTTATTATTAAAATTATAAAATATTCTAAATATATTTATTTAATGATAGATTCTATTCAATTCTATGAAGAACAAATCTTGAAAATAACTCTTGAGGCTTCAATTAAATTTTATTTATTTTTTTCATTAATTATTAGATTATCTGTTGCAAATATTGTTTTGCTATTGATATAATTCTCAAGTTTTTTTTCATAATAAGAGTAAAAATAGTTTTTAGGGCTAATATTTCTACCTATTTATTGTTCAGTTTGTGAAGGAGAAAAATGACTTAATATTAAGCATTCCACTTTATTTTCATATGCAAAATTTACAACTTCATCAAATGTTGAATGCCTTTTTTAACTTGCCTCTGCTTTGTTTTAGCCTGAAAAAGTACACTCATGAATTAAAAAATCGCATTTTTCAAAATTAATCTTATGCTTATTGTTTATACGGCCATCTCCACTATAAACTAAAGTTTTACCATTGCTGAGTTCTATTTTAATACTTGATGATCCGTAGCAATGGAAAATTGGGAAGATATAGATGTGTTTTAATTGCATTTGTGAAACGCGTTCCTAAAATAGTTTTTAATGGTAATCACGTTATTACCTATTTTATTCTAATAACTCTTCATCTTTTTAATCAAAATTTAACAAGTTTTCATCATCATCAGTATTATCTTTTGTTAAAGCATTAAGAAGTTATTGGTTTGTTAATTAAAGATTATTTTAATGTTTTGTAATGTTTGGACTTATATTATTATGTGGTATAACAATTGCATTCAAATCTTAAACCATATCCATAAATTTAACAAGATAATTTTATAAAAGTTCTGGCACTAAAATAAGAAGCTTGTTTAATTAAAATTCATTGTTTTGACCATGCTAATCAAATAATTCCTTTCTCATTTATAAAAATTCAATAATTCCAAAATGATGATCACTATGATGATGAGATATTACTATCATTTTGATATTTCTAACTTATTCAAATAATTCTCTTTCATCATGAGTTCCAAATTATTTCTATAACTAAAACATAGTACCATGTCCACAATCTAATAAAACACTAGAGTTTTGATTTACTTTAACTAGATAGCTACTAACATTTCTCAGTTAAGTAGATAGAGAACTACTTGTACCAAGTGTAATAATTTCAGGATATAATTCAGGATTAGAAACGTAAAACTTTCTTTATTAAAAGACTTTTTGTTCTTGATAAGCTAATAATTTTTATCTTAATTTATTAATCTATTAACTTTAGAGGAGTTGATCATATAAACTATTATCAAAGGCTAATGTTTAAGGTGGCTGGTATTAGTAGAAAGAATTTTTATGCTTCATATGAATTACTTCAAAAGAAAGTGCTAACTTTACTTTCTCATGATAGAATGGTTAGCTTTCTAAAAGCTATTGTTAAGAATTTGCTCCTTTGATGTAAGGAAAAAAATAATTAGGATTCATCACAGGATAAATACCAGGGAACAATTAAGTAAGATGCTTGTTGTATGATAAAAAGCCCTGTGGTAAAAATTGCAGTTTCTCTGTGATCATGGAATAGAAACCAGAAGCCGTTATTAAATGATTTACATTAGTATTTTCTTTAATGAATTATGTGTATTTTGGATTAAGTAAAACCTCTTTTGGTGAAAGGTGCACAATTAAATCTAGATTTTCAAATAAAGTAGTTTTTAAGTAGGGATTAGATAAGAATTAATCAACCTCTTCTTCATTGCGTAATTCTAAGATTAACAATTAAGAGATCTATTCTTCTTCTTGAAAATCTTCTAAATTATAAATCTTATCATCAACTTAAACTTTTCCGTGTTTGAAAAGAGCTTTATGGAATACTTAGGGGAGTTAACTTAATTTTTCAGTGTTAACTGAGAATTTATTTTCATTTTTTTCCATAAAATGATAGGCAAATTTTTAAATAGGATCTTTCTATGCCATATATGGAGAATCATCTTAATAAAGTTAAATTGCATACACTTTTAAGCATTCGTCTTCATAATAATTTAATTAATTAGTATCATCAAATTTGAGTAAATCATTTGCACAATTAATTTGCTCACCTTGGAATTTCTCTTTTATTTGTTGTAAAAAAGATATTTTGGGATTGAAATTTTTTATAAATTTTTCAAATTATTGATTTTTTAGTAAGCCTAGATAATTGAAATCATTTTTTTAGAAGCTTGCAGCACTCATCTTGATAATTTTAATACCAAAACATGTAGTGAGGTATTAATAGTATTTCAGAAACATATTACATCCAAAGAACTGAAAGCAGTAGCTTTTAGTTAAAATAATAAAATTAAAAGGCCTTATTGAGCTGAAATAGAATAAATATTTATTTACTTTTTCTCTAAAGCACTCACAAGCCCGAATATTCCAGAAATATGCTAAATATCAAATCTAGTATAAAATGCTTTGAATATCGATTCTGATTAACTAACTTTATAGTATCTCCAGTCTTTGAAGACTTCCTTTGGAGTGTTTATTGAATAAAAGTAAGATTGCTTTTTATGGTGAATATAAAGAAAGCAATTTGGGATTTGTTATTTTTCGTAAGATTTTAAAATACGCAAATGTAATCTCATTAGTTTAAAAATCTTATAATTTTATTGTTTATTGTATATCTTTCTATCTATCTTTTGCTTTTTTTTATGTTTTAATTAAATTTCTAAACAATTCTGAAAAAAGCCTTAATATAAAGAAATTTATACATCTACCAAAGAATTTTTGAGTCTCTTTTTAGGTAGAATTAAAATATCAATTTTAAATTATTTTCTAGAGCCAAATGCTAATTTATCATATTCAAATTTAAAATTTTTATTTTTTTCAAATTATTTAGAACTAATTAGCAACCACATGCTTAAAAGTTTTTTCTATTTTAGAGCTGAACAATTAAAATGATATAGAAAATTAATCCATAATTATTTATTTATTCGAACAGTATAAAAGGTAAATATTTTTATGAGATAATTTATTAGAAAGAAGGTGGTGTAAAAATCAATAAAATAGTTAATTATATTATTATTGTCTTTTCTTTGAGGTTAGCTTTCAACTAATTTATTTTTAAAAAACAATAGAAGATGTAAGAACTCTAAAGATTAATTTATAAACAATATATTACCAATATAATTAATATTAACAAATCTTTTTTTACTAACAGAGTAGAAAAACAAAAAGACCTACTGATATTAGCGAAATTATTAGAACTAAGTAAAAGTTTTTAATAGGTAAAGTAAGGAAAAAGAAATGGTTGAATTCATAGAAAATTCAGATGATCCTAGCTCACCATCATTTGATAAAGCTTCATATTTAGCAAATGAATTTTTTTTCAGTATGGTACCATGCTATGTATTCTTAATAACAGCTGTAATTAGATATTTTCGTGTAAAGGATAAGCCAAAAAAGTATCACGAATATGTTTTTGAAGATACTTTAGTGTCATTTTAGATTAAGTTAAGAATCTCATAGTTTATGGCATTTACTTATCTTGTTTCTTTAGTTTTAGGATTAGTTAGTCCAGCACTGCTATTTTTTGGGGCATAATTTGGATGGATAAATTTTTTATATATTTTTGGAATCATAGCATGGATAGTCTCTGTTGAACTACTAAAAGTAATGAATATTTTATTTAAAAATTTTAGAGGCATAATTTAACAGTTCATTGAGATAATTAGTCTCTGACTTTCTTTGCTTCAAGTAGTAAATTAATTTTTAAAACATAATTAGTTTGAATATGTAAGAGAGTAAAATTAAGGATTATATGGGCATAGAGTTTTTTGGATATTTTCGTTTTGTTTTAATGTGTTACGCCTCTTTTAAAGCCATATGGCCCTATTCAATATAATTATCAGTGTATCTAGATCTATTCCAAATTTTGTTCTTTTGATGTATGGCATGTACAAACCGTTTGACAAAGCTTCATAGGAATTCGATGAGGAAACACCAACATTTGCTCGTTTATTTTTTGAAAAATTTGAAAATAATAGAATTATATCAAAGATCCTTTGGTACACAATAGTGGATCGCTCAAAATAATCTAGTATCCACCAGCATCTTATTGAAGACATAGAAATGAAGGATTAACCAAATGGTTTTGCTGTTTTTGAAATTACTGAAAATGAAGATTTTGAGGTTACTCAAAGTAATCAAATTAATTTTTAAAAGCTAACACTATAACTAAAGCTAAATATTGAAAATATAAATTATATTTATTATAAAATATATTTATTAAATATTTTTAATTTTTAAATAAAGGCAGTATTGATCAAGAAAGAAAACTCTTTAATTTTTTACCAAGAAGGAATGTTACAGTCAGCTTGAAATCTGAAACAAGAATAGAAGAAGGATAACAAAAAGTGTATTATCAAGTAATTACCACTATCGATAATAACCCTTATAGTGTTTTTAAAAGATTCAATGAATTTTCTTTGGTTTGTGCTGATTTAAGTGAAATTTATGACCATAAAAATTATCCTAAGTTAGATAAGAATTTTCCTATTTTGGTGAAAGACGATTTTAAAGACAAAGATCGTGAAAAGAAAAGAATATAAGCTATATAAAATTGGTTAAATGAGGTATTTAAATACCCATTTTTCATGCATAAAATACTTTTGGATTTTCTTAATGTGGAACAAAAATTATAAAACCCATTTATAGTCTATTTTAAGCATGTTTCTGTTATGAAAGGGAACAAAAACCCAATTTTAGAAAAGCAAAAAAAGGAATAAGAGAAATAAGTTAATAAAACAAATACAACAAATTAAGATTATGGCGTTAATTATGATGATCATTTCATGTATCTTGAAAAGCAAAGTAAATAAATAAATATATTATTTGTATATTTAGTTTTTCTGGATTAATTTAAAATTCTTATTTAGTAAATTAAAAAAATCGTTTTTTACATTAATGCATATGCAGAATGTATTAATTTGTAATTTAAATTTATTCCAATAGCTAGATTACTTAGAAATAATAGCACAGTTCAAGATTTATTGCATGTTTCCAAGATTATCAAAGCTAGAAAAGACTAATACAATTTTGAAATTAGTTGCAAAAATGCAGAGAAGTCTTAATATGGAAATACTCTACAGTATTTGTTTGAAGTAACTTTCATTCCAAAATAGGGGTAAAAACAAAGGTGGACAATAAGTAAGACATTCACTGAATTGAGGGAATTAAATGATTAAATACAAGAGGAGCTATAAATTAATGTTACTTACTACAGCAGTATTTAGTCTATAATGAAAATCAAAGATTCTACTGACAAGTAAGATATTAAAAAGAAAGTAGAAGCTGTCAATTAGTATATGTAATCTATTTTGAAGCAAAAGTCCTTCTTTTGCAAGCCACTATTTGATTTTATTGAATTCGATCCACAAAAGGAAATTCACTACAACTCTAGGATGTGCACACCAAGACAAACTATTCTTAACAGTGAAAATGAAGCAATGATAGCACAAATGCAAGGTTCTAGTACTTTGTCATAATATTAAGGAATAACTGATGAAAGAGAGCCAGGTAAAATTATTGAAAATTCGAGACCGTTAATTACTATAAATTTAAATTCATTTAAAATTATTGAGTTTTAATTAGGATTAATTATTGGTTCATTAGATTTATTATAAATGCAAATTAAGCAAATTTAAGTAATTCAAGCAATAATATTTTTTTATTGTTTAACAGCTAATGTGCAAGCATTTATTATTACTGGAATATTTTTATTTTTTATTTCCATAGCCTATTTATCTTTAATTCATATTAATTTGTATTAAAATAGGTTTGAAGACATAGTATAATAGCGGTTTGAAGGTATTTATTTATTTCTTATTTTACATTTAATAGCATCGCTTATTTTAAAAAAAATTAGGGAGTCAATCTTTTAAAGGAATTCAATTTAATTAATGAATCTGATTTTTAAAGAAACTAGCAAATATTAGAACTGAGAGACAACTCGAAAGAACGCTTTGTTTATGGAATAAATTTAAATAGAGTTATTATCTCTGTCTAAAAAATAATGACTAAATAAATTTAATCAGCCTAATTTAAAAATGAAACGAGACTAGTAACACAATATCTCATTCACTTAGAAGAATATGATTCTTTTGGTGTTATAATTAAATAAATTAAATTGCTTAAATACTATAACCAAATTAAGTAATTAGATGAAAATCTCAAATATGTCTATAGGAACGTTGATATGAATTATCCTTAAATTCCTTATGATAGAACTCCTTCTAATTAGTTTATAGCTGATGAAATGAAAAAAGAGTTCGATTTATACTTTGAAGGAATTCTTAAACTTAGTTTTGTTGAAGAGAATAGCTCATTTGAAGGATTCTTCCATCTCAAAGAATTAATAAATGTTAGAAAAATTAGTCAAACTGGAATTATTACTTATGATTTCTCTCTAAATGATGAAAATTGAAAAAATTTTTGTTTAATTATTAATTTGATAAAAAATATAAATCAAGGCAATAAGCTAGCTATCGTTTGTTTCTAAAATTAATCACAAAATAAAATTTTGAAAATTATTTTTATTTAACGATAATAAAACCCAAATTTTGGATTTTAAAATATTTTGTAATATTTATAATTTATCAACACGTAATGTATGATTGCTCAAAAAAGTTTTTTTATTTTGCAATTTATTTTTGATTAATATTTTTAAAAGATGTTATAGTCCATTTAAAAGCAAAATTACTGTCTATTTTAAGGTTGATGATTTTGTATTTAGCTTTTTCTAAAAATAAACATTTTTAATTTTTATAAAAAATATTATCTGATTAATTTTAAATATTTCTTAATTGTAAAACAAACAAACGATTTAGTATTTATTTACTTAATATGTTTATCAAAGTAAGAATTTTTGTTAAATAAAATTTAAATTGACTCCAAAAATTGTTTAAATCAATAATAAAAGTTTATTTTTATTTAAATATCAATTAAAATATTACAATAGGATCAAAAATTTCATATTTGATAATAAATTAATATTAGCAAAAACGTGTTAGAGATGTGGGAAAAATAAAAAGATAAACAAAAATCCAAAAGAAAATTAATTTTTAAGATATTTTATTCATATCTTTGCTTAAATATAAATTATTTCATTTAGATTAAAGATAATTAAAAGAAAGAAGATAATGATGAAATAATCAAGCAAAATTATTTTAATATTGTCATAAAAATATCAAAGAGATGCATTTAATTATTAAAAATAAATTATAAGTTTTATGATAACAAATTTTTAGATGAAAGTGGTCAGAAAATAAATCAATGTGAGCATTTCTTAAAGTAAATTTGATAAAGAGCAAATTAAATTTAATTTATTATAATTAAGTTATAAATTGATAGAATATTTCGGAAATTATTATCCCTGACTCAAAACCAGTAATAATTGAATTCAATAAGAGGTGGGGAGCGAAGAATTTAACATTAATAAATATCAAATAAAACAATGAAAACACATTTTTCACTTTTAATGATGCTTCATTAAATTAAATTGAATGAATAAACAAACTTAGTGAAAATAATTTTTAAATGAATGAGAAATATTTATTGAATAAAAATTTATTAAACATTTTATAAATTTATTCATGAACATTTTTTTTTTTTCATATAAAATTTGCTCCAGTAAAAAATTAGAATGATTATTTTTTAGATTTTTATTTATTCGAAGATATTTAATTAGATAGTAAATTGATCAATAACTTATTTGTTTTAATGGTTTTAGATAATTAAGGTCAGCTTTTGAGTCTTTTACTTAATTCGTTTGTGAAGATTGGTCTGCTTACTTTTAAATTTTTATTAAATAAGATTGTAATATTTTTGAGAAATTAATATTAATCTTTATTTTTTATCGCAATCAGGATTAAAAATTAATTTTTTTCATCTAAATTTGTTATGCGTTTAGGTAACTCATCAAAATAAAAAAAAGAAGTACTGAATTAAACAAAATAAAGTATTATAAGCAAGCATCCAAAATATTCTTTTATGATTGCCCTTTTATAATATTGTAAAAGTTTAATAAACTCTTTAACTCAGTGATTAGTAATGCTATTCAAAATAAAGGTTGGATTAGTGAAATTGAAAGAGGGGAGGAAGAAAATAATTAATATTTATTGTTTGCTTTCTAAAAAAATAAAGAATTTCTTAATAAAATAAACAATTTTCATAGAAATTTGTTTTTTAAGGTTTGAACATATATTGGTTGTTTGTTTTTTATTAAGTAGGGTAATAAAAATAAAGAAAGAAGACAGCAAGTAAACAAGTAATAATATTAAGGCTAAGTATTAAAGTAAATAAATCAACTAAAGAATAAGGATTTTTGTCTTTTTCTTAGTCGATAGCTCATAACACAATTTAAATTTTAAGTTAAGTAGCCTTAAGAAAGTGCACACTGAGCATTTTTTTATAGAAAATACTAGTAAAATTTAAAAATTATATAATCTAAAAACGAGATTGACTCATTATTTAAATATTAATCTAGGACAAGCAACAATAAATAGCTTACAAAAAAATAGCACATAATTTACATAATCAATAATTAGGGAGTTTTATTATACTGATTTATACGAGTTTATGAGCTCTCCTAAAAATACAAAGTAAGAAGAAATGTCACCTTCATCCAAAACTTTATTAGATATTGAAGAAACTATGCCTTAGTCAATTAATAAAATTCATAATATTGATGGTAGTAATACTTAAAATTAGGCTCATAATTCCTAGTTTTCGAAGAGTACTTCGATTTCAAATACAGATAGCATAATGGAAGGAGAAGCTGTCCCTTCTAAGGCGTAGAAAGATTCATAAGAATAAGTGGTAACTAAAATACCAGAAAATAAATGCAAAGTTAAAGGTCATAAAAATGAAGATTTATCGTATATATGCACCATAAAAGGGTGTGATGAAATACTCTTGTGCAAAAAGTGTAAACGGAAGCATTCAAAGGATCATTAAAGCAGCATAAAGCTCCTAGATGATTGGTTTAACAACATGTTTGGAAGAAGAGTTGAAGATAGTGATAATAATAAGGTTTCTCGTAAGTGTGGAATGAATTTAGGTAAACTGTAGGATCAGCTCAAAACTCTTTAAAGCGAAATAGAGGCTCGTAAATAGACTATTGAAAAGCAAACTTAATAATTTATAGAAATGATTACCACATATATAAAAAAGAAGCATAGTGAATGCATAAAAAGACTAGATGGACATTACCAAATGAAGACCCAGCTTCTTGAGGAATATTAGCAAACATATAAAAAGCTTAAAGGACTTAATAGATTCACTATTTTAGAAAATCTCAAGAGATAACACAACCCAAATTCAGATCAACCTCCTCTTATACCCATTTAATCCATCTTAAAATTCTTATTGGAAAATGAATAGCAATATACAGATTCTTCATAAATTGAGAATCAGCACAAAGGTTTCTCAAAATTAATAAGAGACACTGAAAGTTTTGAATAATAAATAAGTAACGAAACTAAGCAGTTCCAGAAACTATCATCTACTGATGAAGGAAAGCCAGACTACTTAATTCGAGATTCTCCTGTTATTTAGCGTATTTAGGATTATATTGATTTTCTTTACTTCTTCGAAAAGGGAATTCCTAAAAAGACACAATCCTTTTTTAGATCAGGAACTTTAAATTTTGATGAGGAGGACTATTAATAATAATTAAATTAGTAATCAGGAATTAATAACCCAACTAGTGCTGCAGGAATCACATCTGTCAATATGTCTTTTTCAAACCAATGTCAGCGTATGTAATTAAAGCCAAATATGTCTTTTAAAAATTAAACATTTGTATCTGGGGATTCTACAGGTAGGAGAAGGCTAACAGCTGAAGAAGTGTTGAAATTTTCAAGTTCACGTCAGTAGCTGCAAGGAAATATATTAAAATAGATTTAGCAGTAAGACGAAGGAGATTTTATAATTTAGAAATAGAAAGAATAGAAATTACAAAGTTCAGGTAATAATGAAGAAGAAGATGAAGAAAAGGAAGAAATAGAGTACGAATGTTTGGTTTAAGAAAACTTTAATAATGCACAGTTTATTGATTTTAAAAATGATTCCATTAGGGTTTATGGAGATTCTAGTTTGTAACTCTATGATATAAATGGTGGGTTGTTTAATAAAAAAGAAAATTTTAAAGCCTAGCAATAAATAATTTCAGGTGATTAAGAAATGTATGAAATAGGAGCATTAGAAGAAGTTTAATTTTATTAAATAGAAGTTAGTTAAAATGGATTATTGTAATAGTAGCAAAAATATAGTAATTAGAGTTTAGTGGATAGTTAAAAAACAGGTTAGATGCTAATTGAAGATATAAATTTAATGGATTTAAATCAAAATCCTAATTTTGTTAATAACAATCAATAAAAGAAGTAGCTACCTATTTTAATTATTGGGTTAAAGAGTGATCCTGCCAAAATTGAGATATGGGATATGGATAGAAATGAAAAAATAGTTTAGTAAATGTAGGCTCACGATTGCTCTATTACTTGCATTTAAGTATTAGAAGTTATTCCAAATAAATCTATTTTGTTTGCAGTAGGAAGCTATGACGGTATAATAAAAACATGGCTTTTTTCATGTACTTAGCCTGATGCTAATGGATTAGTTTTGGAAGGCAACTAGCAAATTTAGTTTGATAAAAAATAATGTGTTTATACTCTTACTCAATAATTAACAATGAAATCACATTCAGATTTTGTTACATGTATGATCATTTTTAGAATCAAAGATGACCCTTTAAAAGAATACCTCATATCTGCTGGAAGTGATAAAAAAATAATTTTATGGGATTGGAAGTCTAATTAAACTGAATAGGGATAAAGTGAAGGTGCTGCACCAAACAATACATTATAATCTTAGGAAAATATTAGCACAGAACGTTAAGGAATGCCTAGTAATAGTAATACTGATACAGAGCCTAAGTAAGAAGAAACAAAGAAAAAACCTATGTTTTTAAAGAATAAAATTAAAATAAGTTCTTTAAAGAGTTCATCAAGCTAGGTTAATAGCAGCAATAAGGAAAACCAAAATTCATTAGCCGCTAATTTAAATGATAAGCTTAAAAAACCCCTAAAAATAATGAACAGCGCGCATTTAGATAAGATAAATTGCCTTGAAAAATTAGACGAGGGCTTTTTGGCAACAGGTAGCTCAGATAACACTATTAAAATTTGGGATATGGACACTTAGTCAGAATAGAAAGTACTTTAAAATAAATATATTGTAAATAACATTTGTAGACTGAAAAGAGGCACCCTTGTATGTTCTGCAAATAATGTAAAAATGTCAATATACCTAATAAATATATGGAATTGGGAGCTTGGATAGATAATAGGTACCATCAAAGGCCATACTAATCGTATCACTAAGATATAAGTTATTCCAAGTATTTTTGAAGGATCGCCTTCTGATCCCTTCTATAATAAAATTGTAACATGTGAAAGAAATAAAGTTATCAGAGTCTGGAGATAATCAAATGTTGATTCAGACTATGGAAGAAGAATGAATTCCCAAGAAGATGAGATCAACACCTCTCCTTCTTCTATCAGATCATATCGTGGTTATTCTTACCCCTATAGAAATCCTGCTGAAGAATTCCTAAATTACTATCATCTTGAAATGGATCCATCTCTTACCCCCAAGCTCAATATGGCTCGTGTGGTATCACAGACAGCAATCCCTTCTGGTTCATATGATAAGACACCAATTAGCAATTTATTAAGAGGCCCTAATTTTAATGGCCAAACAACACCTTCAAATTCAAATCTGTATTTTACTTCTTAACAAAATTCTTAAGGAGTTCGTCATTAATAATATCCATCCTTCTCTTAATAGAATAATTTACTTTAGTAACAATACATGTCATTAACTTAATAGGTTTAGCAAGTAAATAGTATTTAATCTATGGTAAGATAGCAAGGAACAAATTTCACACCACCTAAAATTAATTAAGTTTTCTAGTTTAGTCCAGATGATTAAAATTTAGTCAGTTTTTCTCCTTTAATTACATCTGCTCAAATAAACAATTTAAACAGTCCTTAATTATAGAAACCTTAAACACCTTTAGTTTCACCTTTACAATTATCTTCTTAATATGTTCATCAATAATTGCAAGGCAATATCAACCAAGGAATACCTTTTGTATCAGCAGCAGTTGATTAGATAAACGGTCCTGTTTGCAATAATTGTAACGGTGTGAATAACTTGTTTTAATAATAAACGAATATGAATAATGACCTGCAATAAGCTATTGATTAGACAATCATATAAAATGTAAATATAAATAACTCATAAACAAGTTTTGAGTCAGAATAAAAAAATTAAAATCTAGCTCCTAATTTAGATTTAAATATTGATCAATAAAAGCAATAGAGTATACTCGAATAAGCTTTAAAAGAATAAAAATAGAGATTAAGAACTTACTCAGAAGTTGGAAATATGCTTGCTCCTTTAGAGGAGGCTAATGAATCAGAATATAATTCGCCTATAGACAGTCAAAGTAATATAAATCATTCTTAAGAAAATGTAGTGTCTTTTTCTATAGACAATAGTAAATTAAAATATTCAAGAGAAAATTCTAAAGAAATGCAAGAAACATCTATTTATCAGGCATCTCCTGCCTCAAAATATTATGAAAAAGAAAACGGCTTAAGCAACGAAGATTAAAAAATATTTAAAAACTGTGGTCCATTTAGCCAAATACCTGAACGATCCCCAGGTTCAGAAACGAGCAGTTCGTCTGGTGGAAATTTAAGTGATTAAATTTAGCTAAATAAAGAGGGATCAAATAATTTTTAAAGTGATTTTGTTGTTTAATAATAACTCAAAAAAAGCTTATCTGCTTCTCCAAATGCACCTGATTAATTGAGGTTGGATTTCTGTAGTGACTAATCAACTAATGACTCAGCTAAAGACACATCTGATAAAAAAGAATAGAAAAAGCCTTAAATAAGCTATTAAATAAAATTAAACGGAGTTTAAAAGTATGGATCGCTAGAAGTAAATGGGACAAATTATGATTTAGAAGACACTAAATAAAATTCTGCAAACAATAATAATATCCAAATTGAATTCGTCTCACCTTAAACTAATAATTCCAATACTCAAGAAATAAAAAACAGTAACAAAAATTAAGAAAACGTGAATTAATAAAATTTATAAAATGAAAATCACGAATAGCAAAAATAAGAATAATAAGATAACACTTCAAATCAATTATTACCTCCTGAAGAGAAAAAGTAAATAAATTACTCATAATCAGCTCCAAGTTCTCCTTCTTTACCTTCATCTAATCCTCTATTAAAGAGTAAAGCAGCAATGCTCTAAAAAACAAAAAAATCTTCAAGAAATATCTTCCAAAATTGAAAAATAGAATGAATGAATTAATGAATAATATTTAAATTAAATTTTACCCTAAATATTATAACAAAAAACAGATAAAAATTATTTTACTAATTTTTTATTAACTATGAATAACTAAATTTTGATAATTAAATTTTACATACTTTTTTTTCTAATATTAAATGTACATTATCTACTTATCAAGAATTAAATATCGCTCACCCTATCAGCGTATTTATTTTACTACTAATAACTATTCTAGAATATACAATTTTTGAAATTATACCTTAATAAATATCCATCAATCAATCAGTAAAAAATATAAGCAAGCAACTAATAAATAAAAAATCTATTGCAAGCTCATACGTACATACATACATAAATTAGCATTTCATTAATTTTAGCGAATTTACTGCTCATAAAATATAATTTTTCCTTTGAAGACAACAAAAAACAAACAAATAAATAGTTTATATAAATAAAATATAAGAATCTTCTTTTCTTTTTGTTAAATACAAATTTATTTATGACTGCATGTATATGCCAAATATTATATATCAAGTATCTATTAAATATATAAAAATTAAGTGTTTATAATTAAAATTCTTTTATCAGTCAATAATTTTTAAGTTATAATAATAGCTTCTTCAAATTATAAGAGTGGAAAGTGTAAAAACAAACTTAAATATTTTCTCAAAATTCTCCTCTTTTAAAAAATATGCTTAAAAAAAATAATTTAATTAAAAAAATGTTTTTTTTTTACTTACAATAAATAAATAAATTATTTATTCATTTAGTAAAAAAATACTTTACTTATTTCACAAAATAAATATAACAAATCTGACATTATAATTTTTTGATAAATACCAGAAAATTCTTTTTAAGTAGAGATAATTTGTTTTGATAAAACTTAGTAGTAGTTAATTGCTTTTCACTTATGGCTTTTTTTCTCAGTAGGATTTACTTTTGCTTGAGTTTTTGTTATTTCTTCTACCCAATAATGCTATTTATGCGGATTTATAGTGAATTCATGTATTCTTTACTCTGCTTCAGTTTTAGTTTTAAAAAGTCCAACTTCAAAGATATTTCCATTATCATCAATTCTCTTTAATAAGTACTAATTACCCATAATTGCATCTTATTTTTGAGAATTAAGATTACAAAAGAAATAATTTTTACCATATGATAAGGAATTTAAAACTGATTTATTAATTCTATTTTAAATAAATAGATTTTTAAATGATGAAATCATTTATTTATTGATTGACTGATAGATTGCTTTTAATTGTTTGAGATATTTCTATTTTTTAAAATTATGATCAAAAAATTTTTGCATTTTAATATTTAAATAGGTATGTTGTTTGAGATCTTATTAGAATCACTTTTATAATTTAATGCAAAAGAATTTATATTTTTAAATCAGAAATTAATAAATTTAGTGAAATGAATTGCTTAGAATTATTTTTAGAGTGGCTAGATAAATGATAGATAAGGTTAAAATTGAATTCTGTTCATTATATTGATTAAAATATCTATCTGCTTTAAATTTGACCAATAAAATACAATAAAACAAGCCTACACTGATTTCTAAATTAAATGAACATATCAAGTAAAAGAAAACTATAATAATATTAATAACTTAAAAATCAAATAAATAAATCATTTAGATCCAAAAATTAATAATTTGAATCAATAAAAACTATAAAATAAAATGAGCATTAATAAAGAAGAAGTTAAGAAGCAAGTTGAATACTACTTGTCAGATAAGAACCTTGTTAACGATGAAAAATTCAGAACCATTATTTAGGAACATCCTGAAGTAATAAATAATATCCATTACTTTTCTTCTAGATGTCAAAACAATTATTTTAGATGAAGCAATTTCTACTTATTCTTTCCTTATTTAGAATTTTACATAAAATGAAAAAAAGATAATAATGGTATTGATTTATTTCTTTATATTTTAATAGGGTTATTTAAGCTTTGGTAACATCTTGAACTGCAACAAGATAAAGAGACTCGGAGTTACTACTTTTGAATAATTAGCTACCTCTCTCGCTGATTCTACTCTCGTTGAACTTAATGAGGCTAAAGATTCAGTCCGTAGAGCTGGAAACAAACCCATCCCTGCAAAGGAAGCTGTAGATCCTGCTGAAGCTGCTGAAAAGGAAGCTAGAGAAGCTGAAAAGAAAGAATTAATCAATTTCTACGAAACATTCCAACCGTATTTTATTCATATATCCATATAAATAAAGCATTATTAACTTTTTTTGATTATTAGAATCATTTTCTCAACTGCTTGCGAACAAGAAGGTGTTGCTAATTGGAGAAACATCACCGAAGCTTTATTAAAGTAACACAACGTCCATGCCCCTTACTGCCGTTTCGGTAAATTAGAAGGTAACTTCGCCCTCAATAAGGATAAGACCTCCCAAGAAGTTATTGATCAAGTAAAAATTTGATAGAAACAATTTGTTATAATTCTAAGCATTTTATTTTAACATAATAAATATTTAGCTTGTCTAAGATGGTTTACAATTCGGTGAATCTAAAGTTACTATCAAGGTTAGTGAAGGTGAAGCCCTTAGCAAATTCTGGGAATTACACGGTCGTCACTACAACGGTGTAATGGAATTAAAGAGTAAATAAAGAAATAAATTAAAATCAAGTAGTTAAAAAAAAAAATTTAAAAATAGAAAAGGAAGTTAACCAAACAGTAAAAGCCAAAAAGGACAAAAAGGAAAAGAAATAAAAAAGAGAATTTGAATTCGGTGGTGAAAAATACACTGATGTCCTCACCATTAAGAACTTATTCAAGGGAATTTTAGGAAGAACTGCAAATGGGTAGAAAATTATCTCCCCTTATCACGAAATGGTAAATAAATAAATACGATTTTATTCATAGTCATATAAAAATTTTATAATTTTAAATAGTTAAAATCATTGCTTGAATATCATAATAACAAGGAAGCTAAATTAAAAGATTTAGATCACTTCACTGTTGATGTTCACCCTGAACATAAGGACACTAGATGCTTCTTTGTTGTTAAGTCTGATGGAACAAAAGAAGACTTCTCTGCTGTTAAGTGTATTAGCAACTTCGAAGAAAAATTAAAATTGTGAAATTGAAATTTGATGATAATTAATTATTTAAAAAGCACTCCACTTTTAAAAAAATCTAGAAATAAGTTAACTAAAAATATTAAATTAATGTATAAATCTTAATTTTATTTGTCTAAAGTAAATTCATAACTAAAATATTATGGTAAAACTGTTTAATCTCTTATTTTCGTATTTCCTATACACTACATAAATAAATATAAGACTTAATATAAATTTTAAACAAAACTATATAATTTATTACATAATAACTCTGTAAGAAAATCAAAAGTTAAAATAATTTTTAGTTTTTTTTTAACAAAACTAGCAATAATTATAAAGAAAAAACTTATTAATTATTTTTTAATTTTGAGAATAAGTTATAAACAAATATTGCAAATAAATCCAATGAATTCATAGTTTTTAAAATTATAAATTTGTTACTTCTTTCTGATATTTAATCTAAAAATAAATTTTAGTTTTATATTTATTGATTGCTTTTAATATACTTTCTTAGTTTTCTTTAGATTATTTTAAACAAACTTTATTTGTTACATAAAATACAAAAATATAAATAAATTTGATTAAAAATCATTTAAATTGTTAATCAAAATATAATTAACTTTTTTTATTTATTGTTTAAGTATAAATATTAATTTAATATATTCATTTTAAATATTAATTTTTTATTGCTTTATTTATTTTATCTTACTTTTGGGTTTGATTAATTTAGATAAGCTTTCTTAGTTAAGAATAAGTATATTAAAAAATATTTATAAGATTATTTAAATTTTTATTCTAAGTATTAAAATAAATTTTATTTATTTATTGCTCACTAATGAAAATTTATTAAATTCAATTAGCACATTTAAATATATATTTATATATTAGCTCTATTAAAAATCCAAAGAAAGATATTTATTTATTGATTTAATAATTTAATTAGTTAATTAGTTAGTTAGATAGTTTTTTTTGTATAATTTGTTAATTTTATAAACTATAGAATGATATTATTAATATTACACATGAGTATTCATTTGATATTTGAGTAAGTGGCTGTTATGACATATTGGCAATCGCTCAGAATCTTAAATTTATTTAACTGTGTTTTTTTATTTATTTTCAGTTATCATTTTTTCATAAATTTTAATTAATTTGACAATAGTTAAAATTTGTTTGAAATTTATGAAAATTAATTCATGATTAATTTAAATAAGTGATATTGTTTTTAAGAATTTTATGAATATTTTTTGTAATAGTAAAGGAAAGACTAACAGAATAATTTTTAGTAAAATATTTATCTTTAATTAATAATTGAAAAATTGTATTTTAAGCTATGATTTTTAATGTAATTATTATGTATTTATAATTTAAATTTTTTTCAGGTTTAGTTATTATTCTTAAGATTATTCCCAGCTAAACTGCTTTTTATTCGAATCTATATTTAATAAAATTAATATATATGCTTTGCTTAAATAAATGTAAAGTATTTACTTGTGTTTTAATGTTTATGAGATCTAAGTGAATGTTAACATAATTTTATAAATCATGATAGTTCTTTTGTTAAAGTTATGTAATTTTTTTAATTTCTTCATCATAAGAAGTGATATTAGATTAGATAGTACTAAGTATTGTATGATTAGTATTATTTTAATGCCCTTTTTATAAGTCTAAGCTCTAATTAACCATTTAAACTTTTTCATTTTATGGCGAATTGTTATTTGTTAGCTAAGCTTTATTCCAAATTTTATTTAAATCAGTTTCATCATTTGTATTAATTTCTGTTTTTTTGCTGTTTGGATAATTAGATATTTTACTCATCACTGATTTTCTTTATTGGTTTGTATCTATATTTAATTAGCTGCTTGGAGGAAGGCTTTGTCCTGCTCCTGATCTTTTTCCAGAATTTTTATTCTAGTGATTTTGTCTACTTCTGCTTGAATTTATAACTTCAGATTACTACTATTAAAATGTAGCATTATCTGGAAAAACAGTGAAATCTTCTAAATATTGATAATCTAAGCTAACTTTGTTTTGGTTTTATGTTTTTTTTCTAAGTAATTCTACTGAATCTAGAAGTTATTTTTAATTGGTCTTGTTTTATTACATATTTTATGGCCTCTTATTTACTTTTAAACCCTAATTTTGAAAAATATTGACTTGAATCGACCGAAGCTTATTTTAACTGCTTTCTAGGTCTTCATGTGGAATAGTCTACATAGACGAAGTTACAGAATCACATATTGCAGATATTCCATTATTTTTTGATTACCTTTTATATAAAATATTATTTAATAAGAAACATAAAGAAAATATTTAATTAAATCTACCTTGTACTTCTTGCTGATTACTCTTTGTTGTTGATAGGAAAATTACCTGTGTTTTGAATATTTTTAATTTAATTATTTTAGCCTGAGGGAGGTAATATAAATGATTGCTTTGAAGATCTTAGGGTATTCAATTATAGGCTAGATGAATTAGGAGATCCAGAGAGAGAATTATGTTAAGCATTTTTATATGGAAAATACTCTTCGAAATCAATTGAAATTTAAGAATTTTTTGAGGACTAGGGATAGTAGTGCCTTATTGATGTATAAATCTGCTTTTATTTAGGAGTTTGGTTTTATTGATAGTCTATGCTTATTGATTCCCTATGTGAAGAAAGCTAAGGAATTAGCTTTTAGTATCTCTGCTTTGATGATTACTAGTATATGGGCTCTGCTTAATAACCGTTGTTGCTTTATCCTTTCCTATTATGCTCTATCTAACTGATAGCTCTTGCATTTCTTTAAATAAATGAATTGTTTTACACATCTATAGAGTTAAATTATGAATAGCTTTCTAGTGGTTATTTTTGTTATTTTACAACTTAAAGGCTTTCTTTTTTTTAAACATTTTAGTTTTTAAGTTAAGTATCCAGTTTATCATTTTTGTTATTTATTATTTCATGCAGATACAGGCTCTAATTTTCCAATTCTTGTTTATAGTTAATTTTGTGATCATCAGCATCTCTAAGCAGACTTTTTTAATCTATACTACTGTATACTTTGTTACTATTTTAATATAAGACTAAATTATGATTATTATTTATATTTTATAAAGGAGGAGTATCTTCTCTATCATCTACTTTTATAGATAGATTTGAGACATTAGGAAATTTTCTTTTCTATTTATCCTCACAGAGCTTTGGAAACATTATGTCCTTCCTTAGAACTGATTTCGGTGAATATTAAATTGGCTAATAGTTGCCTAAAACAGATTATAGCTTTTTTTTATATCTTTTTACTCTTAAAATCAAAGGTTTAGAATCTTATAAATTATTCTACTAAGCTGCTTTGGCTGTAGTATTTTCTTCTTAATTTATAAAATAGTTTATTTATTTATTTTAATCCTCTAATACTCTATGAGAGTGGATATTGCTTTATGGCTAAATCACTATATTTGAGTTTTGTTGAAATTACTAATGCTTTTGGTTTTAAAAGGAAGTATCAAGTTATTTAAGAGGGAGAATTTCTTATTGTGCTTAATAATTGTTAATCTATCGCTGCTTCATCTTGCAGTTTTTGTTAATTTGATATTATTAAGCTGCTCAATATAATTTTGAATTATGGAAACTCCCTTTTAACGAATAATAATTACTTTAATAATTTAGATTGACTTATATATAGTATTTATGTTTAAGTATTAAACTATAATTCGCTGCTCTTTTGATAATTATTATTTTTGATTTGAGTAAATAAAGCTTTTATAAAATGTAATAGTTTCTTGAAAAATTAATTAATTTTTATCAACGAATCTTTTAATGTAATTAATTATCAATTATTATGGGATTGATTAATTTGATATTAGCAAATTTCATTAATCAGAATAACCATCAAATATTATAAATTATCTTAGCTAAATAAAACCTTGTCACCACATTCAAAATTTGAAGCATTATTTATTATATTACTAAATAGAGTAAAGATTTTCAACCATTGAATTCAAAGTCTAAATGAGCTATTCCATCATAGATAGATACTTTTTGGTTTTAATTTTAGATAAAAACAAAACTTTTAGTATTTCTATTTAATTCTATTTTGATTCTTAATAATATAATAAAACTAAGAAGAATTAAAATATTATCATAAAATCTTTGATTTAACAACATTTTTTTAATCAACCAAACAAAGAAAGTTTCTTCAATCAAAATATTTAATTTTGCAATTATAATTTAAGATCAAAATTTAGATTTTCTTAATTATTTGTGTTATTAAATTATTTATTATTAATAATTTTAAATCTCCTTTATTTACTATTTTAAATTAAGTGAATAAATAATTTATTTTTATTTTTTGTGTAATTTTTCAATTACTTTTTTTTATATAAAAAATTTCACTAATTTTGTCAAATTAAAAATTTATTCCCAAGTAAGACACATCAATCAAAATACTTTATCATATTTTATTTTTAAAACAATTAATACTGAACTAAATCATTTTTTTTACTAAATGATGTTTTGAATTTTCCAATTTAATTTTAAATTGAGTTTAAGTTATTTATTTATTTATTTGTTTTTTTTTTTTAAATTTAAATGTTTAAAAATAAATAAATGTATTAGTTTTTAATCAAATTTTACTTTTCTTCAAATAATGCCTCTTCCAAAAAATAAAATTAAAAGTAAGGTAAATAAAATTAATGCTTTTTTTAACTATTTAAATTATTTAGATAGTTTTAATTTTAAAAATTTTTATAATTAACTTTACTAACTTTTTTATTATCCAAATAAAAATGACATACATACATAGAAAAATATACGAAAATTGAGAATGAGAGAGGTATATATATATATACATTAACATTATACTATATTATTACTATTTTACATTATATCATAATTTTTTAATTTTTATAATTTTAAAAATAATTAATTAAACTTTCTTTCTTTTTATATTTTTAATTGAAATATCTAATTTAAAATTTAAAATTATTTTAACTTTAATTTTTAAATTGAGCTCTAAAGTTGGTGTTTTTAATATCTTATGTAAAAATTAATCAAATTCATAGCTTATTTACATTAAGAGTATTATTATTAACATCTTCTTCTATTTAAAAGCTTTTCTTCTTTTCTATATTTATTCTAGTTTTTACAATTTTCTCTTTTAACTTGGCTTGAATGTTTACCCTTTTGTTTAAGAAAGATTTGGTAATGGCATTCTTTAATTCGTCGTCTTTAATATCATGGAAATCTCCTTCGTAAATAGGAAATTCTAATGGATTCTATCCCTTATCAGTAACCCAATCATCTACCTATTTAAAATATCATTTATAAATACAATTTTTTCAATAACTTTTATTACTATTAGGGCTTAAACATCAGCTCTCTTCTTTGGATCTTTGTTTAGACATTTTTAAAGCATACTTACAAACTCAGGTGACATGTTACTTGGATAGTTAGGTCTAAATTTTTAAATTATTTATAATATTTACATATAATCTTTAATTATTATCATTCATTAAAAATATTGAATAAAAAAAAATCAATTTACTCAGTTTCTAAAATACTTTTTTTAAGAACTTCCAACGTCCTTCCATTAAATGGTCTGCTTCCTGTAAAAATTTCATATAATGATACTCCAGCAGCCCAAATATCTAAAGGTCTTCCATTAAATCCGTTAGAGGTAAATGCCTCTGGAGCTAAATAGCACTTTGTTCCATTATCATTGTTTAATTCGTCTTTCTCTCCTTCAAACATTTAGGATACTCCAAAATCAGCAATTTTTAGCTAATCCTCGTCTCCAATCAATAAATTATCTGGCTTGATATCTCTATGAACAACATTCACAAAGTTATGCACTATACAATAATATACATTGTGATAAAAAAAAACTTGATAAAATGAAAAATTAATTTATTACAATAATCAAGTCCAAGTAAAAAATCTCTAAAGTATTTTTTAAGCTTTTACTCTGACATATTATATTTTTCCGTTTCTTTATATTCTTTTCCTTTTTCTGTTTTCCAATAAGATTTAGAATTTATACTACCTTTTTTCAATAAGTCCATAATCATATATATCTTGGCTTCATCTTGATCATCAATATATTCATACAACTTAACTATATTAGGATGTGCCTAATTAAAAAATCATTAATTAGTTTAAGTACAAAAAAGAAATTATTTTATTTCAATACCATTTTTTTACAGATAGCTATTTCTTTTTCAATCAAGCTAAATGCACTCTTGTTTCTATCTAACTTTTTCTTCATTAGCTTGTCTCTATTGATGATTTTGACTGCGAAGTGTTTTTTAGTATTAGTGTCAAATACTTATTTGACTTTTCCAAATGCTCCGCTAGTAGTTTTAAAATATTAAAATAAATGTATATTCATAAAATTAAAATAATTTTAATATACTGTCCAATATTTTTGAGAATAATGTAGTTATTTATTTATTTTTATCCATCAGCATTTACCGATTTATCTAATTTGCTTGTCTCCAATACACTATGCTACTCTTACAGCATGCTATAACTTAAATTTTTAGAAATGTTTGCTGTATTTGCTTTCGAAAGTTTTTGATACTTATCTTTTTTATTTGATTACGATGTTTGACTTGGCAAAACATTTGAACTGTTAAGAACTGTTGAGTTTACAGATAAATTATTATTACTCAATTTAGTTGACATTTAGGGAAGCATTGAAGGAGTTTAAGAGAAATTCATTTTTGATTTTGACTAAGTTGGTTGTGTGATTTATTAAATTTTCTTCTGTGAATTCTCTCTCTTTTTCTCTCTTTAGATAATTTCTTAAATTCTAGTTTTAGAAGCCTACTCTTCTTACTTTTTAGTTGTCATATCTGTACTGGCTGATTCAGTTTCTTTTTTTATTTCCTCCTAACTTTTTAGAATATTTGAAATAAGAATTGACTAGCTCTCAACTTTTTCTTTTGAAGCTATTTGTGGTTAAGTTTTTATATCATTTTTTGTCTATATTGGTTCTGATATAATTTAAATTTTGTCTGTGACTGTAGATTTTTATTGTGTTTAATGATTAGTTGTTTAATGCTAATTTATTTAAGCTTTTTGTTAAGTTAGTTAGTTTGTTTTTTATAAATCTTTTGTTGTTTAACTCTACTCTTTTTACTCACTTATGTTATTTGTTAAGAGATCTAATAAATTTTAATTCTTTTAGTCTTTTTGTTATCCATTATGATTTGTAATTTGTTGAGTACTCTAAGTTACTTTCTATTTATCAGAAAAAATCTCCTTTCCATAACTTGATATATTTTTCACTGTCTGGTTTTGGTTAACAATACTTTAGCTTTAAATTGCATTATTAGTTGAGTTATTTTCTAGTAAAATACTAACTGAAGGCTAAGTAATTGTGTTTTACTAATTCTTTAAATTATGTGGAAATTATTCTATACTAGCTTTCTTATTTAAATCTTTTTAGGTCTAAAGTGAGAAATTGCTTAAAAGTAAATTTTAAGTTGGTTTATAATTAGAATTATTATTTTATGTTTAATCAAGCAATTGAGAGCGACCATTTATAGAAGATGCAAAATCGAAATTTGATTTACTTTGCATATCAGTATACTGTTCATTAGGTTCTTCAGATATATTATACAGAGAATTTAGTAAAGTTGGATTTTATAAAACAATTAAGTTTGTTTTTTTGTTATTTATTATTTTTTATTATAGCTATTATTGGTATTGCTACAAATATAGCTACTGTTGCTTGATTTAATCACCTTACTAGCTTATTTAGACATTTTATTTAGCAAGTTAAATGAGATTAATTGGTTTATTTTAGGGTGTCTGTTAAGCAGAAGAGCTATTACTGTTAGAGGTTGTGAATTCTTTTGGAGTTTAGTTAGTAGTATTTTTAGAGCTATTTTTATTAGTAACTTCATTACTATTTAATTTATTTAAGTTTTGTTGATTGCTGCTTACTGAAGTATTATTACTTTGTTTATTTGCGATTTAAGCAGGATTTACTTAATCTTATTTCTTATTATTCTGAGCTTATCCCTAGTTATTAAATTCCACTTGATCATTTGTTAGCAATTCTTAATTTGAATTTAGTTGAATTTCTGCATTTTCTTTTGTATTGCCTTTGTACAGTTTTTAAAATTATGATGCAGTAGCTTAGGGCTTTTCTTTTTATAGCATATTTTCTTAATTTGTTAAAAGAGAATCATTTGAATTCTGACTTAAACTGGAATCAGAGCGCTTTCGAATAATATCTTTGACCTCCATGGTTGTTTTTCTATTACTACTTCTGACAAATTTTTTATCAGTAGCATAGGTTGGTGAAAGGTGATTGGATGAATTTTTACTAGGACTGCTATTTATGCTATTTCTTATCTTATTTTCTAATGATTTAATTAAAGGTACTCCTTTTTTATCAGAGGAGTTATAAAAGCCATTGCCACTACTTTGATTTACACTCGATTTGCTTTCATTTGTATTACTTGTCTAGTTATTTTTATTTTCTATACCTCTATTAGGTTAGTGTATACTTTGGTTAGAGCGTCGAGATGAAGAGCTCTGCTTTCTTAGCTAAATGGGATTTTAGTTATTCAATTAAGACTGTTATATCATTTGATTCAATAAATTAGAATTTTAACTATACAATTTTTAATTAGTTTCATAAGTAAACTACTATTATAATTATTATTAAAATTATTGCTATTACTATTGTTATTGTTTTTACAATTATAATTATTGTTATTATAATGATAGTTATTGTTATATCTGACCCTATTATGCAATATTTTAAGAAGAAGAGATTTGACCAAAGTTATAATTTGAATTGATCTATTTAGAATTTTAGTTCTTATTTAGATTTTATTAATCTTCTTAGTTCTAATTTTAAATTTGTTATTTTCCTTACTATAAATCTTTTAAAGAAGTTTAAGCTTGGTTGTGAGTAGATGAAGATTAAGTAAAATTTAGTATTTACTTTCCATCTGTTTTTGGGCTAATAGATTCTTTTTTTGATACTTTTTTTGATGAATATTTATGGCTAAACTAATTTTAAGATATGGGAGAAGAGTCAAATTCACTAAAAACTTTTTTAAATTGAGGATTTGCGTTTCCATTTTATTGTTGATTTGAAATTAACATTTAAGATTAATTTGGAGCTGCACTTACTGATCTTTTTTGTAAATTTGGAATATTTTAATAAATGAGACCTGTTAGTTGAGGAGAGTTTACTTTTAGAGAATTCATAGAACCTATAACTTAACTATGGATCCCGGATTAAGAAGGTAATTATTTATTGCTTGGTTGAGTTTTAGAATTTTAATAAACTGATTAGCTATTTGCAATACTGCTTGGCAATACTACATTCTATTATGAGAATAGCTAACTATTTAAAATTTATGAATGCTGTAATTTAGAAGATAGCAAATTATTTTAGCCTTTGTACACACCATCATATCCATCTATGTATTCTATATCATATTTATCAAAATCTATTTTAGAGTTATCGCAAAATTCTGACCCATTAATTATAGAAGGTAAAACAGATATTGTTTAAGATTATTCTTTAGAGTAAGGAGAGTAAGCACCTCTTTGTTCCTCATAACCTATTTAGAATAAACGATTAGAATAAATACTTTTTTTATAATAAAACTAATCTTACTGCTAGAATTATTGGAGTTTTAAAAGTTTGTCATGCTAGCAATATTCATATTAGACTTATCATTTTCCATTTGTCTTGCTACTTCTTCATCTTCTACATCGTAATCGTATCCACCTCTAAAATTAGGATTTACGTTTGAACTAATAGGAGAAAGTCCATCTATTTCCATGTTTTGGTCATAATAGTTTTAGGGTTAAAATTAACTTTGAAATAAAAAAGGACTCTGCAATGAAACAGAGCTGTTTCTCTAGCTTTTGTATTGCATCTATTAAACAAATTCGATAAGATTTGTTTTAGGTGATACAAACTTTGTTATATTTTAGCTCATTCTGGGATTTAATCTTGACAACTTTCTTGTTTATTTTAAGCCTGCTGACTATAGATTTTAGTAATCGTCTTAAAGATTAATATTATTAAGTTTATCTGAGTCTTACTTTAACGGTTGCTTGAACTGTCTGAAATGATTATATATACTTTACTAATTATTTCTGAATGTTTCTCTCTAAGCTAACTATTGATTCTTTACATAATCTATTAAATTAATACTACTCTTTTGATTACTTTATGGTGTATTATTTATAGTATTTTATTTTTTTGGAGAAGTTGTATTATTAAAGAATATATTTGAATGTTGCTCATCTCTAGATTGCATCACAGGATTATTCTGCTATTCGATCGGGACAAAATCGTGGCTTGATACATGTTAATTGTTATAGAAATTGTTTTATCTTATGGTATTTTAGTTGAGTATTTCATTTTTATGTAAGCTATTTTATTTTTAGTAGCTTTTTTCAATTATTTCATTTGGACTTGTATGCACAGAAACACTTTTTGTATTCATATTTTTTTTTATCCTAAAAGATCCATTAGATTTCTATTATTATAAAGGCATAGAAGGATCTTGAGATTATGTTTTATTTATTTTTTCTTCATTTTAATCATTTTCTTCTTTATTCAAATTATTTGATTTATTATTTATTTAAGTCGAGATTTAAATTGTATTATTTTCATTAAAAACTACATCATTTTATTACTCCTTAGCACAAGCAGCTTTATTAGTATTAGCATTGATTTAATTATTTTGATTACAAGTAATTTCTTTTTGCAAGATATTATTTTAATTATTAAAAGCATTGTTGTTGTAATTTCCAATAGCATTAATGATTGTCCCATTCAAACCTTAACAATTCTAAGGGCTAGTCTAATCTGCCGTAGTAATATTTGCAGAGCCTCTACTCGTGGCATTGCCTTATACTAAATTATTATCAGATTAGCTATTGTTTGAATCATTATCTACTTTTATCGAACTTTTTTTTTAATTAGTCCTTCTTATATGGTTAGTAAGTAAACTCATTTCTTTTTCTTCACTGATTTAGCTTAATTACTTACCATATTAATTGCTATGATTCACTATTATACCATTACCTAAGCCACTAATATTCTACTCAGTTGCTATTCCTCCTACCAAAATGTAGTCATTACTAAATGTAGGGTTTATCAACGAGCTTGGCTTACTCAAGGTAGGCGTACGATTATTTTGACGCTCAATTATATTTTTATTTGCTGTTTCAGGTATTATATTATTTGAAAATATTTAAGGTGATGAATTATTATACTCCCTACTACTGAAATTATCATTTTCTCCATTTTTAAAAAAATTAGCTGTCTAATTAGCTAAGGATGGTGAGTTTAAATGATCCCTTCCTACACTATTTTAAATGCTATTGTTATTACTATTTAAATTCTAAATATCAATTTTATTTTCACTGTCGTTATTCCTTTGCTATCCGAACGGAGAGTCAAATTCCTATGAATTATTACTATTCTATTTATTACCCTGTAGCTACTCTGACTAATTAAAAATATTTTCTTTAGAAACAAATAACAATAAAATAGATTTTTATAAGCTGAACATAATTCAAGAAGTTATTCAAAAAATTTAAAGCAATCAAATAATAAGATATTGATTTAGCTTTCTATTTTAAATACTAAAAATAATTTGCTTAAATACATGAATTAGTTTTACTTTTTCAAGCTATCCTGTTTTCCCTCCATTATTGTTATCGAAGCTAAATATATCTGAGTCTTTCGATTTGTTCTATTCATTCTACAATAATATATTAATTTTAGAAATCATAATTTGTTTCCAAAAGCAAATTAAATATGATAAGACAATATCTCAATAATGCAAAGTTTTACATCTTTTTAATGGAAAAAGCTACTCTTTTTCTTCAAAACCCTAGTAGATTCATCTGTTTTATACCAAAATAAAATTATTTGAATTTAACAAACTTGTTTTATTATATAAAAGGCATTTTTTATATTGTCTAAATACAATATTTTTTCATTTTGCAGCCTTATTTAAAGTATATCTAAGTAATTACGCCTCATAGTATTTCTCCTTATAACAGGGTTATTAATTGGTTTTACATGGATATTGACTCCCTCTGTCCTAACTTATTTAGGAGTTGGAGGTTTTTCGCTTTCTAATTTATCATACAAATTATTGTAGGAAGTCTATATTCCGATTTCTTTGGTTTCATAAAATTTATTGAGCTTTCTATTTTTACAATATTGAAATATAAATAAATGTTAATCTATCAGATCATCAAAATATTTATTTAAATCATTGCATTACTTGTTTTTTTATGAAAGAGGTTAATTTCCTTAAACTTAAAATCTTGTACTTCCACATCCCATTTACTGTTTTTTTGTACTAACTATAAAAAACTGTATCAGTAATTTTAGGCTGCTTAGTAAATTTCAATATGAAAAACAATGTAATTTTTATATTTATGCTGTTTTAAAGGATGATACAAAAATTTAATTACTATAAATAATACAGAAATTCGCAACAACTTTATAATTAATTACTGAATATTGATGGAAAAAAAACTCTATTTATTAGTTAATCAATATTTCATTCTTTTAACTTGAAAATGTTAATTTTCATATAATTTCACAATAAATAAAGTAAACAAATGTATCTAATTGTTTATTTTATTCTTACAATAATAAGTAAATTAATTTTTAATTCAATGGATTAAAATTATACCATTATATATATGGTTGACTCTATGTCTTAAGGAGAGTTCAGGATATATTAACCTTTTGGTTCATCTAAAATTTATAAAATGTTTTTAGTTCAATTTTTTAATTCTTAAATATTTTTTACAATCACATAAATTTTTATTAGCAAAACTATGAAATATAAAATTTTCAATAAATATTTAATGTATGAATTCCCAAAATATTTTCTAAATATTTATAACTATAGGGCTATTATATTAGCTCAAATAAATATATACAATTATGATACAAACTATACCCTTATAAATACCAATTAATTGAGAGGTGAACAACTAAATTAAATTATAAGAGTTTTACTTTACAAAATTTTAAGCTTAAATATAAACTGCAATTAAGTTAAGAGCTTTGAAAATAGTAAAATTTAATTCTATTTTAAGTCGTATTAGTCGGAATTGATGTTTTGGAAAAATACCAAATCGAAAAGATGTGTTTTGATAAATTGTAAAAGAAAATACATATTAAACTGTATTATTGTATTAATTCTAGATAAATAATTATATTTGATTTTTGATCACTTAGTTAAAAATTATTGACTTTTGTTAAGCTCTAAAAAATAGCAAAAATAATCAGAAGGACAGATATAAATAATAAGTCCATTATTTATAATTAATAGATACTGAATAAAGCAAAAATCAAGAGATGTCATAAAATAACAGCAAGGTTAGTAGTTTTCTCTCAAATACAAATGAAATGAATTAAGATTCTAACCATTCGTTAGAAGATCCTAATATATAATCAGCTCTACCATTTTTAGAAAAAAGGCTTAGCAATTATGAAAATATAGATCTAATTGAAAATAACCCTGCTAACAATATAGATGATGAACAGGTTACATGTGATAACACTAGCATGATTAGAGAACTCTCTAATGAATTTGATCACTATGAGAAAGAATAGTTTAATTTCAATAGTGTTTAACCTATTTAAAGCAAGAAGTCTTTTAGCCAATATCACAATGAACAAAATAGCTCTAATTTTAGGTTTTCAAATGGTGAAGAGCACATATCTAGATACTCAAGCGAATATTAAGAAAAATGTCAATTTGAGGAATTAAATGAAGTCTATACAAAAGAATTAAAGTAATGTGATTTTTAACTTACATATATGAAGTCTGAATACAAAAAAGAGTATCTTCGTTTTGAATTCATTTCTAAGTTAAATCACATAATATACAATAAGGAAAGAGCTGTATTGTCATGGCCAAATTGTTTATAGATAAATAGCAATTATTTTATTGTTGGTGGTGGTAGTGGAAATTTCATTGTTTTTTCAAAGCTTAATTACGAGTATGAAATTTTTAGCACTTAGGGATCACTCAGAAAAATAAATTGTATAGAAATGAGCGAAGATTTTAGAGTAATTTGTATTGGAGATAGTGTAGGTACTCTAGGAATATATGATATGAAGAAAAAAAAGGTAGTTAAATTTTTAGAAGGATTGCATGGAAACCAGGCTATTATGTCTATTAAAATTGTTTATAATAAGCCAAACAAATTGAATAATTTGCAGGTAATTACCTCAGATATAAATGGATAAGTTAAGGTTGTCTTTCTTACTAAAGGTATGTTTAAGTATAGTGTAAGTCAAAAGATTTTAATTGAGAAAAAGAGTTTTCCAATTTAATAGATTACTCTTCTATCAGAAGATCTAAAAGCTAAATATTAAAGGACAGAAAATAATGAAATCAGATACCTGTCATTTATTTCTGTTTCAGGTATCCAAATTTATAGCTATTCAATACAGACCATGAATCTCAATCTAATTTATCAGTAAAAATTAAAATCTTAAACCAAATTAATTTATTTCTAATTTACCGTAATTATTCTAACTTAAGTCCTTCCATTTTCTAGAAAATTTCAAATTGAAAGGTCATTTTAACTAGCTTAATTATGAAAGGGTTTAATATTTTTTTACTTATCAAAGAATATTTACAGTAAGTTAACAAATTTATGAAAAAGTCAGATTTATTTTATTAAATTTGCTAAAAAGCTCCTATTATTATTAGTATTTATTGATAATAAATTTTTTTTCTTTAATTTTATCAAATTAGATTTAAGAACAAAGATTTTATTCCATCATAGTTTACCCACTAAGACCTTGGTTTTGTCAATTTGTCTTGGGGAGAAGGATTCATTTTTGAAGTTGCTGGATATCTATATAAAACTATTACTAAAGTTATTTGTTGGAAAAATAAATTATACATTCTTAAAGTACTTCCAAATATGAAATTTAAATAAAATTCTATTTCTGAAATACCATTTTTATTTGAGGAATCAAATCCTCTCATATTCGAGAAAAATATTTTATACTCATGTTTTTTAGCCTAGTCAATAATTTTGATTGTTGATTCTGATCAATATCTCTATTTATTTAATATGTCTGATTTAAAAAAATTGTTTAATACTAGCTTATAAGCCTTGGAAATATGCAAAGAAAATGGAACACTACCATTTCCTTTACCAGTTAAAGAAAAGTTCTTTTTTCAACTTAATAAAATGAGTGGAAACAGTGCAGTATAAACTTACAAGTAAATAATTTATTATCTTTTCATTTTTCCTTTTAAATAATTTCATTAGAAATAAAAATGTTGAATTTTGGCAATTAAAATTAAATAAATTTAAATTGTTCTTTGTTTATAAGAATTTTAAATTATTTTAAATAAAAATGTGAAATGTCAAATTAAATTTTAATTGACAAGTTAAATAAAATAATTATTTTTATATTCTTTTTGTTTTAACAAAATAAATAATTTTTTTTTTTTTTTTAGTAATGTATTTAGCTAGAGCAAATATGACCAAGAATTATTATTTATTGTTGATGGTAAAATGGGAGTGTGTGCGTTAGCTAAATGGTAATCAGTTTACAATAACTTGATCGAAAATGGAGAATGGAGACAAGCTATGCACTATCTAACAAATATTTATTATAATAAGGATAAGTTTGTAACTAACTTATCTTCCAATCAGCAAGAAAGAAAAATATTGTTAGAAGAAAGTGTAAAAATAGTATCTAATAAATATTTACAAATGTGCTTTTAAGTATTTAATTTAAACAAAGATGAAGTAAATTAAATAATGAAAAAATAGATATATATTTAACCATAAAATTCTATCTACAGGTTACCAAGAGAGATATGATTGGTTTAATTGTTGAATTTTTAGTTCTTACTGAGAATTATGAGTTTTTGTTTAATGAACTCAAGCTGATAACTGAGGAACATTTCAAGTGCTCTAATTTGTTCATCGAATGCCTAGTTCCATTTTTAAGAAAATATAAAATTAAATATATTCCTGTTTCTTATTTAAACTATTTAATTGACTATTTTGAGCAGAGAAACTAAATAAGTTTGATAGAAAAAATGATTCTTTAACTTGATACTACTTTAATGAATACTCATTAGTTGATGGAAATATGTCTTAAGAAAAGACTTACTAAAGCCTTAATATACATATGTACTAAAGGTGAAGAAGGAGAGGATATTTACATGACTCCTTTATCAAAGATGTGGGGGCACCATCTTTTCCACAAATATTAGCAATAGTAGGTAGCAGTTGATCCTAACTGCAATAAAGCTATATAATCTGAAAACGTTGATGATGATAGGATTTTTGGTGAAAGAAGTCTTTGGTATGCTAGAATATGCTTGAAGAAGCATACTATAATGGGTGAAGACATTGAAGATAAAAAATATGAAAGTTTAGTTTATAACCTCGCTTAATGGGTGTTTAATATAAACAATTTAAATGAAATTTTATTGTTTTCACCAGTTTAAGGATTTGAAATTATTCATTTATTCTTTACCAATAATGTAGCAGACATTATCAATAAGAAGCAATTTTCTTAGGTCAATAAAAATGAAAAAAAAGATAGAACTTCACGTCTCAGTATTAGTCTTAAGAGAACTACTTCAAATACATAGAATGAATCTAGACAAAATATTAGTAATTCTGATAATTACTCAAACGGATAAACATTAAAAAATGGGCATTATTCTGCAAAAGAGTTTTCTCATAGCAATAGCTTAAACTCAAATTTTATGAATAACTTTGTTGAGAATAGTACCGTATTAGATGAAATTCTTGAAACTATTTAAGTTTGCTTTGAATAAATTATGGAAAACGAAGATCCTCTTTATTAGTTCAATTTTTAGAATAACAGAAGTTCTTTGAAAGAAATGGTCTTAGATAGCAGAGGAAAGTCGTATAGTCATGATTCAGTAAATGGAAATATTATTGGTTAAGTAAAGCAGGAATATTTCCTTTTTATTTGCAAGCTATTTTTAGAGTAAAACTCAGAAAACAATGACAATCTGTTAAAATCAGATCATATTCTTAATTTAAATGATAGCGGAGAGAATGGTAGCAAGACAGAAGGACAATTATCAAAAAGCAAAGGCTCATATTATAATGGATAAAATCTTAGATTTCATTTAAAAAAAGGTTAAATTTTTGATGCTATCATTTATCTTATATAAAATCCTTTGATAATAAACGTGCTAAGTAACAATAAAGATCATCCTACTCCTCATATTACCTTGATTGAATGGGATAACTAATAGGAGGTTGCAGAAATATACTAAGGATAATTTATTTAGTTTGTGCTATCTAGAGTTGATTTTGATAAATATCAAATTCAAACACTGAACAACCTTTTATTGAATTCTTTTGGCTTTAATGAATTGAAAGTAAATTTAAAAAAAATAATTTAATTTAAGCATTTATTTAAAACTATTTTTAATAAAATTAAATAGGCCAGCATTTACAAAGATATGAAAGAATATAAAAAATCGCTTGATTTATTTATTACTTCCAAAAATTAGTTAATTCAAAATAGATTATTTAACTGGCTAAACTACTAATTATCAGCTAATCACTAATAAAATGACCATTATAATAACTTGCTATTAATTATTGAAGAAAAGTTAATAGAAATTATCAAAATCAACCCAGAAAAAACTAGGGAACTTATAAAAAAGCACTTGTCTGAAATAGAAACTAGAATGATAAGAAAGATGAAAGATTTTCCAGATAAATAGCTTGAATACATCTAGAAAGTATTAGAAGAAAGAGATGAGAATAGCATACCAAAAGATCTCCTTACTCTATACATAGAACTCCTATGTAATTTAAACCCCTCTATTATTTTATAGGAGTTAGAAAAGTACGATTACGATTTAGATGCATGCTTGAATCTTTGCAAAGTGAATGGAATCAATGATGCCTGTGCATATCTTTATGAGAAATAAGGTGATATCTAAAGCAGTTTTATGATTCATATAGAATATTTAAAAAATATATATGAAGAAATGATAAAAACATTTGAAAAATTAGAAGACGAAGAAGAAAAAAGTAAACAAAATTTCAATGAAATAACAATTTTGTTACCTTTACTGGATAAGTTAAATAAAGAAATCTAGAAGCTATTCAATTTATGCAAAATAAACATGCCTATGAATGGTTTAGAAGAATGTATAAGACTAATATAAAATTTATTAGATTTATTTGTAGAATTGCTTGCCTAAAAAGATTATAAAACAAGCTTGCCAGATGATTTTTACTATAACTATATAGGATAAATATTTATTGAAATGTTAAAATATGTGGATCTTGATTATTTTATTGATTAGCTATCAACTAAATACATTCATTTAAATCTAAAGAAGCTTTCAAGCACAATTTCAAGTATTCTATCAGATTTAGAGTACACTATGCAAACATATATAAACACTTCAGAGCTCCTTAAAGAATTCATTAATGATTAAACTATTATCTTATAAAAAGTTCTAAATAACGGTCTAAATGGATATCCTGTTTGCTAAATTTGCTTTTAAGCTATTACAAACCCTCTTCTATCTATATAAATTGAAAATTAAAAGACTCAATAAACTTTAAATGGATGGGTACTACCTGATTATTTACTAAATTAACCAGTAGAGAAACCTAAAGAAGAGCTCACAAAAATAAAGTTTTAAAATACAATATTATTTAAATGTAATCATTACTACCATGATACATGCTACTTCTAAGTTAAAGCAACAATATAAAGCGAATTAGTGAAGTAAAAATCCATTCTTGTTGAAACTCCTCTTTGTTTACTTTGTTATTCTCAACAGAGCAGTGATTTATATATGAATCTTTTAATTTAAAATGAAATAAGATAAAAAAATATTAAAGAAAATTTAGCTGGTACTGTATAAACAAGGAATTCAGGCGGAGGTTCAAGTTAACAAAAGCCTTCTTGTCACACAGTAGAATAAATGAAAAAACCTTTAAATAGTAAAGTCCCTTAATAATCAACACAGGATTTAAAGCAAATAGTTCAAAAGTAATAATAAAGAAAAGAATAGCTTTACAAATTTGATAAAAATAAAAATATATAAAATATTGATAAAAAATAATTATTTAAAACAATAGTAGAATTTTGAAATTATAAGTAACAAATTTTATTGAGAAATTATTTATTTATTTATTAGATTTTTTTACATTTTATGTACTAATAATTGTTGTTTTTTAATCAAATAATTTCCTTAATTATCTTTAAAATAAGTTCATTTTAATTCAAAATAATTTTCATATTTTATCTATTAAAATAATTTTAATTGATATTTTTAAAAGTTTTATTGAAAAAGGCTAAAAAATTAAACATATTTTTAGAGATTTAAATATCATTTTAAAAAAATATTATATAACTTACTCAATTAAATATTCATTTTAATAAAACTATGACTGATCAAATAGTCAATTTTATAATGAAATTTTATTTAATAAAAGAAATAGTTTAGTAATTGAAGAAAATAAATAAATATACTTTAGGTTAATTAAAAGTTTAATAAGTTTTTTATAATTGGGAAGTATGAAATAAGCTAAATTCACTCATTTATTAAATTAAAATAAATTTTTAAAAATTCTAGATAATAATTTTAGTAAATTTTTATAAATAAAATTTATGGTATTCTACTTATAATTAAGAAGAGTAATCAATTGTAAATTTAGCTAAAAATTTTAAATTCACTAAGCGTATAAAAGAATTAATTTTGTAAATTAAGAAAAAACTGTATATATTAATTTTAATTTAATTAAAAAAAATTGTTTATATTCAATTTAATAAAATTAAAATTGAATCTATTAATAGCAATAAAAATAAATCTGATAAATATTTATAAAAAATAGTAATAAAAATAATATTGATAAATACTTATATAAAAAAATAATATGATTACATTTTACTAAAAGATATTTCCTTCGAGAAATATTCTATTTCAATAGTTTATAAACAGCAACAAATCTAACTAAATATTTAATTTAGCAACAAAACATAAAATTAAATTCTAAAGTATAAATAAAAACATATTTACTTTTAGTAAAATAAATACTTCTACTTCTGCAACTCAACTCATGTAAAATCTTTTTGAAACTGTCAACTCTATTGTAGTCAACAAGCTTAGCTTAGATTCAATAGAATATACTACTAAATCCTCTGGTTTTTAAATTGAAACTCTTAAGGATGATGAATTTATTGCTAAAGTTCTTTATACACCCATAAGTGATTATAGTATTCACGAAATAAAGGGTCATTTCCCAACCACTAAAATACCTTATACACCAGGATTCGAAGCAACTGGAGAGATAGTAGCTGGAAAAAGCGAATAAGTCAAGAGCCTTATTGGAAAAAAGGTAAGTTTTAAAGTAAATATTGGAGCATGGTAAAACTATACTGTTGGTAGTTTAAAATAAGCAATAATTTATGAAGATGGAGTTGATTTAAAAAAAGCTAGCGCTGCTTGTTATGTTAATCCACTAACTGTTGTTGGCATGCTTGAATTAATTAAATAAAATAATCCTAGAGCAATCATTAATACAGGGGCTGGGTCTTCAATTGGCAGAATGCTCTATTAAGGGTGCAAAAATTTAAATATAGAAGTTATAAATATTGTAAGGAATAAATAAAAAGCTGAGGCATTAAAAAAGGAACTTGGTGCAGAGCATGTTTTAAGCACTGAAGATGTTGATAATTTTAGAACAGAGTTATAAAGCCTAGCAGCTAAGCTTTAAGCAACAATTTGTTTTGAGTGTGTTGGAGGTCCTATTACAGGTGTGATTTTCAACGCTCTCCCTCCTAATAGCACTCTTTACGTTTACGGTACTTTAAGTGGACAAGATATATCAGGAGTTAATGGAGTCTAAGTCAGATGGGCTAACAAAAAAATTGAAGGCTATCTTGCCTACACATGGTTTGGAAAATTAAATGAAGATGAAAGAAACAGAGTTCATTCATTTATTTCACAAAATTTAAATACTATTTTTTCTGCAAACATTTAAGGAGAATATCCTCTTACTTAAACTAAAGAAGCTATTGAACATTTCTCTAAGGATATGTCTGCTGGTAAGGTTATTTTAATTCCTTAATGAAATATAATAAGAATCATAATGTCGAATTGCTTAAAATATTTTTAGCACAAAAAATTTATGTTTTTTTGAGTTGTAAAAATATTTTTATATTTTCTTTAAAAAAATTATAAATTTTATAATATATTAAATGAAGCAGATAACATATTCTAAGTAAATACAAAAATATTTATACTCTATTGTATGGAATATATATTTTTATTTGTATATCTTATTTATTTCAATCCTTATTCAAAGACTTATTACTTAGTGGTTTCTTCTATAGTTTAATACATCATCCTAAAAATTAAGGGATAATTGAAAGAAAAATAAATGTTTATATGGGGGGGGGGTCACAGCCGGGTGCGGTCTTCATTTTTTTTTTCCCTAATAAAAACTAAATTTTATAATATATATACCAGTGTTTAGCTAACATATAGACCTATCTTTTGCTATATTAATCATATTTATAGCCTTTATATTTCCTAAAAATTATAAAAAATGGCGATTACCGCATTTGAAAAAGTTTTTGCACATATATATCTTATTTACTCAAGATTTAAGTATGGGGTTTAGTGTTTCAAATTTAATAGGTAATATTTGTTCTATACTTAAGTAGAAGTAAAGTTGTTCAATTTACCAATCAAATGGTCATTGTATTTCTCTATTCATAATCTTAATATGTTTGTGAAGTATAATTATGATATTTTTTATTAATTTTAATAATTTGGTAAAAGCTAATGAAAACTAATCTAAATACTAAAATGCATAATTATCATAAGATCATTGATTTTTTATCAACTATTTTTTGATCATTTTATCTATTTTTTGTTAAAGTCTTGCTCAATTAATTAAAAATAATTCGTTAATTTCCAAAAAGGGCTTACAAATAATATTTTGAATAAATAGGTTGTAATAATTATCTTAAAAATATAAAAGAAAATGAACTATCGAATTAGAAAATTCAATAACACAGGAGTCAAAGGTAGTAATATTAAGTATGCCTACGCACATAATTTAACTCCTTAGGAGCTTCAAAATATAACAAATAACTATTTAGATATTAAAAATAATAATGATTCTCACAAAACCAAGAATTAAATTACCAAAAATTAGAAGTAGACTTTATAAAATGATTAGCATTTTGGATATCCAGATACGAGTGTATAAAACAAACTTTAATTTTTACAATTATATTAATTTATTTTAATATATTTTAGGTTTATGTAAAAGCGAAGCTTGTCTCGAAAGAAGATGTAAGTAAAATATATATTAAAGTAAGGTGCAAAATGTATATTTTATGATATTAACGAAAAAAAAAGAAAAAGTTTGACATGATTAGAAACTCTTTACACAACTAATTGAAGCTATTTGATTAAGAAAAGTATATGGAAAGCGAATCTGATTGTATTTTTTCAAACAAAAATAAAAATAATGAAGTACTTTTACAAATATTTATAATTTATCAATCATATTATAAAAATTTTTTATACTTTGAACTTTTAGTTAATTCTCGTTATTTTTTCTTTAGATTTATGATCGATTACAACCAAAGATTTTAGAATGCTTAGAAAGTAAAAAGAATTATTCTCTTTTTCTTTTTGGAACTTCAAACACAGGAAAAAATCAGGTATTACTCAACAAACAGCTTCTTGAATGTTATGGAAATCCCTAATTGACAGCAGCAGTTAGTAATTATATAATATAAAAACTAATAAAGGATATTTATACTGTTTAAAATAATTAAAAGGAGATTAGTAGGGAGGAATAATCTAAAGAGCTCTGAGTGATATATGCACTCATTTAAAGACTATGAATTAAGATGACAAAGAGGTTATGATATCAATCATAGGTTTCTACCAAGACAGGGTGATTGACTTATTAAACCTAGATTAAAATTTAGAATCTATTCAGAAAGATAACCTAAAAATTAAGACAGAAGAAAATATGGGAATAAGTATAGAAGATTTAATACAAATGAGCATATGGTCATTTTCAGAATTTGTCTCTGTATATAGAATATGTATGTTTAAATAAAAATATCTAGATAAATATTATATTATTCTCATTTATTTTAGATTCATTTATGAAGAAAATACTGAAAGAATAAATAGGAATGCAGATAAAAACTGTGGCTATATAAATTAGTGTTGCTAAAGTAAAATTAAAATTTTGTTTTGTCTTAATTGTGTGTGAATGATGATATATTAAAATTTTTTAAAAACTTAATATTAAAAGGTGAGCTAATAAAAAGATTTTATTGAGAAGATAGAGCAAAAGTTTACATTTGTAAAAATGACAAATTGTTAGCAAAATCTAGAGAATATAAGTAATTTAGGATTTTGTATGGATAGCTTAAAAAAAAATAGCAATAGCATACCCTTTAGATAGAAAAAGCTTACATTCTTTTTAAAAGACTGTTTAAATGCTTAATCTCATGTTACACTTTTTCAAACTGTTTCAAATTAAGATTCTCTTAAATCCTAAATATCAACCATGTAATTAGCCTCACAATTTAATAAAAAATAAATGATTAAGAAAAATTATTTGAATGACAAAGAATTTTTAGAGCAACTTTAAAAAGAGGATTAAACTAGTAGTAAATAAATATATCAAAGCATGTAAGAAAATTCTTTAAACAACTCAGTAAACCATGTAATTTATTTTAATTAAAAATGGAATTTTTGAAAGATATGTTTTTATTGATTATACTTAATTTTTTCAAAATAACAAAAGATATTTTAAATTAAAAAGAAATCACATATTTTTTCACATAAATAGATTTAAGAATCTCACAGACTGAGCCAATAAAATAAGTAGAATTTAAATAGTTAGCTCAAATAAGATAGTACTAATATATGAAATTAACTTTTAACACTATTTATTTTATTAATTAAAATTATATATTATTAAAGATTTTAAATTTGTATTACTTTACTATATTATTAGTTACTTCAGAAATTCTTAAACATAAAATTTTATATTCATTTTTATAACTATTTACATTGATGTCAATAAAATATTTAAATTTATTTAAATAAAGCTACTAACAAAATAAAAATTATTTTCGTTTAAAAAAAATATGTAATATTAATTTTATAACAAAATATTTAAATTTCATTTAAGCAAAATATATTCACCAAATAAAAAGAAATAAAGTATGGTGTTTAAATTTTAAAAGAAAAATCAAATTTGAATGAACAAAAAATAAATTTATTTCGCCTGAAACATGCAAACTAGCAGCCAAACTTTATTTTTATCAAATAATTTATTGATTTACGCTTTTCTTCACTTTTCTTTTTAAAAATGTTATTACTAGCAGATATAAAATTATTGATAATTAATAGCGCTAATCTAGCTGAAATTTGTTTAAAACTAATGAATATTAAAAAATGTTATGTTTTCTTGATTATGTTAGGGCTCTTTTTAAGTTTTATTGAGAAAATCTAGCTAATATGCACAATTACTATATATTTTATTAAAAATGAATTTTTATGAGTAAAAATAAATAAATAAATGTTCAGTAGCTAATTGTTAATAAATTATTAAATACAGATTTTTAAAAACAAATTTTGAAATTGCTTTGAATAATTTCCTTTTGATCACAAGATTCTTTAGCTAATGAATATAATAATTGCAAAAATTAAATTAAGATTTCGATAGTTAATTTATATTTTCACTAAAATTTGAAATTCAATAAATATAATTAACACCTCAAATAAATTATTTTTAAAATATTGATAGAATGTCTGTATGTAGTTTTACAAATTTATGATATTTACCAGGAAAAACTTGTCAATATATAATTTTTATCAATAAAAAAGCTTTTAAATAAAGCGGAAGCCATTTATACTCGTTTTGTTTCTTATTTAATAGAGAAATATTTAAAATAAGTTAGAGGGAAATTTTATTTGGTTTTATTTTCTTATAGTTGAGTGATTGAAAATTAATATTGAAGATTCGCTTAAGATAAACAATAATTTGATTGCTTTAGCGAACGAAGATTTTTTATATTTTCATAATAAATATATGTAATACTTTAATCAATTTAAAAGCTTGTCAGAATCATGAATTCAGTTCAAAATTTCAAAATAAATTAATTTAAAAAAATCAAAATATATTTATTTATACAAAAAGAAAAGTATATTCACAACTTAATTAAAATTCTTCACATAAGAAATGTCCCTCAAGAACACTAGACCCCCTGTTAAGTCCACCAGAGTCTCTCGTCCTCAATTGACTGAAGAATAAAAATAAGAAATTAAGGAAGCCTTCGATCTTTTCGATACCGATGGCACTGGATATATTGATGCCAAGGAACTTAAGGTAGCAATGAGAGCTTTAGGATTTGAACCTAAAAAGGAAGAAATCAAGAAAATGATTGCTGAAATCGACAGAGAAGGTCGTGGAGTTATTGAATTCTAAGACTTCCTTGATCTCATGACCGTTAAAATGGTAACTAAAATTTCTTTATTTTAATAAATAAGCAGACAGACATACTCATGAACTAGCATTAATAATTTGAATTTAAATAAAATAGGCTGAAAGAGATCCCAGAGATGAAATTTTAAAAGCTTTTAGATTATTTGATGATGATAATACTGGTAAGATCTCCTTAAAGAATTTAAAAAGAGTTGCCAGAGAATTGGGTGAAGCTATGACTGAAGAAGAACTCTAAGAAATGATTGATGAAGCTGATAGAGATGGTGATGGTGAAATTAGTGAGGAAGAATTCGTTAGAATTATGAAAAAGACCAACCTCTTCTGATTTTCCTGTATAATCAATCAATCAATCGATCAATAACAAACCAATAAACAAACAAATTAACCTCTATATATATTCTTTCATCAAATATAATACATAATTTTTGCTAATTAACGTTACTCGTATCTATCCTTTTTCATATTTGTACTATGCTCATATTTTTATTATTGCATTGTACTCTTCTCATTTTAACTTGCCTACTATTTTAAAGCATTTTTTATAAAACTCTATTAAATACAAAGGATACAGTTTTAAAATGCATGCTTTATTATCAAAAGATCTATTTAATTTTTTATTTTACTTTATTAATTAAAAATGACAAAACAAAAAAAATCATGTAAATTAATTAAAACATTCTCTATTCATATTCATTAATATATCTTTCATTTTAAAGCTGGAAATAAAATAAAAATATAACAATTTTTTATTAACAAGCTATCCTATAATTTATTACTAAGATATTTGCATATAATAAATAATGTCTAAAAATCGATTGAATTTAAATAACCATTTTAGTATTTATTATATTTTATAATCCTAAATATTAATAAATATTTTTTATATAAAAATTATATCATTTTATGCACAGTAAATAAATAATTATAATTTCTCAAAAAATAACATTTTAATTTATTTAAATAACATTTTCCAGACATTATTAATTTTTTTTTGAATGTTAAAGCAATCTTAATTTAATTGATTTTATTATCTTAGACATTAAAAGCAACGTTCAAATATTTTATATATCTATTAAGTATTAAAATTAGAAATAAATTAATCTAAAATTCAAAAAAAATATTAAAAGTTAATAATCTACTAAATATTTATTTTTTATAATTAAAATTATTAAATTTAAATATACTTTAAAATTATTATTTTAATTATTTTTTTAATAGAAGAAAATTAATTTAAGTTTTTTAATTTAAAATATCGAAAAAATGTGAAACTTAGATTTCTTAAAATTGGTCTTTTCTCATAAATTAAGGGTAGCTTTTAAATATCATTCAAAAAAATTTTTTTTAATTTTTATTTAATTTCATAAAACTAGAGTGAGTGTAGAAATGAATGAGAATAACTATAATGTAAACACATATAACAATATAATAAAAATAATGTTAGAAATAATTTATTCAGTTTATATAAAATATTTATTTATTTAATTGATGCTAAACGGATTATTAATATGTTAGATTTTAATATATTTTATTTATATTTTAGGTTTTAAAATAATTTAAATGGAAACTTTATTTTGATCTTAATTAGTTTTTAATATAATATTTTAGTTAATTATTTTATTTATTGATTTATACATTTTTATAAAAATCAATTATTTTACTTTATTAAATGGTTATCAAATAATGATTTCTTTTAAACTTCAAAATGGGTTTTTTTAGTATTTTCATATTTAGGAAGACTGTTTTTTCTAATTTAATTCTCTGCCAACTCTTAGTCTTCATCTAATTTATTTAAACTTCTAACTCTTGGCATGTCAGATATTTGGTCAGTATCTTTTGACTAGCCTCCATAACTGTCAGGATAATAAAAGTGATTATTAGAGTTTGGAGTTAATTATTTATTAAGTTAAGACAACTCCATATCCTTTTTTTAAAATTCATTTAATGATTTATGCTATCTTTAACTTTAATCTTAATTAACTATAATTCCAAAAGATTTTTATGAGTTATTTTAGCTAGCTGCGAATTATTCATCTTTTAAACTTGATTTGCTTGTATTAGATAAATTATCTTTTTTATGAAATGATGTTTTTGAACAAGGTAAAGAATTTTCATCGATATTTTATTCATCTGCTATTAAAAAACCAACTGAAGGTGGATTTTGTGTATTGTTCTTTCTAAATTTTGAAAGCTTCTTTGGCCTTCCTACATTTGAAACTGAAGAAGTTGTTGCATCATCTTAATGAAATTCTGGTTAAGATTAATCATCTTACTATTTAACTGGTGATTTCTCTAAACTACTGACCATTTTAGATTGACTATCTACAGAATCAGCAGATCCCTAGTGCTGTTCTTATTTTAGTATTGAGTGAAATGAAAATTGCTAAGTTTTTTACTAGCTTTCTAAATCTATATTATTTTAAGGTGAAAACATTATTTTTTTCTTTTTCTTTTTTAATTTTTGTAAAATATTCTGAGCTTATTATTGATCTTATTATTACTTTTACTAATTATTAATTATTGGGAGTATATTGATTTAATCTTCCTTAAATACTTTCTTCTTTTTAATTTTATTTGGTAGACTTTTTTTTTATTTACTTTCTTAAGTTAGCCTTTAGCTTTCTAGTTCCTCTTCATGAGCATAGAGCTGAACTTAACTATTGACTTGCTAGCTAAATTAAGGTTAATAAGGAAAAGGCTCTAATTTGTAGTAAAGTTTTCTTACAGAGTAAAATGAACAAATGAAAAAGAAAACCCAAAAAGTAATATTGTCTAGGCATAAAAATAGAACAAATTATTGATTGGATTAAACAACACTAGCAAAAATAAATATAAAAATCATACTGAGTAAAAAGCCTCCTACTAATACATAAAAACCTATATTTTTTAACCTTTTCCATGTTTACCTTGTAATTTCTATTCTTATAATCATAATTAATATGCAAATCATTCCTATTATTGAGATAAAAATATAGCAAAGAACATTAGTTATTTATTTTGCTACACCATAAGAAATAATCGGGTTTAGCTATTTACACTAGGTAAAACTAAAAACAAATTAGTTTAGCTATAAACAAGGGACTACACCCATAATACATAGTGGTATTAAATATGGCAATTTCATATTACCAGGTAAGCTATTTGTAATTTCTTACATAATAATATTTATACAGCAGAATTTTAAAATTACTGAGAAAATAATATTAATAACATCGCTAAATTCCATATCAGATTCATGTCCAAAGCAAGAAGTACTAGCAAACAAGTAAAAACCATGGATGCTGGCTCCCATATCAGCAATTATCAAGCTTACTGAAACAAAAAAGAGTAGTTTCTCTTATAATCTAATTTTTTCTTAGTATTTAAAATAAATTTAATTTTCATACATATTTTATAATTTGTTAAGTTAATTAATTAAAATTGTGTGTGGAATACATCAATAAATAAATAAATTTCTCTCTTTTTTTTGATATCTATTGTAAATTTTAATCAGTAAAATAGTATCAACTTGAAAAAAATATAAATTATACTTACTATCCAAAAAGAACTTTAAAATATTTAAAGTAGTATCATATTCATTTATGATGATTGCTTCTGGCTTATTTTCTTTTTAACTTTCCAAATCTATATCGATGGGAATATTAGTTAAACTGATCTTAATATTTTTAATCATTTCATCTTCTTTAGCACTAAAAATTATTTTCTCACTTTTTTTTTAACTCTCTGATTTTTTTTGATTTTCGCTACTGCAGTTTGATTCCTTTCTTTTTTACTATTTTTTTTTAGTTTGAGAGTTAGCTTAATTAGATTTGATATTAGTTTTTTCTTTATCTATTTCATGCTCCTTTGCAGGTAATTCTTATACTTCTTTCTTATCGGTTTAGCTTTAAACAGACTCTTCTTCTATTTTATCAGAAAACCTTGATATTTTCTTTTTTACTGAGTTAAATCTTTATTTATTTATCTAATTTGCTCTTTATTGTTGATTATCATTATCTTATTTTAATGTATCTATTCTGCTGCTAGGAGTACTATCTATTTCTTATAAACCATAGCTTTTTGGATGTGGACTAGCCATATAGCTTTCCCCATTCTCTATAATAGTACTAAGTTATTAGACCCTTTTTTTAGAAAATTTTTTATGAGGGATATCTTATTTTTATTGATCCTACATTCTACTATAATCTTATCAAGAATTGATTAAAAGTAAATAAAAATTTGCAATTATTTTTTATCAATTTTTTAATGATTTAAATACCAATTATTTTGATGCATTATTCCATAAAGATTTAAAATTTCATTAAATTTTGCTTTTCCTCCAAAAAAATTGAGGTGTAATTCATGTTTGCAAATATCACTTGAAATTTTGTACCCCAAAAATTAATAATTACAGTTTAAATGAAAGGTTTATTATAATCTCAAAAGTAAGTATAATGGATATAAATACTAACTCCAATATTTAATATCAACCACAAAACGATTAAATAATTTTAGATGAGAATATTCAGGTGAAAAGCTAAGAAAACTAAATTTTTTTGCAATCTAATGGTGAAAACTAGGTATAAGAAAACCCTCTTATCTCTAGCTAGGCATCTACTGTTAAATAAGAAGCTATAGATTAGTCTGTAAATTAAGATTGTAATTATCAAATAAAAAATGATTTTGATTAATTAAGCAATCCAAAGTAACATGAAAAAGATGATTAGCTAATTACTGAAAATATAGATCTGAAGAAGGAAGTTTAGGATTTAAATGATAATTAAATATAAACTACACAAAATTTGGTAGGTAATTCTCAAGATTAGTAAAATACATTTCCAGAAAAATGTTTGTTACATGACATTAAAAATAAATATGTTTGTATATAATAAAATTGCAATGCTCTTTCGAGAATTGCTTGTGCAGAATGCCATGTAGAGGGACCGCATCCTAAGCATGAACTTATTAAAATTGAAATTTTCAAAGAAGAAATTTAAATAAAATCTTAGCGTGCAATTTAACTTTTTGAACAAATAAATAAAGAATCTACTAAATAGTAAATCTCAGAAAAAATCCAAAAGATTTAAGATGGGCTTATTAATATGCTGACTGATTTCAAAGAAGAAAAATTTAAACTTATTGATAATGCAAATTTAATAGGGGACGAACTTCTAAGTGGCTATGAGAACGATATCTCTCAATTAGACTACAAAAAAACACTAAATATATTTGCTAATTAATAAGTTTCACTATAAGATTTGTCTTAACTAAAGCTGGCACTTATTTTATATCACTCAGAACAAAATGAATCAGTAGAAGTTAGTAAGGCAAATTTCTAATTGTTTATTGAAGATATAAAAAAAGAGATAGAATAAATGGAATAGAATTTCTATAGAGCTTTTACTTAAAGAATTGATATTTCACATAATTTAGGATAAGATGAAAGATTAGTTGATTATGATGTTAAATAGCATAATTCAGAGGGAGTTAGGAATTTAAAATTGAATAAAAGTGAAAATATCTAGCTAGAGTAAAATGAACATTCAAATAACTAAGAATAAATTTCAATAAATAAAGATAATAATACCACTTCATAAATTTAAAAGCAAAAACACTCTTTTTTGAGTTCAAAAGAACAGTATAATTGGAGATTGAGGAGAGATGAATAAAGATAGGAAGATGAAAAATATGCAAATTAAGAAGGAAATAATACATTTATTAGAAAAACTCTGCAATTAAAATTAAAAGGATTGTGTATTAAAAAACTTTAAGAACATAAAGGATGGATTGGAAGAATCGAAAGGATAAATGAAAATATTTTTGCTTCTTGCTCATCTGATAAAAAAGTTATTTTTTGGGATCTATAAACATTAAAACCAATGAAAACATGGACAGATACTTCTTCAAAAAACCATATCCTTTCTCTCTGCAAACTAGACTCAAAGACAATAGCTATGGGTGGGTCAGATAAATTAATACGGATATATGAGTGGGAAACTGAAAATATGGTGAAATTGTTGAAAGGACATAAGGGAGGTGTAAATTATATTATAAGTTTAAATGAAGAGGTTATAGCAAGCTGTGGATCTGATAATAGTATTGTTGTTTGGAATTGGAAATAGGAGGTAGTCTTAAATCACTTAAAAAATTACCATTCCTAAGCTATTTATCAAATTACATTCCTTCATACTAATTCATTTTTAGCTTCATGCAGTAAAGATACAACAATTAAAGTTTATAACTTTGACACAAAGGAAGTATTATGTACTTTAAAAGGTGCTAAATAAGCAGTTCATACAATTTGTTATTTAAAAAAGAATCTATTAGCATCAGGAAATGCAGATTAAACTATCCGTATATGGAATTATATTCAGGGAATCCAAACAAAGGTAAGATAAATATTTAAAAATAGTATTAATTTTTCAAATGTTAAAAAAATGAAATAAAAAAAGTCAAATCTAGTTAATTGCTTATCCTAAAAATTTTTATAAGGTCTTCAAAAAAATTTTTTTTTGATAATACTCTTAAAAAAGTCCTTTGATATTAATTTAATGGAAATATATATTACGATAAACTTTTGTTGTTAAAGTTTTGAATAAACTTATTAATTCATTAATTAATAATTAATTTTTTTAATAACGTAAATTAGATTATCAGAGTGCCTAATTAGTCGATTTACACATTGTGTAAAATTGATGATCATTATATAGCAAGTGGTTAGAGTGACAATAAAATTAAAATATGGGCATATGAGGAAGGAGAAACTCTAGAAAATAGCTAAGACTCTAGACACGGATATGGAGCTGTGTGTGTGAAAACTTTAGAGAGCCATACTAGTGCTGTTAGCTGTTTGAGTTATTTAGCTGAAAAATTCACTTTAATATCTGGTAGTAATGATCATAGCTTGTGCATTTGGCAGTGAACTATATATATTTTTATATAATTTCAAACTTTATAATACAATATTAACTTATCTGTACATTTTTCTATAGTATTTTAAATGAATTATGAAATAGAATTTCATTCATATTTTATAAGTTATATAGAAAAGAATTTCCCTCTATTTGGAAATTGGAATTCTAGTGATTTTTTACCTGAATCATTATTTTACAAATTAAATAACCTAAAATTTAAACATCCAATATTAAATTTGTTTATTAAATATGTACAATTATTTATTTCTTGATAAACTTTTAATCACTTTTTCTTGGCTTTATTATGCTTTTTTAAAACATAATAAAAATATTACTTTTTAATTTATTTCCCCTCATTTAGAGAATTAAAAAAGATTTAGATAGATTAATAGATAAATAGATTTTACTGAATAATAACTATGGCTTTAAAGATTTTTAATATTCTACATTTGATAATTATTTTGATTTAATAAGTTTATAATTATTAAATTAGAGGCTAAGGGCATTAAATATCATATATTATGTCTGATACTTAACAGAAATCTGTTTTAGTTTATAGGTTTTTTGTATCTTTTGACATTGATGTATAATCATCAGACTTTTTAGAAGTTTATTTTCCAATCCCTCTAAGAGGTTCAAATTAAAATTACCCTAAATATAGGATCGTAAAGTATGAGGATGCTAGTTAATACTAGTTGAATGGATTAGAATTCTACAACTAAGATACAAGCAAATTTTAAAATTGCGATTAAAATGGAAATAATTAATGGTATTATTTTTAAATTTAAGCAAATCTAGCAAATTAGTAGCTATATGTTGTAGAGTTATTACCAGAGCCTTATACTCCTCTTCCTGCTTTATCTTCATATACTTTAGATGTAGTTGGATTCAAAGTTGTGAGCTATCCTTAGCAAATTAATTTTGTTATTTACTCTCATTCCTCAAATATTGCTACTTTAAATTTTTACTCGCCAGCTATATTAAACTAGTAATACACATAATTAAATAGAATATCGCCTAATACTTTTTAGGTTTTATTAGCTAGTAATTTAAATTCAGCTCCTGATATAGTAAGCTAAAATGGTGGATACGTAGTTATAAAAATTATTTAAACTACAGGGATTTAAATTACTATTTAGTCATGCAGTGTTTCAAACAGTTTCATTTCAACTGACAATCTGCTTTTAATCATTCCATTTGTTGGATACTCAAGCTAAAATTTAGCTAACATAGTTTTAAGTTCTAATTCTATATTAAAGCCTAGCTTCTCTATTTTAGTATTTGTTTATTCAAAATTCAATACGTTCTATAGCATTTCTACCTCAAATTCTTATATTTTAGGAAATGTGCTCTCCTCTTCCTCATTTGGATTTACAAACAACTAAAACCTGATTTATAAAAACCTTTTATATCACTGGAGTTTACCAAAAGATGCTAATAATGAAATATCAATCTTCGTTTCATCATAAACGAAGTATGTTTATAATAAGTTGGCTATTTAATTTTCTACAGACACAAACTTAGCTATTTCTGATCCAAAAAATGAATATTTCTCAATAAGCATTAATTTAGGGTCACAATATTAAATACTATCTGGTTCTTTTGTAAATAATTTTACTCCTGTTTCTTCAGATTTTAATGTTATATGCAACGTAGTAAACTCACTAGTTGTATGCCCATATATTAACCAGCTTTCAACAAATATTGTTTATTAAATCAGCTTCAAAGCAATTGTGTTTGATTAAACATAATTTAATATAAAATCTATTAGTCTTATATACAATAGAGGTTCTATAAGTGAAACTATAGCTATAGTATCGCCTTCAATACTAAATACTATTTAATACAGTAATTTTTTTTTTTTATCTTTTGAATATTTGAAAATTAATTATAAATAATAATAGATTTTGCAACAAATACAGATACTACTAGCTAAGGTACTAACTAACCTTGGTCTTCTTTTCTTGGAGATCTCTAGGTAATATCCGTCCCAGATATCGGAACTAATACAGCAGACACTATTACTTAAAGAGCATTCTATTCTACAACAGCAAACTAAGGTGGAGGAATTTTCATTAGCAGAGGAGTAGAGTCTGTTGTCTTCTTTTTAGCTATAAATCCTTAGACTCTTTGCAATGGAAATTGTTTAAACTTAAATAAGATAATAAAAATGACTATGATCGCAAACAATAATTTTTTTAAATTCACTAACCTTGACTCTAGCGGTTTACAGCTAGCAGCTTAAAATTCTGCCCTGTAAAGCTATACCTTTAGTAGCTTAGATTGTAGCTCAGTCACCTCTGGATGTGTAAACGGTGCCTCAAATTAAGCTGTTGATTCAAATAATTATATCTTGAATGGTAAATAAGTAGATAGTACTCATAATATAGTCAAATATACTCTCCGTTGTGGCGCTAGTGGTCAAGCATCACTCCCATCTTAGTAATGTGCAAAAATGTTTTAGGTATATATTTTTTTTCAAAATATATTTTGAATTTACTAAAACAATATCATTATTTATTTAAAAGGGTAAAGAATAAACTTTAGGGACATACCAAAATGGATTTGGTGGTATATTTTATATAAAGTAAGTTGATTTATCAAATAGCTACATTCCTAGCAGAGTTGTAGCTGATGATTAATAACTAGACTTTTTAATCACATTTTCATTAGAAGATCCAATGAATATGTCAAATGCTCCTGTTATTACATTAAGAACACTTATCAACGCTTACGCTATTAGCTATTATGCTGCAGATAATATTCAATACAATGCAAATTTTATCAATTTTTCTAAAAATAGCTAGGGCTTGTATAATCCATCGCTATTTAGGCTAAGAGTGCAAAACTTTAAACCAAATAAAGCAATAATCATTTTTTTAGATAATAGTGTAGAATTAACTAGTTTTATAAATGAATAGTAAGCAACCTACTCTTGCTAAGTAATTACTCAAAGTGATACTCTAGCAAACTATAATTAAAACTCTTGCTTAGCCTTTAAAGGTGCTGGAGCATTAACGTCTACTAACTACATCTTAAATAATGTAATTATGATAAATACAAACTATCAGGGCTTATCTTACCTAGAAATATTGATTCCTTTATCACCTTCGTAAACAAATGGATTAAATCCAACAGTTTTGCACGTTGGATATGGAATTCTGATTGATTCCTTTAACAAAGGTCTTAATAGCTTAGCAATATAATCATTGATATCTATAAAAGGAGTTTCAAGTATAGGCCCTTCATTATAAGCAGCATTGACTTCATATTTTTCTATTACAACCCTACTAAATGAAGATTTGACAGGATAATAAAAGCTATACTCTTATGTTGGTCCTGCATAATCTATAACTTTTACAGCAAATCCGTCTTCAACTGTGTTAACTTTTACAGACACTACACATCTTCTAAACTATGGTTAAATAATTAACGATACTTAGTATAAAGGAGCTGGGATTTTAATTACTTCAGTTATTTAAGATCCTTTTTAGGATTAAGTTTATTTTTAGTCAAAATCAGGAACTTTTCCAAATTAAACTGGCATGTGTTATAAATTATCCTATTATACCTCAAGATAAGGAGAAAACTATAACAGCCCTTCAGCAATATTTTAATATTCTATCAGATATAGCGTATTCTGCCCTTTTGATGATACAAATTCTCCTAGCTTAAATCCAATTACAGTAAAAAATACATAAAATCCAACAAATTCTCCATCTTAATTTATCTTGGCTATTCAATCTGTAGCTAATACTGTTTTAGCAATTGCAATTTCAGAAAAATAGGGAAGAAATATTGCTTAGCAAAGTATGCCAACTGCATCTTCTTCTGCTGTATTAAATGCATAAATTGCAATAACTTCACCTTCAAGCGGGTACAATGTCAATGTAAACTACGCCTATCCTCTAAACTTTTATGTTTCTAATTTTAATCTACCAATGTTTTTGAACTAGCCATTAGGGATAAGCATTTTAGTTGATAATAATTTGTTTTAAGGAAAAAATTCTTTTGTTAGTGTTAAAGTCATTTTAAATGATTAAATTTCAATGCCTTGCACATTTGCATATAGTGCAAATACATTACAAATTTCAACTACCTTAAATAGTGCTATTTCAGGTTTATAGATTAAATCTTTGAACATATAAACTCTTTTCTAAAGAACTGATTAAACTGCAACACTAGGATCAACAACAATTAATTTTACTGTAACACTTTAATATATTCTCCAATATTATATGAACAATCCACCAGAAGTTTTAAAGATACGTAAATTTATTCCATATTTCATTAAAAATAACTATATTTATTTAATTTATAAATAGAGTAAACAGTAGTTTCATTAAATTTGGCAAGTGGATCTAGCCCTACAGTTACTGCAACCATAGATAAGCCATCCTTTTTTAATAATATATAAGGAAGTAGAGATATCTTATAGTTTTCTTTCTAGCTATAAAATTCAAATCCAAATAAAGTTAGTATTGATGTTGGCGAGTCGATTTAAATAAATTTAGGATTCTTAAGAGACCCCAGTAAATCAGACGATAATTGTTAATTCTTTACAGATAGTACTTACTAGGTACTAGACCATTCAATTGGATATTTCTCAAATTATTTATTTAAATTTAGTGCAGCTAGACCTTACACATAAAAAATATTTATGTAGTGCTATGGAGTTATGGTGTATAAAGCAACTGCTAATTCTTATTCAGTATAATATTTTAATTTATTAAATGTAGATATGATAACAACTACTAACAAAGTACAAGAACTTATTTAAGCTTCTTGGAATCTAGTTCAACCTAAAAATGGTTTATAAGTTATTTAAGTCTAAACAGAGTTCAATGAAGCTGGCTTAAATGCTTTAGATATTACGATAAAACAAAATCCAACCAATTTACCTATTTACCCCTAAGCAGAGTTTTATATTTATTTTCCTATAGAAATTGACTTAAATGAATTCATGTTCACTCTCAGCTTAACTTCAACAACAATATATATACCTGACAAACATGCATTAAGAGTTAAAGTCCAATCAGCTCAGCTCATTTAGTCAGGTAATTAATATACTTTGACTGTATTTCCTACTCATATAACTAATTAGTTAATTAATGCAAAAAATATAAGGAATCTATATATAGAATATATAGATATAAATAGTAAATCCTTACTGGATTATGCTTACTACTCATTTAGCAACATAAATTTTAGCTAATTTACAGAGAGGGCTCCAATTAACATTTATATAACTAAGGCTTCTTACATGTATGGATTGCAGAAAGCTACAGATTAATTAAATATTTCTTTTAGAGTTACTAATTACTATTCAGCTGCTGGATAAAATTTGAAGTTTATTGTATATGCGAAGGTTGGTAGTCAAATGAATGCTATTTCTACAACTTTATCAAATACTTTTAACTCTAATGGCATTTTAGTATTTATGTAATAAAATGATATTTCATCAAGTTCGGATATAAATATTTAAATACCAACAATAACAAATTTAAAATTAAAGGTTAAAGATTTAATTACTATTCCAATACATATATGCCTATTTTTTAATCAAAATCTTGTAGCTATTACACACAATAACATATCTAACTTGATAGGATTGCCACTATTAAGTAGTTCTAACATTTTTAATTAATAATATTATTCTTATTTTTCTGATAATGAAGGAGATTAGATATATGTATTCCCAATTTATTATAATCTGATTGATAAAACTTAAACTTTCCAATTAAGAGAATTAAATGGTCAGAGTCTTTAATTTAGAAATCCAATAATAAACTTTTAAGAGACTGATTATATATAGTGTTCAGATGACATTTATATGTTTAAGCAAGATAAAACATATGTACAGTCATTCCAAAATATCTACCTAACAAAATAATAAGATACATAACTGCCAGTGAGGTATAATTTACTATAATAACCTTCATCATAGAAATAATCCAATGTATAATTTTTGTAAAATACTTTCAAAAAGTGTAATGTATATTCAGAATATTAGTAATATTTTGTAAAGCAAGGATAAAATCCATTAACGATTAGAATATTCTTAGATGATAGTTGTAAAATTTTAGACCCAAATTTCAATTCTGTTATTGTAGCTATTACAGTAAATGTTCCTGGAGGATTAGGAACAATTATAGGCTCAACTAATTTATTTTTGAGTACTGACAGAGTAATAATTTATCAAATAAACGTCAGTAACACCGCTACAATTGGTACATAATTCAACATTCTATATACAGTTACTAATTTACCAAATATAAGCATATAAAATACTGTTATTGTTCCCATTCAAAGTAATTCTCTTACACTTAGTTTATCAAGTGTTACTTTAACAGCTGCATAAAATTATTTAAATTTGAATTTGTAATGTAATGAGAACAAGTTAATATATTACGAGCTTATTTTAAGAGAAAACAAATAAAGCATATTGGCAAATTCAGCTCTTATTTAGTAGGCAAAAAATGGAGCCATTAAGTAAGTAAATCAAAATGGGTAGGTTGGAAAATAATCCACTCATCTAATAGGATCCATACAATGTAATCCCTAGTCTGCATCTAGCTTATCAAATAATTTCTAAATATAATGGATTAGAGCAAATACAAAATATTCAATAAATTTGTTGATAGATGGGACAAGCAGCTCTACTGTTTATGATTTTTAAACTGCTCAAATTAATACAAACCCAATGCTTTATTTACAAATTGGAATACAATAATAATCCTCTTTATTAACTTAGCAAAATCCAAATTTAATCAGATCACAATTTCTTTGTTATCTGGCATTCTACATAGGAATACCACATAATTTAATTAGATTCTCTGAATAGCCTTCTGTTTAGTGCTAACAATATCTCAGTTCTTCATATCAAACATTTGCAACCTATGTAAAATTTTCAATTAAAAATATCTTTTATTACTAAATTTTTTATCATCAAAATAAAAAATTCTCACTCTTTTTAGAGATTTTTAGATTTTCCTTATTTAAATATAATTTACTAATTAATTTATATTCATTTAAATTAATAAAGTTAATCAATTAAAGAAAAGAAAAAAAAAAAAATTCAAATCTTTATTTAATAATAACATTAAATTTTTTTATTTGAAACAGCCTCCTAATGGATCAAATGGAAATGAAGTCTGTTTTAATTTAAAAACTGATTCTTAATGGCATACATTTGATAATGACCGCTAATATAACTTTTAATTTTTCCCTATAGAATATGGAAATGATACAAGTATATTTATAGAAATTGATTTTTCATAAGTTGAAAACTAGTATTTAAGCTCCCTGAAAAATTATTTAAATGAGCAATATCAGTATTTAAATAATATGAATTCATACAGTACTTCTTAGTACATTAATGTTTGCAACCAATATACTAATTTAATTCCAGTATAAAATTATGGTAATATAAAGTATCCAAATGTGAAAGTGGTAAAAAACTTTTGTTCATCAAGATTGCAGTGCAATTTTTATATTCAATAAACTTCTGGTAGCTCAATAATCTACTTAATGATTTCAGATTAAAATTTAACAGAATCTATAGTCAAAACTTTAAGTATAACTTAGTTTAAAGCTAATTCACTTAATTTCTTAGCTCGTTATATATATCCATTAGATGAAAATAAAACAGTTTAGTTTAATTTTACTATTTAAAAACCTGATAAATCATATTTTGCTTATTACTTTTTAACAGATTTAACTTTGCAAGATTATGCTTATTAATTCCCTGGAGTGTATAATGAAACAGTTATATTTATTACAACTTACTCAGCTACAAATTTAGTTTTATATCTTGTCATTCCTTTAGCTTCAGTTGTATTAATAGCTATAATTTATTTTTCAGTCAGATATTATAGAAATAGAAAAAAAGTTTAAGCAACTGAGGTAAAAAATTAAGATATGGAAAGCAATTTTGAAGAGAACCAAGACCTTTAAGATAATGGAAGTAATAAGGCAGATAATATATTAGATGATTTAAAATCTGAATAAAGAAAAGGATCTATCTTTGGAATAAAAGAAAAAAAAATTTAATGTATGAAAATAGTTTCAAAAGAAGGCTAAGTAAATTTGGATAATAAAGATAAAAAACTTAAACCTTTTAGCTAAATAAAAGGTAATTACAAAGGAAAAATCGATGATATTGATGAAGTTATTTTACTATGAAACCAAGCAAAGCAAATAATTTTTTTGAGATAATATATATTATTTTTGTATTTAATTTTAGATAGATTTAAAGTTTTTACTTTATTTTTACAATTTTTTTATTCAGTAAACAACTTAAATTCTTTATTTTATTGTTTGTTCATAAAACTATTAAACTGTTATCTTTTATTTATTTAAATTTATTTTAAATTATTATTTTAATATAAGAAAAAATAAATATTTTAAAAAATTTTAAAGTTTTTAAGATATGAACCAAATTTATTAGAAATATATAGTAAAATTTATGATAATATTTTAAATAATGAAGTTGTAGGAAATGAATAAATAATTTTTTAATAGTTAGATAATATGTAAAATTATTTTTTATTATTTAATTTTCTTTTAGTTTTAGTTAATCTAAACAAAGATAATTAAAAAAAAAGGTAAATTGAATATATAAATGAATTTTTTTTAGAGAAAATTTTTAAAATTATTCAATACAAAAAACAATAAATGTTTCTTATTTTTGATTTATGACATAATAATTAAACTGCTGATCTTTTATTTACTTAATTTTATTCTCAGTCTTAAATTAAGATATTTAGAATCATAAATTCTGAAAGAAATAATTTAATAAAAATAGAAATTATAAATTTATGAAAAAATTTTAAATAATTAAGTTAGTAGTTAGTGAATAAATATTTTTTAATAGTTAAAGTAATTTTTTTTATTGAATTTAAGCTTCTTTCATATTTTGGTGATTAATTTTGCTTTAAAAGTAGATTTATCTTTAAATAAATGCTTAATTTATTCTTCTTTTGTCATATCATTTTAAAATAATTATTTTTTTTTATTTTCTTTTTAATCTAGCTCATTTTGCTTTTTATCTTAAAAATCAGCACTACTTTCAAATATATTGTAAAGTATGTTGCCTCTAATTATCGTAGAATATATTTTCCCATAAAAAACTTTTTTATCATAAATATGTAGAGAGGATATATCTTAATTTAATTAGAAATTTTGGATATCAAATATTGATTTTTCAAAAGGATCCCAAACTACAAAATCAGCATCTAAACCTTCCTTTATTTATCCCTTTTAATTTTGAATACCCAAAATTTTTGATGGATTTATTGAGAGCAACTTAGAAATTTCAATAATCTTTTCTTCTGTTTTTTCTTATTCATATTATACTTGTTCTGTTTTAATTTTAATATCTTCTGATTCATTTTATATTATATCCTTATTTTCATTGATATCCTATAATTAAGTATCAGTAGATTCAACTATTTACTCATTATAATTGATAGAAGTACTTTCTTTGTCTACTAAACCCTTTTATTATGTATCTTAATTTGATTATGACGTTTATGACTAAATGATATGGTTGTCCTTTTATTACTAGTTAATTTACTCTTTAAATTTTCTCTTCAAATTGATCCAAGAAAGAGTCCATATTGTATACAAATTTCCTCCAATTGAATTTAAACCATTAAATGCTACTGTAAAATCTGGAGGCTTATACTTTAATGGAACATAAAAATGATTAGATCCAACACAATCAATCACTGAATTTACTTCCAACTCTGAAAGCAGTAATTTTTTATTTAGTTTATCATAAATAGCTGGCTCATTTTTGAATTTAGTTTCACCTTCATTAATATTTGAGGAGTCGAAATACAAAAATGGAGTAGAAACTTCTATGTACAAATTAAAGTTAGGATTCCTCAATTTCTATCTAAATATTTTAGCAACTGAGTAGGAGTTAGAAACATTTGTAAAAATGAGATTTGGCTAAAAAGTAACTTTATTCTATTTATACTCGACAAATTTCTATTTAAAAAAATTTATTGCTATATTTTCCCAAAAAGGTGGACGAAAAGTCAAAAAATTTAAATAATCTCTTCTAGTTTTCTACTTTTTTTCTAGGTCTTTTGTATTTTATTTTAAACTCAAAACATTAGAAGATGTTTAACTTCTGATTCGAGTGAACCCTTCACCAACTATATTTATTGTACTTAAGCTAATACCTTAACCTTGATCAAATACTTTTTCATCTATTTATTGCATGGAATTATCTATCAAGTTAGTTTGGGTTTTAGAGTTTATTAGTTTCATGCCTTTGTTAGAATCTATCCCTTCACTTTACTCTATTTATTCGCAGGCAGGTAAGCATAAATTAGAGTTTGAAAGGACTAAAAAATGAACTTTTCTCATACTGTTGAAGTTAACTGAGTTATTTTCATTTTTTACTTACTGCAATTTCCTTCTTATCAAGAGATTAGAATTTGACTTTGGGCGTATCGAAAAAAGTGAACTTGGGCTATCCTCTGGTTTAATTTCATTTTAAAATTATACAACATTAGATTTTAAAATTGGTTTAGAGTCTATATTATTCTATTCCATATTATTAAGTATACTGCTTCTATTTTTATTATCAACATTTTTGCATATATCAGGTTTTGATTAATCTTTTTAAGGTGACAAGCTATTTCTGTATGTGGTCATGCTACTTGTTTCTGTTAATTCTTCAAAACTTTACCCGTGGTCATTCTATAAATATTTTAATTTTTAATAATTAGAGCTCTTGAATATAAATTAAATCAGTATCTTTTAAAGATATTTTAGGGTAAAAATTGGAGAAATTGATTATACAATTTCAATAAAAATTGAAATAAAATCAATAAACAATTCAACCTAAAAGATTTAAATTTTACTTTGCAAATGTTTATAAATTTTGAGCTGTCTAAATTTATAGATATAGGTCTAACAAATTTTACTTTCTAAGATAAATTGTTTTATTTCTGATGAGTATTTTCACTTGGATTTATTTTTTGTTAGTTATTGATATTTTCATCTTCGCTTTCTATACTAAGGAAACTATGCTTTGCATCATTGAGTCTCTTAAATTCTAAGTATTTATCATTTTAGTCTTCATTCTAAGATTCTCCTTCATCAGATTTATTGTTCTCTCCTGAATCAATTTATGATTAACAAAGATATTAGCTTTTTTCCTAAATACTTAGTAACCTAATAATTAAAAAGAATATATTTTTATTAATCTTATTTATTTTTTTGTAATCGAATCAATTATTGTCCTTGAATGGAATTCTAAATTAATCTAAAACTCAAATCTATCTTGTTAAATTATGAGTGAAAATTTAAATTCTTTGTTTTTAAAAAAATTAAATTCTATTATCTATTTGTTATTTATTACTTTAAGGCTGATTGCATTGTTTTCTACTGAGCCATAGGAAATATTTTTAGTAATTTTTGTTGAATTTAATCATTTCGAATTGACTCTAATTCTATCGAAGACCACCTTTCTTCTTCATGAGTCTCTCCTAGAACTGCGTCTGAACAAGGAATATTTTTTTCATTAACACAGTCTGTTGTTTTTTATATATCAACTCTCGATTTAATTTTTAGATTACGCATAGGACTGGTAACTCCTAATTCTTTTTCGCACTAAAGGTAGATAGGATGAAAAAATATACTCATATTCTCTAAATTCTTAATTTAATCTATGAATTGTAAAATTTAGCTCTTATTTGAGCAATAATCAACATCAGGTTAAAAAGATGGAGAGAAATAAGTCCTAAATCCTACTATATACTTTTTCAAATGATCAATTTTATCTTTATCAAACATGTCTTTACAATTAGTCTTTGTCAAGAGTGTTAATTAAGCAAAATCAACAAAACTTTCTTCTCGCATAGCCTCTATTTTCTCTCTGCAATCACATAATGATTGATTTAATTCTACTATGTTTTATTCATTTTCCAAAAGAGGATTATTAACAACCATAGTTACACCTCCAGCTAAAGCTATTCTAGTCAAATTTTATATTTCGCACCACTCTTTTTCTTCATAATTAGAGTGTAAGCTAACATTCATGTCGATGATACCGCTCATTATATACTTATTTCCATAGTTTACAAAGTTAATACTGAGTCTTCTTATTTCTTCTAACTAATCTTAAGTAGGGTCAATTAATATACTTACTATTTTCTCATTTTTAGTGCAAACTACTGCCCTCTAAAACTTATCTTCTCCAACCAAAACTTTTGTGCTGGTAATACTAAGATCGAACTTTTTATTAACTCCAGAAATCATTTCAGAATCTGATATTAGTTTTATGATATTTTAATCGCTCTACATTTGTTTGCAATATTTAGAGAGCTAAAAATTCTTAATTTATTTTACAAAATTTTTTATTTATATGTTAATAAATAACTTACTTTTGATGAATAAGGCACTAGTATAGTAATTAAATAATTATGTAAAATTTTATTAAAAAATAAAAAGAGATTGGTTGTTGAAAAATAACAAATAATATATTCATTTGCTTATATTTTGAATATCAACAGAAGTAATCTATATATTTATTATGCTTTCTTATACTAATCTCATTAAAATTCACTCATCCTTCTAAATTTTTACAAAAATAAAATTTTTAAAGCTCATATTGCAACTTATTATAAATGTTACTGGTTAAAGTTTAATAAAAAAGAAAATTCAAATAGAAAATGGCTATAATAGTTGCTAGTTATTCTTAACATATTATTTTATAAAATAATGATTTTATATTTTATTATATTCTACACAAATTGAATAATGATGTAATGATGATATTTATTTCATTAACTAATTTATTTTTATTTATTTAATTTCTTTATAGATTCATTTTTTTTTATGATTAGTAATTAATTTGAAACATTTTAATGATTAATAATTAGTTTTGAAGCATAAAATTATATCACAAAGAGACCTTCCGCAATAAAAATGTTGTCTTTTGATCATAAATAAATCTCAAAATTTCTGTAAAAATCCTTTGAATTTAATGTTATTTTTTATTTTTGTATATTTTTATCCATTTTTCACAAAGGTTATGCCAGAATTAACCGGCTTTTTAATATATTCAAAAATTTTATAATAATTAATTTTTAAGTCCGAATAAATCTAAATTTAAAAATACTTCTTGATTCTTATCCTTAAAAATAGAAGGATTTTCTATTTATTTTATAAAAAATTAGTTTTATGCTCCTTTAAATTTGTAGAAGTGCTTTAATTAAAAATATTTATAGTACTGTTATATAGGTTTAAGCTACATTTCTGGTAAATAGAGTTATATTCTAGATTATATTTTGTTTAGAATGTAATAACTGAATGAAATTCTAAATGAAGTCATTCATTAGAAGAAGATATTCTTTTTTCTAAATTTTAAAAATTGGCATAAAAAGAAATAAGCATAAAAACAAACAAATAAACAAATTTTAAAACACTTCTACTTTACAAGAATTTGTTATAAGCATTTATTGAGCATATAATTCAATTTTATAGAGATTTTAATTATAAGTATTTCTTACCTAATAATTAATGTTAGGAGAAAATTTTATATTACTTTCATTCTAGCATATTTATGCTTAGAAATAATTAGATTAAAAAGTAAAAAAAATCATATTGAAAAATTAAACAATTAATTTAATAAACAACTACATAAATGGAAATGGATATTATTAAAGGAGGTTAGGGCCTCCGTTGCTACTGCTGCTAGTTAGAATTCGATACAGATTCTAACTATAAGTTGCATTTTAAATCAGACTATCATCGTTATAATCTAAAACGTAAAATGCTTGACCTACCTCCTGCTACTTACGAAGAATTTTAGAGATGTAAATAAATATATAAATGAGATTATTTTAGAAATAATAATTGAGAAATATTTTCGCAAAATTAAATTAAATAAAATATTTAAAAATAGAATTTTTGAGTTCAGGTCAAAAATCATAAAGCACTTCAGTCACTGATTGCTTAAAATGCATGATTTGCAAGTAAGTTCTTTTAAATTGTATTAAAAAAATAGCTTTTAAGAAATCAATTTTTATTTTAGAAAAGAATTCGGTTCTCATCAAACTTACAAGTAACATTTGTAAAGCAGAAAGCACCAAGAAAATGCTCTTAATTATAAAATTGAAGATAAGGAAATACATTTAGATTTTATTTAAAATGAGCAAAAACGCACAACTCTTGATGATGTTTCAATCTGCTTATATTGTGATAAGACTAATGACGATTTAAATGAGTAAATTTTTAATAGCAAATATTATTTGAAGATTTTGAAATACATTTATTTACTTATTAATAGAAATATAAAGCATATGGAAAGAGTTCATGGATTCTTTATCTGTGAGGAAAAATATATCAAAGACCTCTAAGGACTTGTTTTGTTTTTAGCTAAGCAAATTAATGAAAAGTTATTATGTCCTTATTGTGAAAATAAAAACACCAAAGGTTTTGTAGATGCAGAAGGAGTCAAAAAGCACATGGTCTAAAAGGGACACTGCTTTATGAATAATGAATAGTTTTTCGATTTGTACTGCGAATTTTACGATTTTACTCTTGCTATTGAAGAAGCTCTAAAAAATAAATTTAAAAATGTCGAAAGGATAGTCGAAGTATCAGAGACTGAAGATGAAAGTGATTTAAGCTCAACCCCAGAAAAGATTATGGGAGAAAATTAGCAACAAGAGTAGCCTCACTCTGAATCTAATTATGAAATTATCTCTTAAGAAAGTGATTAAAAATTAATGGAAATGATTAGAGAACTATCAATAAATGATGACGATTTAACCGAAGAATAAAAATAAATTAAATAGAAAGCTTAGGAACTATATCTTAAATATAAGCAATGCTAACAAGAAACAAAAGCTAAAATAAATAGTTATGGTGAGATTATTTTACCTTCTGGCAAAGTTTTAGGTCATAGATCTATGGCTAAATACTATAACTAATATTATCGTCCTATGGCTACTTAGGAATCCAAGATGAAGGCCATTCTTGGTGAAGAAGGCTACTAAGAACATAAGAATCAATTAATGAAATTAGAAGAACAAAAAGTAAATAGAAATAAATTTTATAATTTAAGTTATTAATCTCATATTTGTATTTTCATTAATAAATAGCTCTTTGCTAAATAGCAAGAAGATAAATACAGAAGAGAAGCTTAAAAGAAAGATTACGATTTAAGTAAGAAAAATAATGCTAACCAAGTTGGGTAAATTTAATTTTTAAATGATAAATTTAATATAATTTTATTTTCAAAATAAATATTTATAGTTAAGGCATCCACTAAAATAAAGTTCAAAATATGGTTATTTATCAAAGCAGAATTTGAATCAATTTACATACTAACAACAGTTTAATTTTTTAATGTTCAATTCGATATACTTAAAAATAATTTTAACTAAAAAATCTGAATTCATAATCAATATTTCTGATATCCTAATCTAACCTCTTTACTACTATATATTTAACATAATTAAATTTAATGTCATTTACATTTTCCATGTTCATTACAATAATATATTTTTGATTCTAAAATTCTAAAACTTTTGTGTCTAAAAAATTGTAAAAAATGCAAAAAACCAATTAAGTTAATTAAATAGATAAAGCTTAACAAATAAAAAAATATTAAATGTTTTATTTATTTTTAATATTTATTAAAAAATGTATTTTGATAACATAAAATTTATCATAAAAAGAGCATTATTTTTTTTTATTAAAGAATATAATTCAGGCTTTTTTAATTTACTTACAAAAAGTAATAATATGAGTGACAACAACAACAATAACCATAAACAAACATATTCGTTAAAAATTGTATTTGAATTAAAAAATAATTTATATTTAAAATAATTAGACAAACAAATACACTCCATAAATACATAAATAGATACATATAAATATTGATAGTTAAGATAATAAAAAGATTAATCTCAATTTTTGTAATATTTTTTTAAAATAACACTTTTTTCAAAACAATAAATAAATAATATTTCTTAATTACTTTCAACCTATTAATTTCATAGTAAAAATATCTAGCTAAATAAATAAATAATTTGGCAAATTCTTTTTACAATAAGAGGGCAAGGCTAGTTTAATAAAAGAAAATAGATTAATTAACTTTGAGTTTATTATAAAAATGAATGATATTTAAATGCTTCCTGAAGAAAATTTTTTGAATCATGGATTTTAACTTTACAAAATTAGATTAGATTAAAAAACATTAAATTTGATATAAGCTCTTTTAATGGAGCTATCACTGATATCTAATAAGAGCATATTAAATGATAGTTTTGCTAGGAATAAGGAGATAAATGTTGGATTAATGGAGGGAATATTGAAGTAAATATATCATATAATTTTTTATTAGAAATAGTTATTTGCAAGTTTTAATGTATAAATAAAAGAGTGCTTGAGTGGAGAGTAAATGGTAATATCAATGACGGTGAATTTGCTATGCTGTATGTTGAATGGCTTAAATCTAAATAATTTATAGTTAATGATCATTTAATATCCTTCTCTTATGAATTATTAGTTCCGAAAAATACAATTATCAATTATCTTAGAAATTAGAAACATGAAGACCTGTCTTTCGTTGTAAACAAATTTTAACAGTTTATTGGTTGATTTATTAATTAATAAATATCCTGTTTATTTTTAGATAAGTTAATATATGGAACTTTTGAATAGTCAATTTAACGAACACTTGTCAAGCATTACTAAAATACATCCAAAAAATGTAATTTGCATGATATAGAGCTCATTTTTAAATAAGTTTTTATAAGATTGAAATTAGCGAAGATATCTATATAATGTTTGATGATGAAGGTATAGGGTATGTAGGAATAGATTAAATGATCTTTTTGTTTATGGCCTTGGTAAAGAAGCAGAGATTAAGCATTCCAAATTCTAAAAATTAGTTTTATAGTGAATTTCAAACTTTTGTTTCATAGATTCCATAAATAAATGGAAATGTAAATTCATTATCATATATTAAATTTAAATTAATAAGCTCATAATAAATACAGATTTCTTTAAGAAGCTTTAAAGCTTACATAGTCTTAAGTTCACCTTCAAGTGATGATATTTAAGAAATTTTAGATAGCTGCTAAGAATTAATGAATGAGTTTGGCTGGAATTAGCACAATCAACAAGAATCAAGTGATGTTTAGTTTATTTTTCCTAAACCTTTTAATGAAGCTTTTGTTGAATGCATGAATACTCTTCATCAATAAGGCTACATTACAAATGAAGATTTGATGAGAGACGAATGTAAATAAAAATAACTTAATTATTTTAACAATAAAAAATATTTATTTTATCTAAAAATATTAAATAAGTCTTAAACACATACAATATCTTTCTGAATGAAGATTACTTTAAAATTTTAGGTGAGAGTACTAATCATACTAGCTATATTAACTGCTTAGATTAAGGTAAATTTTAAAGGGCACTTTTTAGCAATAGTTTAGAATTCTATAATGAAAGAGTCTTGTCAGGGTTAAATATCAAGTTATCTTAAAATGTGTTTAGCTGCTTTGTGACTAAGTTAGATCAAAAAATTTAATAATATATTACTGCATTCACAAATAAATATATTCCTTAATCTTACTAAAGCTATCAATCTTATGATTCAAGATAAGACTTAAGTATTTTATTTTCTTGAATAAATATCATTTTAAAAGTATTATGTTTTAACCAGATTAATAGAAGGGATCAAAAGTCTTTTCAAAATCTAGACAAAATAAACCAAGTGTTGATATGAAAGCTGAAATGTAAAGACTTGAAAAGGAAAATTACAAGCCTAAAATAAATTTTGATGATAGTTCTTATAACAATTATAACAATAATTACCATTCATGGAATGAGAGTTATTCTAATTAAAATGATATTTAAAACAAATCTACCTTACCCTTTTTTTAGGCATCAGTTCAACAGACAATCCCTTCAAGAAATTCAATCAAAGATAACAGTTATTTAGACAGCTTACAGAATAATATAAACAAAAACATTAAAAATATGCCACAACAAGGAAGAGGTTACAATGTATAAACTAATTAACCTCAATTCTAACAATAAAAACAACAGCTATTTTAATAGTTTATTTCTAAAAATTAAAATGGATAACATAATTCAATAGAATATAACATTAAATTAGCAGATTTAGATGCTGGTCAACAGTCAAAATAGGTATCAATCAACAAAAATATAAGAAATAGGAGCAAAAGTCCAGTTTAAAATTAGTAAATATAAAATCAAGCAGGGATGACTTTTAATAATAATAATAATAATAATAATAATAAAAATAATAAAATGTAAGCTACGTAATTTTAAAAGCAACAATAATTCCAAATAATTTCTAAACCTCCATTAGATGTAAATTATAAAACACAAAGCATAATATTTATTTATTTATTATTTATACAAAAAACATTTAGGCTCGATAAAATTTGAGGTATAGCAATAATAGCTTTAATAATCAAGATAATAGGTAATTGAATAGCAATAATTCTAGATAAAAATTGTCAAGTAATTAATATAATAGCATTTTAAGATAAGTTACTCCTACTAAATCAGTTTCACCAATAAAATTTCATATTTCTTTATCAAACTCCTAAAAATAAATTAATCTACAACAAAAACCTTATATCAATGAATTTTAACCTAATCCTTCTCAATCAGTTTCTTTCTAAAAGCAAACCGCTTCTTCTAAATTAAAAAATTTCAGTAATTAATAAGGATCATCAGTGAAGAAAGCAAAAAGTTCTTTAAATATGAGGGCAAACTCCATAGAAAATGTATTTGCTTTATAAATTCATTTTTTTTATACTATTTTATTTAATTTATGATAGGTAAATCATTTTAATTCAGATATTCAACTAAGGTAGTAAACTTCAATGGGTTTTAGAGAATAAACGCCAGATAAAAAATACTAAATAAATAATAATAGTAATTGGAATGAAAGTAGTAATTTAAAAAATAGAAAGACTAGTATATCTAGCAATAATTATATGTAATAAAGTCTAAACAACTTTTAAAACCAATCAACTGCTCTTTAAAGATCAAAAAGTCCACAAGTAAGAAAATCTTAAACCATACAAATGTGGAACAAAAGAATAGAACCTTTCGAAAAAGTTATGTAAAGATTAACTACATAGTAAAGTGTTAGTCCTATGAAAGAAATGTTTAAGAAAAGACCTTTCCATTGAAATTTATTTAAATAACACTCACAAAACAAAGAATAAATTAATCAAACAAACAAAAAAAATAATATCCTATAATTAGTTTTCCAAAAGCATAAAGCAATTGCTTTCTTTCTAAGGTTAAAATTGAAGTACTTTTATTATTATAAATGACTAAGTCTTATAAAATTAAAACAAATGACATAAAATAATTGATTTGAATAGTATAATTATATATAAATTCTATTGAATCAAAGATGCTAAATTATTATTATAATTAATTAATCAACCTTTCTATAATTATGACAAGTAATAAAATGACTAGTTTGTATTTATTTCTATTACATAAATATATTAAGAAAATTTTTAAAGCATCTTAATTCTCTTTTGGGATTTTCTATTTTTTACAAAATACTTTTGCATTTAGATTTTAAAATATAAATTAAAAAATTTATCATAAGTTGATCATTTAATTTTTGAATATAATAATATAATTATTTTTGTGGTTAATCAAAAAATTATTTATTAACTTTATAAAAAAGTGTGTAGATAGAAACAAAGTTAGATTTAGCTGCAATGAATAGTAGAATCAGGTATAATTAAAGCTAAGATTTTAGCAACACTAAAAAGTAGTTATTTGACAATCTTATTGATATGGGTATAATGATTTAATTGATTGAGTCTCATTCCCCTTTATACATGCCAAAATATTATTTAAATAGGATTTGAAAAGAAATAAGTTGAAAAAGCATTTTAGTACTCCAAATAAAAGGAAAATATGGATGAATTACTTAACTATTTAGTTAAAGGCGAGAATGGATGGGCTCATGAATATCGAATGGACTTTACTACCCAAAGGTAAAACAAAAGTGTGTGTTTTTTTCATAAATATCTTAAAGAAAAATTTTTAATTTTATTTCATTTTTTTACTATTAATATGAATTTTAACTTTTTAATAGGTGTTAGATATGTAATGAAGGATTAGAATAACACTAGAATAATTAAAATAACTAATAACTTATTTAGTTTTCTGATTCAAACAGCGATAGTTCCTTTGAGAATCCGATGTTAAGGGCAAATAGCAGTTCAAAAAGCTAAAATATTCCAAATTAAAATCATTAATTAGAGTTGAATAAATTGGCAAGCAATAAGAAGTCTGTTTTCCTTAGTAGAATTTAAGAAGAGGAAAAAGAAAATGAAAATAAATTTATGTATTGTGAAGTATGCAGAGATTTAATACCTCCTGAAAATATGAAAGAGCTACCTTGTAAGCATATTTTTTGTGGAAATTGTATAGAAAAGTATATTGCAAGCAATATGAATAAAGGAAAAGTAATTTAATTATTCATCTTAACCAAAATTATAATAAAAATGAATGTAAAATAAAGTTTTTTAACATAAAATGCATGACAGAAGAGTGCATCTTTGTGTTTTAAGATGAATATATAAGAACTTTAGTGTAACCAGAAATTACTGAAAAATTTTTCAGGTTAAAAGAAATTGCCTCTTTAAACGCTGATTAGAGTGTACTCTGGTGTCCTAATCCTAATTGTGGGAAATATATGAGATTGGAGGAAAATATAAGGCAAAATTTATGTGAAATCAATTGCACTTATTGTTAAATTCGAATTTGCTTAAAATGTAAGAGAAAGGCTCACTCAAAAAAATGTTGCTTCTTCAAAAAGAACTGTGAAGAAGAGCTTAATGAGGAGTATGAAATTTGGGCAGTTGGAAAACCTGTTTAGTTGTGCCCAAATTGTAGTGTAAGGACTGAAAAAACAGAAGGATGCAATCATATGGTATGTAGGTAAAAAATTTCAAAAAATATTATGTTATTTATGAAATTGTTATTTAAAATGAGCGAATTAACACAAGTTAAAAATTTGAAATATTTTATTAAAAATCTTTTGAATTGGCATTAAAATTTATAAAATATTAATGAATTAATTAATTTTAATTTGCTGATGTTATTTTGTTATTTAAATTTAATTTTCAATTGATTTTTGTATTTTTGAATTAATATCATTTTAAATATTGATTATTTATTATTTTGAAATATCATTTAGTGTATGCAATTACAATTGGTGCTGGCTATGTAGATAATAAATAATATATGGACATTATATGCTTAGTAATCCCTTAGGATGCCCTGGAATGTCTGGGTAAGAATTTACAACAGACAACTCACCCAAATGGAAAATTTATTTGAAAAGATTACTTATAATTTTTTTGATATTCATTGCTTTTATTATTGGACTATTTATAGTTTATCCAATTGTCTTTGGCTTATATTTATGGCTGAGATTTTATGATGCTTAATTATCTCCACTAAAAATAAAGGTCATCCAATCAAACAATAAGTGCTTATATTATTTTTGCTTAGCTCTCTATGTAATATTTGGGCTGATTATATTTCCTATCTGTGTTGTCTTTGCAGTTTTTCCTTGTTTACCCTTAATATTTTTAAGCTCGAGCTTTAGGAGCTATATTTACTCCTCTTTTCCATCTGGACAGGCTGTCTTTTTCAACATTTCAAGCAATTTATTCTAAAGACTATATAACTGAGCTGATTAGCAATTTATTTATTTATTATAATAATTTAATTAATTTTAATTAACAATAAATAACATTTTAAATAAAACTAAATTTTAATGTAAATCAAACTGATAACTAATTGTAAATATTATATATAAAAGCCAAGTATTTGATTATTATTATTATTATTATTATTATTTATAGATAAAATATTATTTCTATAATTAAATATGTTTTATTCCATATTAATTACTTATTATTTTAAATATTATAATTAAATCAAAAGATATCTTTTAAAATTTCAAATATATTCTAGAAGAAAAATTTTTAATTCTGAATTTATATTTTTTGTTTTTTAATATTATTATAATTACAATAAATCATGAGCGATTTTGTAAAAAAGTTGGGAAGGACTGTACTATAAAATGCAGTTTATTCTACCAGTCTTTGTGCAATAGTCCATCTAACAGATAAGGAATATTGGGATGCTAAAAAACTAGGATATATTGTTCTATTTTGGCTTGGTGGCATGATGCCATTAAAAATGGGATAATATGGAATTAATCAAATGATTTTAAAACGCATGGATCTTCCAAATTATAATTTCTTTTACCTTCATAATGCTAAAGCTTTATTTATAGATTTGAGCTTAAACCACTTCTTCTTCCCCTTTGTCTCAATCACCATGCTTTATAATTATTTCTAATATGTTGTTCCTCATGTTTACACTCCAAAACCTAAAACAGTGGAAAAATTTGATAAAATAAAAGCTGAAACTGATAAGAAACAGATTTTAGATAAAGAAGCTAAAATTGCTTAAGACTTATTGAAAGACATTTTAAGATTTAGAATTCATTTATCAGCCATTAGTGTATTCTGGGATTGTGCTTTTCCTAGATATAACATGTCCAGGTAGGCTGCAAAGATCGTAACAGATTTAACACTTACTGGTAAGAAGATTTAGTTTACAAAAGGTTATTTATTTGGATTTATTTGGCACACTTACTGTATCAACAAATATTTTGAATTTCATCATTGAAATACTAAATTTCTATCGACTAATATATTATTTTAATAATAATGCCTTAAATAAATTAAAAATCTAATAACATAAAAAGTTTAATAGTAAATAAATGTTTTCTATAAAATTATTATGTAATAAAATTAATTTATAAATAACTTATTTTATTTAAAAAGAAATTGGTATTTATAAATATTGCCTTAATTATCAAATAATATAATAAATATACAAACACTCTTGCAACAGTATGATTAATAATTTCATTTCAACTTTATTTTATAAATACATTTAATTAATTTTTTTGTTTTGCATCAAGCATATAAATATAGTAACTATCTATGATCAGTAGAATTTAATTCTGTATTAACTTTTAAATAGATAGTAATATCTTAGCAAATCTTATGGAAATATGATTGAATAAAATCTATCTGCCTCCGATTAGAAGTGTTTCACCTTGATTTAATAAATAATTTAATGTTTTAAATATTTAAAATATAGATAAATATTTTACTCTGTATTTGACTTCTTTCTTATCATTTAAATTGAGAGTCCACTCCTCACACTTTAACATTTCATCTTCCTAATATTTTTTTATGGAATTTATAAAAAATTGATATAATTTAGAGGGTTCTAGATAAATTATTAAATTTAAGATTATTTTAAAAGCATATCCTTACTTTTACTTCATAAACTTATTTAGTTATGAATTTTTAAAATAAACTATCATCTTTCTCGCAACTTTTTATGGCTTTTATTTTAAGAAAGTCTTCATGGCTCTTGAGGAAGTTCATTTCAACATCAGATATCTTTAATTTATTATAATTAATTTGAAATACTTTATTTTCCTTTTAAATTTTGTAATTTATGTCAATGATTTTTACTTTTGTAAATGATTCAATCCATAAATCATTTCTTATCTGCTTATTAACAAATTCCTCATGCTTTTCGTTTTCAGGATCTATGTTTATCTTAGGCTAAATCCAAACATCTTGCAAAAATTCTTTAGGAATTTTACTTTCCTCTACCTTAACTTCTTCTAATTAATTACTATTTTCCTCACTCATAATTTTTATAGATAAGTTTTTATATTTGTAATAAATTGAAAATCATCTTATTTATTGAGTAGATAAACTATTAATTTCAAAAAAAAAAAAAAACAAGACAATATTCTATCTAAGAGTTAATTTTATGTAGAATTTATTTACGAAATTATCATATTAAATATAATTTATCAATAAAGTCAGTATAGTATAGTATTTACAGGTTTATAATAAATAGTAATAAAGAATATTTCAAATTAAAACACTACTATCTTTGTTTGCAAATTAATGATAATTGTAGTTGCTGTTTGAAGGAATGTTAGGAAATATGCTTTTATTTTTATTAAAATCATCACTTAAAATCCCAGAGTGGATGATATCATGCTCACTCCCTGCATTTATTATCTACTTTCCAAGTAAATCTTCTAATTAATAGCCTCCTATTTATTATTTATTTAGACTCTTCTTGCTAAAAGATTGCTAGCTATCTCCTTTATGTAAAAGAGTACCTTATGAGGAAAGACCATTAAATTCTGACAACGGTATACCAGCTAAAGAATTTTTTTTAGTAAAACCTGCTTCGCTTTTGTTATCAGTTATACGAGAAGAGTTAGGATCATATCTTATACTCTAAGCTGAAGGGTTAGTAATGTGTCTTTAGTGAGGTAATAAATACTTGGATATATTTCTTTAGGAAGCTGAAAGCTGAATATTTTAATTTTTTATTATAGGTAAAGATTATTATTTTTTATGTTCATACTTTTTTGTTTCTTAAGAAGTTTTTATTTTTCTTTCTGTAGATGGCATTTAATTTAAATTATCTTGACTAGAATTATTATTATTATTTTAATTACTTTGTTAATAGCTTACTGATCTCTTTGACCTTTTTTGAACATTGTTTTATTAACTGGGTTCTTCTTTTTTATTATTTTGTAAACTTTAATTAACTTAGCTATTTCTTTAATGCAATAAAGGTTGCTTAAACTATTTTGCCTTATAAGTATAAAATACTTTAGAGAAAGGATAATTTTAATTATGCACTGATTGATTCTCTTCAGTTTTTACCTTTTAATAAATAAATAAATAAAAATAAATTTATTTATTTATTTTTTCACATTACTTCTTAAATTTTTTATATAATACATAAAATAATAAAAAGGTATTTTTGAAATTGATTAAAATAAATATTAAAAATATACTAGAGATGCTGAAGTTAATTTAAGAGAAGAGGAATTAATATAACTAGAATTATGGTTAGTTCCTTAAGTTTTTGATAGTGCAGATAAATCTGCTTCTTAAATCATTCTTTAAAAGTTTTTCTTTATCCCAATGCATCTCTATAGTTCATCTTTCATTTTTTCTTTATCAATTCTTACTATTTGTTTTTCTTGTTTATGAGTTTCATTTTAGTTAAAAATGTTTTCTACAAACTTAGAGGTTGCATTTGTATTGTCTGTGCTATTTTCATCATCTCTTTCCTCTTTTAATAGTTCATAAGGTTTTCTCTTCTATTCAAGCTTAACAGCAACTTTTGGAAATTTTAAGTTGTCTCTTTTTTCCTCAAAAAACTACTTCTCTTCTGAGTCGCTTACTTAATCGCTCTTTTACCCATCACTATTTAAAAAATGAGTAATTTACTCTTTCAAAAGAACTCCCATTGAAGCATTTAAATTTTCATTTTTCTCTAATTCTAAGCCCAGGTAACTTTTAAAAAAATATATTAAGATAATTATTTAAAGACAAAATAAACTTTACTCTTCATAAGCCTTTATTTTGTTAGAAACTAACTTTTCTCTCCAAGTTCTTTTAGTTTTTTTCTTTTATTGCTACTAAGCTTTCTTTGAATCTTGAAGGAAAAAATTAGGATCGTATGCTTTGATATCATACCAAACTTTATCAGATTAAAGATAGATATGTAGTAATAAGTATTCTAAGTAGTTAATTAATCTTCTCAAATAAGCTCTAAAATTCTACTCACCTAAATCTCTTAATTCATTTAAGTGATACAAAGCGTATGAATACAAATTCTCAATTTATTTATCATCTTTAATTTGTTCTACATCATACTCCCTCATAAACTTCTCTTTTATGTCACCTGTAAATTTGAGAAATATCTCTATAGAACAAAAATACATAATAACAATATCATTCCTAATCAGCTCTAAAAGGGTGTCAAGTTTATCGTGCTTTTTAAGATGAGGAGAAAACTTCTCTAAAAATATATTCTTTATATCTTTTTTATTTAAATATATATGTAAATAAAATTATATAATTAATTGAAATATTAAATTTTACCAGCTAGTTTATTTATGGTTGATTTTTAATATTTTTATGTTATTGAGCGAGCTAAGGCTATTTGATTGTGAGTTAATTTTTCATTCATTTATTCTTTTACCAGTATTTAGTTTCTCAGTGCATCTCCAGTTATGCTTTATCTATTAGAACCATTGGCAGTCTTTTCTACATCATCTAATGACTTATTTTAAATAAAGGGTACATCTTCTTCTTAGTAAATCATCTTAGTATTAAGGGAAAACTTTAAAATATCCTATATTTCTTAAAAGAGATCATTTTTGAAATAATAATTCTACACATCCATATCTTCCTTAAATAGCTCACTATAGCAAATTATGTATTTAACAGAATTAATAGTTTTTGAAATTCTGAAAAGACTTTCATTTAAAAATAAAAATAGTTAACCTTCAAAAATTTAAGCATCAAAAGCTTAAATCTATTCATTGCTTTACTCATTAAAATTATTCTTTTTATTATTTGTAAAAAGCAAATTTTTTGATTCTGCATCTTAATCGCCATTATCATTATAAATATTTAATCTTCTATTAATTCTTTTTTACAATTCCTCTTCTTCTTCTTATTATTTGATATCACCATAAATAAGTTTGAATTCTAGTAGCTCGTTTTCATATTTTTTATATAAAAAAGTATAATTCTTTTTTTATATAGACAAATCTACAATCCTGGTCTTTAAAGTATCATGGTCATTGTTATAACTTTTAAAAGTCTGAATTACTTAGTTTACTGCTTTTTCCACATCATTTCTATGGAAGGCATAGAATTAAGTTAATCTCAAGATTATGTCTCCTTATTTGTATTTGGGTATGTTTTACTCTATTATCTCTGCCTAATCTAATTCTTCAGGATCTTAATCAACTTTTGGTTCCTCAATACACACTTGAGATCCTTCTTTGGATTTTTATAAGTCTTTATTTTATAATTAGTTTTATATATTACTTAAAAAATTTATTTTTCTAATCAACAAACAAATTTATAAAAAATTCGTTTTTATTTGCTTTTAAAAATATTTTAAGTATTTTCAATAAGGATTTTAATATTAATATTAGCTTCAATAAATGAAATTATTTATATGAATAAATTTTTAAAGTATTACCTTGGTTTGTTTCTACTTCTTTTGAGAGAGTAGTGAAGGATTTATTCAAAGATGATCCATTAGCATTTGATTACTTTGATTTTAATTAATCGTTAGGATTTTCTTCGTTAGTCTTTGTTTTACTTCTACTAGATGGGGAATTATCTTTTGAGTTAAAATTTGATTAGATTCTTTAAATAACACCCGGTGGGAGAGCTGATAGTTGCTGTGTGTTTGGAGTTTATGATTAAATAACCTGAGGTATTTAAGAATTATCTTTGTTAGGAAGAGAAGGTGGATTATTGTTACTAACATTATTAGTACTATTACTATTTGCAACTTGATCTGCATTATTATGATTGCTATTTTAAGCTTTTCTTTTTTTATTTTATTTTTAGGAAACAGCATCGTTATTATTCGCCACTTGAGGCTAATGAAAACCAACAACTTTTTTTTTGTTTGTTAATTCATATGCATTTTCTATCTCCATAATATTTGATATTGATGGATCGTTATATATAAAAACATCACAAAGCAGATCAAAATTTTCTAAAATGCTCAAAATTTCTGAAGATTACTAAGTTTGTTAGCGCTTAACTTTAGCATGGTAATCTAATTCTTCAATTTCTAGCTTCATTTTTTCAATTTATATTGTAGCCTTTTCTATTTGTTACTGAATTTAATTGTGTTCCTGTAAAGCATCTTTAATATCCATTTTATAGCATTCATAATTTCCCTTTCTTTTATTTAAAAATTCTTTTTTTTGTTCTTCGTCTGCAGCTATAAATTTATTCATTACACTGCATTAATTTTTCATGCTACTTTCTTATTTTTCATATTGTTCTAGCTTTTCACTTAAATCATTTAGTTATGTATCATAATTCTTAAGTAGCAGTTA